CTTTTACCAGCTTCGTTGTCAACCACTTGAACTTCTCTTTGACTGTATCTGCAAACGGAATTCTGCTTGTGCTTTCTTCCTTTTCTGTAGCAACAAGCTCGATGACTTCCATCTTTGTGAGTCTTCTAATCTCTTTCTCTGTAGCTTCATCATCAAGTTCTTGGAGAAATTCAGGATCAACTTCTGGTGGTCCTGCTTCTTCATCGAAAAACGATGGTGGAACCTTTGTAGCTTCTTTCTTTTTCTCTGGCTCAACTTCAGGTTCTTCTTCATCCTCTGAAAATGTCCAAAACTCTTCTTCTTCGAACACTTCATCATCATGAGGCATGTTGGAAAATACTTCTCTGTTGATACTTCCACGCTGAAATCTTGGAACTTCAGGACGGTGTCGTGGAATCTTGCTTGGGGAACCAACTTCTTCAAAATTTGTTCACCGAACTCGATCTCAATGCTTCTGCTGAAACTTCTCTTGGAACTTTCGCTGCTTTCATAGCTTCCGCCATGTCGGAAAGCATAGTGTCATCTCCGACTGAAAGGGATCTTTTCTTTGTTTCTTCTTGATCTGGTTGTTGTCGATCTTCAAAAATCTCCGCTTCACTCATGTGGCCTCTTTCTTCTTCTTCATCTCTGGAGGTGGCTCTGCTCTTCTTTTCCTCTTCTTCTTCACTGCTCGTGGCATCGGAACCGGCTTCATCACCAGGTCCATCATCTTCTTCTCTTTGATCTTCAAGTCGCTGTTGCTCCTCTTCAGCAATAGCAGGCAAGACTTGAGGTCTCGCTCTGGCTCTTTTGCTTTCTGGCAATACTCTTGTACCAAGCATGGATTGCTTGATCTGCCAGGTGTGCGTACTCACGTTGCTGACTCTCCTTGGGTCATATTGTTCTGGTAGTGCTCGCACACTTCTCGTGATATGGATGCCATCTACCTGGGCTATCAACCACGTGTCTTGATCTGTTTTACCGACAAATACTCCGGCATTCCAGAGTCGATCTCCTGTCTTGTTGTGCTTCAGCCTCTTCGCCATCACGGCGCTGCCAAATGCTAGCAACTTCCCGCTGTACGGGTAACCGTGAATCACTTCGTAGGCTGTCTTTCCTGTACTGCTCGGTCTGGAAAATCGATTGAGTAGCCAACACGCGTGTCTGAATGACCAACTCATCATGGGATGACTATGAGGTAGTGAAAGTTCTGTTCGTGCTCGTAGGTCATCCATGAAAGTGTTATTTTGTCTTCTGACAGTCTGAATTGCTCTTTCAGCTGCTCCAATTGGACTCGTGGTCATAGGGGATGCTGTCGGCCAAAACGGTGCTCAAACCAAGACCGCCAAGACCGCTTCTGATCTTTTGCACCTTTTCTTTGACTGCTCTGCACGTTCCTTCGTTATCTGCTTTCAAGCAAATACTGCTGTAACTTTTCGACTTTCGAGACGCAGCAAAGTCATCCTTGCCTAGCGAGCAAACTAACGGGAAAGCAGTAGAAGAATCTACCGGCCTATCTAGTAGGCACTCGGCCCCCTCTGGGGACCTCGCCTCTCCATCTGTGAAACACGTTTGCGCATATCACGCGTGTAGGTAAGTAGTAGCGTGCACTTCTCATCACATCTCAGCTGATCACAGCAGAGTGACTCATCATTTAGAGTCAGGGGGCTGGTCATGTCTATGTACACTTCACAGAAAGAACACATGCATCAGAAAGGGCAAATGCATCAGTTGTCGTGGCATCTGTCACCACTGTCACTGGAAGCTAGTGGCTGCACATGTCTTGCCCTCTCAGTCATTGAAGATGTGTCGTGGACTTCCACCTCAGCCATGGATGAGCTCATTCTGACGCACCAGAACATGCGCGCACCTCGCTGGTGACCACAATGCATGTTGCAGGATCTCGCAGGAGCTCCATCTTTCAGCAGCCAGGTATGATGATCATTTCGCACCACAGTGCAAAAGCGACCGCCCAGGCCAGCACTCGTTTGCCCTCCTAGGTGTAAACCTACAGCCTCAATGCTGTACGCCGTGTAGTGAACATCCAAGGAGTGCATGTCAGCAAAGGTGGGGACCAAGAGCGGGGTATGCCAGGACCAGTCAACTTGAGGGAAGCTGCTACACCGCGGATGAGGCGTGCTGTCTTGAGCGGAGCTGGAGCCCTTCTGGCTCTGAGCAGACAGATTCGGACCGGATGCTGGTGCCACAGCTTTCTGGTCGGATAAAAGGTAAATCGCAAGGATAGCAGGCGCATCACGCAGGGCCCTCAACTCGTCTGAGAAGGTCCATGCCTCCACACATTGTTGAATGGTAACGACAGAGCAATGCGGCACCACAGTGATTCCTATGCCATGCGACGTGGACCTGGTTCCCTGGACATGGACCCTTCCGCCTGAAGCCGTGCATGCTTGCCAGCTGCCATCATAGCAACGGAGACCTGGCATGTGAACATGAAAGAGTGCCTGCATAGCACCAAAGTGATGCTGGGGGGACCTTGTCCACTCCCCCTGGATGAGCCTCCATTCCTTAACGGACCAGAGCAGTGATTCAGAACCAGGCTGACTGAGGATGGACCACACAAGGTGCCTAGCAACCACGCATGACCACATGTGGACAATGGTGACATCACGCAATGCCGGAGCACCTCCTGCATTCCCAGATGAATGCATGGCACGTCTGCCCCAGATCCCGGCTTCAAGGCATGGAACAGAGGGTCTAGCGGATGTGCTCCTGGATCCGCTGAGCCATCAGTGATCTCCCAGGCTTGTCTTTGCGAAGACGAGCCCCCACGATCTGGCAGGACCGAGCACTGACAAAGTGCTTTCAAAGACTGGTACATGTCTGCTGCCTCCGACAGTGTGCTTAAGCCCGGTGTTGAGCTTGACGATCTTCCTGAAATCACTGTGCTAGTGCTGCTGTGGACGTTGATGCGTTGTTCTTGCCATCATATGATCCGCTCGATTGCTTGCCTGGTCCGAGGATTTCCTTGATAAAATCGAGTTCAACGCAAGTGTTTTCCAGAGCATTGAAGATCATGGTTGGATTGAGTTGAAGATGCGTGACCGTGTTGTGTGTCTCGAACGTCCCTCTTTCGTGCACGAACGCAAGCCTTGATTTCGATAAGGCCACAAAAGGAATGACAAAGGAGATTCGAGCCTTTGATTCTTTGAAAGTTGGTGACCCCATCACCAAAGCCGAAGCCGATGAGTCCTGTAAGACGCACAAAATTAAGATCTTGTCCACACGCTGGGTGTCGGTTGGAAAGAAGGATGGTAAGACTAAGGAGGACATCGTGCGAGTGCGTGTCGTGGCGAGGGACTATGCCAGTGGATCGCCATCAGCAGCAGAGTTGGGCATCAGCAGTCCGACATATGCTAACGAGGCGTTTCGAATGTTCCTCATATACGCCTCGGCAAACAGTTGTGACCTAGTGCTTGCCGACGTGAGCACTGCTTTTCTGTTTGCGCTTGTAGTGTCTCCAGAGTGCGTTTTGCTTCCCACGAATGTGCACTTTCCAGACAACTCATGCGTGTTCTTGAAGTTGCGGAAAGCTTTGTTTGCTGCGGAGAGGTGTAGATCCAGCATCATGCGCATCATTCAGCCTCTCGTTTCTTGTCATTTGATCTCTTGTTTTTTTCCTGGGGCCTTTGTCAAGAGACCCTCTAGAACCTGGATGGAGGTGTAGCTTGCCTTGCTTGCTACTGCTTACCAATTAATTGCTACTTTCCTACTTGCTTTCTTACTGATGAACTACAGAAAGCCCGTATGCACTAGCCTGGTGACATTGTTTTGGACGCTGCGGGCTCAGCTCCCAAGATCACAAAAGCTGTTGTAGCTGGGTTTGAGTTGAATATTGCTTTCGCGTGGGGTTTTAGGCATTGATTGATATATCACAATTGCAGATCTATATTGACAACGTGTTGTTTCAGCATTTGCAGGGTCGCGGGTCGGCAGTTTGAGCATTCGTTGATTTGCACATACGCAAATTACCCAAATTTGCGAAGCCCTTGGAATTTCGAAGCTGCAGAAGTGCGGATTCCCCGGTACCTGGATTTGCAGATTTGTGGGTTTGCAGGGCTTTCCCAGGTTTCCCGGGTTTTCGGATATGCGGATGTGCGGATTTCCGGACATGTGGGTTTGCAGATTTGCGGGTTTGCGGGGATGTGCGGATGTGCGGATTCCTAGATACGTGGATTTGCGGATTTGCCGGTTTGTGGGTTTTTTTTTCGGGTTTCCAGGGTTTTCGGATGTGCGACAGCTTTAAGCTCACACCCCCCCGACCCACACCAATTTGTGAAGAATAGGCGCTTGTTTATTGGTTTTTTTCTCTTCATCAGGATCAAGAGATGGGCCCCCATTAAAGTGAATTAACTGATAAAACCAAATTCGGGTCAGTTCCATGGGTCGGGAGGCCGACCCATGTATTTTGGACAGTTTGCTGATCATTTGTAGACATGGTCTTTTTGGGAGCTGCTCTGTGTGCGGCCACCGCGGGAGAAAATGAGGCAAGAGTATGTTCCAAACCAGCAAACCTGGCCGAGTCTAGTACAGAGTGCAAACTCTACATACTTCTATCGCGGTTTACCAAAAACAAAGCAGGCATACAAAGATGCAAACAGCGGCACCGAGGCATGCGAATTGGCGTTCGGGGCTCCATGTTGGCTCGAGTCCAAGAGACGCGATGAGTGTGCAAATCCCGGCACATGCCGGTAGGTCAGCTCAATCTAGACAAGACCAGCAAATTAACTGTAAAGATTAACAGGTTGGATCTTGATTCACAATTGCAAGAAAAAATCTGGTTAGGGCGTGCTGATCCTCACGAAGGTTGCTGCCGGGGCTCGCTTGAGATGGGCTTGACCCGTGTTCAATCTGCTCCAAGCCCATTGCGACACCCATGTTTGCGAGTCTCTGCAAACCCAGCGATATGGCCGCAGCCTCTGCAGGTGCTCTGCACAGTGCCACGCAACAAGTTTGAAGGAGATGAGTCTGCACTAGTCATTGTGCCACTGGACGTTGGAGCAATGCACGAGCGCCGATTGCAGCCTTCGAATGTTATACTGCACAAGAAGCAGCTGGTTTTCAAAATGCAAGAAGTTTGTTAATTTGTCAGTTGCTCTGTGCGAGGCAGGTAATGACAGGATCGTAGTAACAACCGCATCTTGCATGTAAGCTTAGTCATGTGCTACGCTTCTTGCTTGCTGGCCGCTAGCCTTGATGTCTTGTTGTACTGTTTCTGCCCTGTTTTGTAGTGCACACTAGCGATTGCACGCACGAAGCAAAAACAGTTGCGCTGTATGGCAGTACGCTTTAGTATACTGTGCCACAGCGCTGCACAACACCTATATTGCACTACACCAGACTATGCTCCAGCGTATTGCCCGAAACCCAAAACCGTATTCTACACTTAGTGTACTGTAGACAGATCTGCATTTGTTACCACAGTCTTTCTGTTGCGGAAAGGCTCAGCTACGACTTCAAGTGTGGGCCAGCTGTCAAATTAGCCAAGACCACACGGCAGCAGCGCGTGCAAGTCAAGGTTGATCCCAAGGCGTGGTGGAGTATTACAAAGTTTTTCTCTTGTGCAATTATTGATTGTTTACACAATGTACTGTTATGCGACTTCGTATGTGTCCCTTTCTAGTAGAAATTTGCAGTACGTTCCAAAGGTCTGGACCCGAGATGACACAACAGCCAGCGTGGTCTTAGTCTTGGCATTCGGCTATGCTGCTCTAGGCAACGCCGCGTGGCGCTTGGTCGATTCCGCTGAGGCCGTCCTAAGTAGAATGTCGTTGGAGGAGGAGCAGCTGTTGGAAAGTGTGGCCTTGGCCTTGCGTGAACTTGCATTGTGGCAAGAATATATACGAGATGTACAGGCAGCGCACGTAGACACTGTCGGGGCCGTCGGCATGGTCACAGAGGCTCAGGATCAACTTCTGGGTCTGATGAGCGATCCTGGCTTGAGTGCTGCGGCCAAAGAAGCTTATGAGTCCTTCCGGGGTGAGCAAGCGACGTCTCACAGCCGGGGGCTGAGTACCGAACATGGTGCTACTGTGTCCAGAAACTTGGCGGGCTTCCCGAAGTTGGATGTCTCTACGCCACTGAACGACACTGAGCCCTCTCGGCGAGTGTGGCAAGCCATGTCACGGGTGATTTGCAAACTTTTCGCAGAACTGCAGGAAATCTTCAAGCCAGTTGCTCTCATCCAGGCAGACCCCGAAGAGGAAGCGATGCTGCAACTTCTTGTTCCTGTTATGCAGGAGCTGCATGCCTGGTTGGGATTTCTGAAAGGTGTGCTCAAAGTGCCCCACGTTCGTTCAGCCGATGCAGTTCAAATGGTTTCAGATGCCCGGGACGTGGCTTGGTCTGAGGCAGAGCTTCTGATGGAACAAGATCTCAGCAATGCAGCGAGGGTTCTTGTTGAGGGCTCCAAGCCTGGACCCGTGTCGCGCACGCTCAGCGGCTTCCCAGCTTTGGCAATTCCCTCTTGCTTTGCGGAGGCTGGGGCGATGAGTGTGGATCAGAAGGCGTCCCGCCTAATCTCGCGCTTGCTTTGCACCTTGTTTCTGAAGTTGCGCGAGATGTACTCGCCCGTCATCGTCATCCAAGCGGAACCTGGAGAGGAGAGCGTGCTTGAATTCCTCGCCAAAGTAATGCGTGGCCTTGAGGGATGGCTGCATTGGCTGCTCCAGTTGCAGCGGATGGACTTCAAGGGCTTAAAGAGAGCCCGACCTGCAGTTTTCCGTCGGCTGGTTGAAGAGACCTGGCAAAGAATCCGATCAAAGATGCAGACGTGGATGGAGCCCAACTGCACCAATGCCGCCAAGATGGTTCTCAGCGATCACTTCCGAAGCTGGGAAGCCCGCCGTGAGCATCCAGCGCCCGGATGTGGAACGCCAGTCTCAGAGACCTTGAGTGACTTTCCCCTGCTGGAAGCACCCAGCTTCCTCAGACAATCGAGAACTGCCTTGGAGCAAGTGCAGGAAGCCATTTCCGAAGAAGTTTGTGCATTCTTCCTGAACATTCGACAGGTGTGCCTGCCCGCTGTTGTAATTAGACCTTTGCCAGAAGAAGAGGGCCTCCTGGACTACGTGAGCCAAGTATTGCAGGAGCTGGCCGCGTGGGCAGACCAACTGCCAAGGATTGTTCGTGAGCTTGGCGTCGAGAGTGCGGATCCGATTGATGCAGTTGACATGGTGCTTCAAGCACAGCAACATATTTGGACACAGATGCAGAAGGCCATAGGGCACGATTTCAGCAACGCTACCAAAGTGCTTCTGGAAGGGTGCCCCAAGCGACCATCCGGACCTGTGCCGTTGACGTTAGACGGCTTTCCAGCGCTGGTGATTCCCAGGTTTGGCGAAGGTGCAGCTACAGCGTCACCCCCGCTGAAGTTACAACACGCGGTTTCTCAAGAACTTTGCGAACTCTTCCTGAAACTACAAGACCTGTACAAGCCGGTTAGCATCATCCAGCCTCCTCCAGAAGAAGAGGGCCTCCTGGACTACGTGAGCCAAGTATTGCAGGAGCTGGCCGCGTGGGCAGACCAACTGCCAAGGATTGTTCGTGAGCTTGGCGTCGAGAGTGCGGATCCGATTGATGCAGTTGACATGGTGCTTCAAGCACAGCAACATATTTGGACACAGATGCAGAAGGCCATAGGGCACGATTTCAGCAACGCTACCAAAGTGCTTCTGGAAGGGTGCCCCAAGCGACCATCCGGACCTGTGCCGTTGACGTTAGACGGCTTTCCAGCGCTGTTGATTCCCAGGTTTGGCGAAGGTGCAGCTACAGCGTCACCCCCGCTGAAGTTACAACACGCGGTTTCTCAAGAACTTTGCGAACTCTTCCTGAAACTACAAGACCTGTACAAGCCGGTCAGCATCATCCAGCCTTCTGAAGCGGAGGAATGTTTGTTGGAATCTGCGGTCCGAGCGCTGGAAGAGCTTGCGTGTTTCTCGACGCATTTGCAAAGCATGCTGGAAATTGCCAGAAGAGAAGCTAGTAGAGGGATCAGATCACCTGAGACAGCTGCAGTTCCATTCAACCTGGTACTCGGAACCCAGAAGCGTATTTGGCGGGAGATGGGGGAACGTGGCTGCAGCAATGCCGCACGAGTCCTTTTTGCTGGGCGGGGCGATTTCATGACAATTCAGCAGAAGCAAATTCCAGGTACAAGTACATGGACGACTTCACTCAGCGGTTTCCCGTTGGTGATCTTTCCGCTTCCCGAGCAGCGCCAGAAAGCGGCGACTCTCTTGCAGCAAGAGATGAATGAGATGATGTCTTCGTGCGTACGCTCTCAACTTGGAGATGCGGTGAGCTCCCTGGACAGGCTGTACATGCAGGCTCGGAGCAGGTTGTTGACATGCGCTGGTAGCCGCGGGCGTTTTTGTAGTTGTTGCAGAACATTGTGTAGCAGAATTGGGCTGTGTATATAGCGCATTACATGAGCACGGCGCTGTACTATACCAGTACGGCTACTGTCTGTATGGGGGTCTAGTTAAAACTGTTCTATACTGCATGATGGTATTATACATCACTTGATCTAGTACTACGTTGTCGCATCGTGTTATGTATTGTGCTATACCATGCAGTCCACACCGGTACTGTAGGCCACCTGCAGGTCCTGGGAACGTGGGGCTGGCCGGTCCACGGAAGACCCAAGAGGGGGGGGCCTCTTCTTATGACCCTGTTTGCCAGAGTAAGTAGCCATCACATGCGCGTAGTATGTATGGGCTCGCGAGGATGATGGTGCACTAAACTCTAGAGTGCTGGTTATTGCATGTTAGGAGCTGCAGGGCACTGGTAAAGGCAAATCGCATACTTTTAAGCTGAGTTGGCTATTGGGCCACTTCTCCCCATGCCCCTCTGCTGTGCTTGTTGCGGAAGTTTGAGTAACCAAGACGATTGGCGATGTTAGTATGATTTATCTCATCGTGGTGGGACTCAGGGATTTCGAGGCCTTTGAACATAGGATCACTGACTGGAGGCTACGATGCTTGATGTCGTCGTCTGCAAGACTCTTCCATCAGATCCATCGCAGCGATACAAGATCGAGGTGGACAAGGCCTGTACGTTTCAACGAGCATTTCACACCCATGCAGATCCAGCAAAGGTGGTCTGTTCAGCCAAGCAGCTCGTTGTTCGATGTTTTTCGCCTGCGTGTAGGACACCCACGGGCTACAACCCATGGACGACTTCGCCATCGATGGGCTCGATGGCTGGAACCGGGTTCAAGCCCTGGGGTCTGTTATCACCGCCTTCAAGGCAGCCCTTCATGCAGCTACATCGAACTTCGAACCCCGCCCGAGTATGGTCTGTAGCATGTACACGAGGTGTGTGGTATAGGTTTTTGCGGGATAGTCCACTCTATGGGGCGCGTATACGCGCAGTCCAACATGCTGCGTGCTACGTGCAAGGGGTTTGGGCGGGGCTCCCGCCTTGCAGGTGCGTGAACCGGGAAAAGGCGGCCAGCTCGTGCATCGCCTGGCCTTTGGACCTGTGGCGCCAGCAGACACTGCCACGACCGGGAGACTCAGATGAACTTATGGGGCCATAATTATCATAATGTTGATAACGTTTTGGCAGTATTCTAGCGTAATTTCATACTGTTATAGTACTGTGACTATAGGAAGGTGTAGGATGAGAGCATTGCTAATACCAGACCTTGATCGCACTGCGCACGCTTTCTAAGGCCTCCAGTGAGTAATAAGCTTGAATCCAGGACAGATCAGGGAATATGCGATTGTATACCGCAGCATAGAGTACTATGCTGATCTGTAGTATATGCTTCCATGATCGTTGCGCCTGTCGCACGGCATGCGTGACAATGTTGGAACTTGTTTCGGCCTGGACCATTCTGCCTTAAACTTTCGCGGTGCCCTGTAATCCTGTAGCCTGTCCCTCAATTTCTGGGCTGCAGCAATGATTGTTGCAAAGAGAGTGGGCTTGTCTGGGGCTTTGGGATGCACGCTGCTTGCTTTTTGACGGCTTTCTTGGCATAAGCCCTGAAGGTATTGCCACTAAAGCAGGTCCTAGTTGTGCAGGTTCCTGCAATTATTTTGCGCCTGCTTTTCCTGGGGGTGCTTGCCGACTTCCCGCCCACCCCCCCGTTGTTATCGCTTGCAACAGGAACCATGCAGATTGTTCCACCGGCAAAGGCTTATGCGACTTTTACAGGGCGCCCCCCCTAGTCTGCCTTGGATGTGCAATTGTGCGTGATGGTGCATGCGTACTCGACACATTCCACAGGCAGCCTGGAGAAACTTTGTCCACGTCCAGGGTCTTCTTCGTTGATTCTTGTTCGGGGTTGCCGTGTCAGTTGCCATGACTGCCTTATTGTTCCTTTAATTGCACTTCTCTGGCATTTGTCGCATACTCAGTACATGTTTAAACGTGTGAAATTCACTTTGTGGGGGCCAGAATTCAGGATGACATTCAATTTCCTCCAGCACGTGGAGTATTTCAGCAAGGAAGCGGAGGAGGGTCTGCTGGCAAAGTTCCTGAAGTCAAACGGCATGGAGTGCCCAGCTGACCCGGTTCAGCGTAAGGAGGCAGGCGGGCTGGTCCACCAACTGCGTTAGGGTCGTACTCAGCATAGCCGTATAGCATCCTGCAGTAGAAGCAGAATAGCCTGAACAATTGACAAATTGGGCACGAAATTGGGGGGCGATTTGACGTCCTCGTGCGTGCGTTTGCGGACTTGAGGGTGTTGTGCAACCATTAGGCACGATATTCAATCATCCGTGCGCAACAGTTATTTACAGAACATAATGAGCAATACTGCACTATGAGCATTATCGGTGCTAGAGTTGGTCAGGGTGGTCGTCTTAGTACAAAGACAAATACCTGAAATTTCACTGCAGCTGACAGGTGATCTTGAAGCTGTACACGGAGGCCGGGCCCGTGTACGGGGAGATGAACAAAGCTTTGTACACTGATGACGCGGAGGGGCTAAAGAAGTACGCGCCGTACATTCGGGCTCTGCGTGACGTGTTCAGGAAGTCGCAAGACAACAAGCTTCCAGGTTTTCGATTCTTCGGTGGCTTGGACGAATCCGGTGTCGGCAAGTGTCTTACAAGACGCTGCCAGCTGGATCTGGCGCAAGCCAAGATCTACCAGGTTGGCCAGAAGGTTTGTTGGTCTGCCTTCAGCTCAACGTCTGAGGCGACCAAGGGAGGCAACGGAGGCTTTACTGGCTTGCTTTTTCGTGTACATTGCAGCTTGGACCCAGAGCTGTCCACGGAAGATAGCTACTATCCTGCCTCCATCCAGCAGTGGTCCAAGTTCCCCGACGAGAACGAAGTGTTGATACCCCCGCACTACATGCTCAGAGTCCACAACGTCAACTACAACGGGGAGCCATCCAACCCAGACTACTGGCAGGTTGCCTTCCCTTTGCCATGTCACTACATGGGTGTATGGATGTTTCGGGTGCAGTTCTTGCTGTTCCGAGGGCGCAAGAGCTTGCGATTTCAGACCTCGGAGATTTTTGCGCTTGCACTCTTAGCAGACTTAGCAGATGAAGTAGACTGCTGCAGATGGCATGGTGTCTTGTCCTTGCAAGGTCGAGCTGGAGCTGGCTGACTTACCTCCTGTCTGGCGCATGATTGAGGTGAGGGACTGGTCTCAGTTCGAAGCCTGGGCTCAGGAGCATCTCCCGCACCAGGTTGTCTCAGTCATCGTCTAGTTTATGAATTCTCCTACTTTTGTATGCGATCCTTCTCTGTTGTGTCGTTGCATGGTCGTCAGCTCCCAGGAGCATCCTGACCTGGTGGACACCCGCAACTGCAGCAGGTCCATCATCAACGCCGTGGCGCGCAGCCTGGCAACGGCGTCTGACCCGGACGAGACAGGGGTCGACCCTCTTGAAGTTTGCTTCAAGTATGGCTCTCAGCCAAACGAGCTGGACCTGCTGACGCTCAACACCCCCTTGGTCTCTGTAGCCGAGGCATGCAAGGCCACTCAGGCCACTCGGGCCACGTTGCCCGAAGCCCTGAAAGCCATCGAGTCGCTTCTCCAGGCAGGTGCCAGTCCCTACATCCGTGCGGGCAAGGAGAAAAAATCCTTTCAGGAGTTGATGCCTGAACAGAAGCTGGACGTCAATCAGGCGATAGAGTGGCAGTACTGGGTGGATGATGGCATTGACGGCAAGGCGGACGGATGGTATCCATACAAACCGGAAGCGTCACCAAAGGTCGAGGCGGCCTTTCAACAATGGCTCCACAGTGGACACGAGGGCATGAGCCAGATCCTGGGAGTGCAGAGCGGCGACTTCTCTTACGACGTCAATTTCCTTCAGATGCGGCAAGTGAACCTGAAAAGTAAGACGGTGCGCAAGATCAGGAGGTCTCCACGACAGCCCTCTGAGCAGGAGAAGCTGCGTGCCTCCTCCAGCAAGGCGCTGAAACAGGAGCTGAGACTTGGCCAGGAAGCCCTCCGTCAAGAATATTTTGTAGTACACTAATAGCATAACTAAGTTATGTTTGATTTCTGCTTTCATCTTCCTTGCATTGTCCAAAGTCCTGCATTGGCCTTGGGCGACCTTTCCTCTTTGGGCCTTGCAAGGGTCCAGCTTTGGCTTGGGGCGCTGACGCCAAGTCGGTGCAGCTGCCTTGGTCGGCTTGTTTTTCTCCAGGTAGATTTTTTTTTGCTTTGGGGCCCAAGGACCGCTTTGCAAAAGTTGCTGGAGGTGGTGGCACTTGACGGGCTCCGCGCAGCGACTGACGAGTTGCGGGGCTCTGACCCACAGGTCCTGGCGCAGCTGTCTCAGTTGGTGTCCAGCTTGGTCGAGAACGACGAGAAGCTGCCTGAGCTTGAGGAGCTGTTGGCACAAGTGCCGTCGGAGCAGGCCGACGGCAAGGTCACTTCTTGCAACCTCCGGAAGACGCGTGATCTGCGCTGGGAGACCCGCGACACTCTCCCGGAAGTCCTTCGAGAGCTCCATGACGATCCCCACACGTCAATTTCGGAGGAGCTCGCAGAGTTCGCTGACTCAGTTGTGACGAGCATCAGTGTCTTTGACCGCGGCGGCGTCACTCACACAGGAGAGAGGGGGGGGGTGGGGTTGGGGGGTGTAGAGATGTGGGGGAGGTGAAGTAATGTCGACCAAACAATGTAGTGCATTATCGTAGACCATGGGACCGCATAGTTACCAAACACTCCAGGCTTCCGGGCATCGCTCTCGTGGCATGGAGATGGAGCAAGTAGCACGGATCTGGACATGCACATGACCTGCCCGCACTGTGAGACGAAGGTCTACTACAGTCAGAAGGCGTGCGGCTGCTCGCCGGAGAACCCGCGCCAACTCAATCTGGACATAGATGACCAAGGGGGGCCAACGAGGCGGTCTGAAGAGAACTTGTACATGCAACTGCCAGCGCCAGGCCGGTATTCCCTTTCAATTCAATTGTTTTCAGGTCCGCCAGTGCCTTTCAAGATTCAAGTCCACCGCACTGGGCATCCCCTCACCGTCTACAAGCTGCAGCCTCACGCCGACACCTCTGAGGATAAGCCCATGATGCACATCTTCGATGCCGTGGTAGATGACCAGGGGATTATTGCCAAGCTGGACTCCGTTCATGCCTTTGTGGAAATACCCGAAATACCGGCTGTCACCTCTGAAGAAGAGTCGCAGCCAAGTGCAGGCGCTGGCACGGAAGGAGGCTCAAAGCTAGGCGAGGAGTCTTTGGCCTCGGGGATCCAGGCTGCTTTCTTGCTTCATGCCTTTCCCAAGCTCGTGGTCGCAAAGGCCCCGAGAGGTCTGGGCTTCGGTGTTGAAGCTGATGCCATGCGGACTTTCAGAAATCTGGGGGGAAAGTTGTTCCTCCCGTCTCCAGACGGTTGGGGTTCGAAGACAAGGTGCCCCAGGGATGGGGAGATGGGCTGCAGCTATGTGGACACCCTGAAGAAGCCGCACCGTGGCAAGGCTACCCACTTTGTTTCTTGGTGCTGGAACTATACCTTGAAGCAGGTGACGGGGGCGCTAGCCAAGCTCTGCCAGCCGTCCGACCAGTGCATCGTGTATTTCTGGATGTGTTTCTTCTGCAACAACCAATACAGAATTGACAAGGAGAAGACTTCGTTTGATGAGCTTCGTGCAACCTTCCAGGATAATCTTCAGCGCATCGGCAAGATGATCATCATCATGGATGATTATATTCAGCCGAAATATGTAACCCGCGTTTGGTGCATATATGAGACATTTCTGGCGATTGAGCAGGGCCTTCCGCACGAGTTCACTCTGCCTGCGTCGGCACGTGACCAGTTGAAAGACAGAATTGCCCAGGGAGAGAGCCTTCCAGCGCTCAAGAGTGGCTTTAAGTCCATCGATGCAGAGAAAGCTACTGCAGAGAAGAAGGAAGACAGGGAGAAGATCAAGGAGCTCATCAGGAAGGGTGTTGGATTCGAGAAGGTGAACGAAGCTTACCTTCAGTTAGTAAGGAGTTGAAGCTGTCGCAGGAACTGTAGCAGGAACTCTCGGGACCTGTTCTCTCATTCCGTACCACGCAACTGTAAGGAAATCGTCTTTGCCGCGCTCCAGCCCCAGCTGATAGCTGCCTTGAAACGCGTCGTCGATGAGTTCATGATGGTCTCCGACGGCTGATGCTGGTAGGACCTCAGGAGCCTACTTGTCCATGATCAGGAATGCTAACCGTTGCCACAATGCATAAAATCACAGCAATTAGTAGCAAAGCCTATTGATTATAGTGGGCTTATATTATGGTATGCCATATTTGGTTATGTATACTTTTGCATGTACTTGGTCAGAAAATAAGTTTAGAGACAAGTCCTTCACTTTCTCCTGTACAGCCAGCCACGGATACATACCAACCTTGAGGCGAAGACATACAGACACAGTAGCTAGTGCTTTTCACAGCAAAAAATAACAATAATATCATGTCTGGCTTTGGGTTTAGGGTTTAGGGGTTTGGGTTTTGCTACTTGTGTCTGGCCTACGCGGGAAACTCGCGACGTCGAAGCCGCCAATCGGCGATCGATGAACATAGCATGCCCAAGGCATCGCGAACTTGGCGTTTCCAGGGGTGCCATCGAGATTTACGTGGGCCTTGAAGGGGTCCCAGACAGATGCCCAAGGCACAAAAAAGCGGTCCAAAGCTGCTATTGCCAGTATGCGGCATGTCCGTTTCTCAGCCTACCGATATACACCATGTTGTCTTGGAGCTGTCACGCAAGGAAAACATGTTGAAAAGGGCAAGACCCGTGGTGCAGCGCCATGGCTTATCAGCAGATCAGCCCCCAAGCTTGCAACGCGCACTGCCGCAGGGCCATCCGGCCGTCATCGGAAGGTATTGCCCTGCACCACTTCCCATCGTTCGGTGTTTTGCTTCGAAGGAAGCAGCTGCCAAGCCAGTGATACCGCTGGTGGCAACGCAACTGCAGACTGCAGACAACATTGCCGTGATGCAAGCCTGCCACTTCCCCCGCTACGCCTTGGGCTCACAGCTTGTGGCCGGGTAGCTGTGCAAGATCCTCACACGGCATATGGACTGCAAAACACTAGATACATGGGGGCCTAACAGCTGGAGGCTGCTGTCGCGGACCTTTGTTTAGCATCCGATACTGTCACTCATGACCATGATGTCGGGCTCAAGGGGTTTTAGGGGTTTGGGCATGTTTGAATTGAGAGTTTCCTCTTGTTGTTCCGCTTTTTGGCCTCTCAACACAGGGGTCCAGCAGCCTGAGTAACCGCATTGCTCTTTTCGCAGAATCGCTCTAGGACAATCTGACGCCTGAGGCCGTTATGCTATACGCGCCCCACCCCAAACTTGCAGAAGTCTTTGCACATGACCAGATTTTGCCCGTTATGTAGGATGCCCATCTCGCGATTCTACGTGCTTTAGGGTGCAAGGTTCAGGGCCTCAGAATTGCAGATGGCAGCTTCATGTTTGGCTTGCCGGGTGGACAGGACAGTGTAGCAACTCAGGTTCAGGGTTTAGGGTTAAAGTTCTCGTATCAGGTTCAGGACAACTTTTAGTTGGGTTTTCATTTTCTTGGTGGGTTGTGAGCTCAGGCTGAGGGCTTCAGCGCTCTATCATCATATGCAGAGATGTGAGGGGCACCTTGTTTTCAGAGCAGATGCCCCCCCAAACCAGCCTTAGATATCCCCATAATTGGAAACCTTAGAGCCTTACATGAAGGATGGGGGTGCAGGCAGGGATCCATGCATACAGTTTGGCTTTACAGACGCCGGATATGGGCATCAACAGCTATCAAGGGGCCTAGGGCCTAGGGCTTTTCGACGTTGTCCAGCAGCTCAAGGTATGAAGTGCTGATACGTTTCGGGGGCATGGCAATGACAACATTCTTTGGCCCACCTCGGTCTTTGTTTGCTGGACCGGGGAGAGATGTGTAGTTAAAGGTACCCTATACCATAAACCCTAAACCCTAAACACAAAACCCTAAACCCTAAACCCTGACTGGAAATCATGGATGTATTGGATGTGGCAAATTTCCTGGCCATACCTAGGCGGTGAACCTGGTGCTCGGGGCTGCAGAGGCGTCGATGCTGCATGTCAACAGGGTCTCCTTTCCTGTCGAGCCTGTGGTCGGTCATTTCTTCATACCAGGGAGGGGTCGGCATGAAGCGATGCAAGGCCAAATTCCGCACAGAGCACCCCAACCAAACTGGAGCAGGAATGGCCACGTTGATTGCCTTGAACCTGCTTTGGCGAGTTTGGGTGTGCTTAAGCCCCCCATTGCAGTGTAGGAAGAAGGAGGCAAAGTGGCCAAAGGTGTAAAATTCCGTACGTCCACAACCCCCAAGTCAGTCATCCCCCAAATGTCCAGTACACAGCAGCACTTGCTTGCCGAAGATACAGCTGGTGCACTGCGAGGTATCCAACAAAGAACGGCAGCTCCAACAGGCATTTTTTTAAGGATCAAGCTCTCCCAACGCCTAAAAAGGCGCTCGAGGTGCGATTTCGGCATACAAAGAGGCGGCTTTCTGATGATTGCTTGCAGCGAGGATTGGCGCCAAGTCTTGAAGAGCTGGGACGTGACCCCAAAGCACGGCGTCCCTGTGAGTCGCCACCACGGTTACTTGGGCCACCTAGGACTTGAGAAGCAAACGCTCGCAGCCGCCCTGGCCGCAGGATGCGTTTGGCGACGTTGCAAGCGCATTGCCAGGAAGGAGAGCGAGGGCGAGGGCCGCGGCATCATCAGGTCTGTCATCGAGCTGCCGAAGCAGACTGCCTTGGGCATAGAGATCCGTGCAAGCTCAGTCGTTGCGGCACCCATCTCTGCGACTGACGGCACGTTCAAGAAGCCTCCTCTGCGAGCAGAGTACTGCCTCGATCCCTTGGATGCGCATGGGAATCAGCAAGCAGTCGCAGACTCAATCCGGCAACTGGTCGCACATTTCAAGTGGCAAGGGGCGGTGGGCTGCAGCATCAACAAGACGGTGTGTGAGCTTCTTGGGATGGATGCCACTGCGATTAGTGCCATGGAGATGGGAGCTGGCAAGCTGCTGTCAGAGGCTTTGGTCGGCAAAGCTTCGTCCGTGCATGCAACGGTCCACGCCACGATTGCCGGCTACAACCACTTGGTTTGGGATGAATCAAGTGCCAACGAGGAGAAGAAGGAGAGCTGGATGCAAGAGGTCGTCCTTGTCGCTACCCTAGGACGGAACATCAGCACGGTGGTCTTCAACCATGGGAAGAGGGTGAGGCGCACGGAGTGGTGCCAGTGTGCGCGGCCCGACTCAGACAATGCAGACAGCCCGGAGGTGAATGGCTGCCCGCCGCAAGTGCTGGAGCTGTCCAACGCGCTGCCCTTCCATGCGCCCAGCCTTGAGAGTCCGGAATGGGGCCAGTGGGCTGAGACCGTCGACGAGAACCTGTCTCAGCTCTTGGCGTCCGTTACAATCGACCGGCTGGTGATTGTTCCAACAGGGCGCACTGCGGAAGACGACGCCGCGCTGCTGGAGAACTTGAAGCCCAGGTTGACAAACACCTTCCAACGAGCCGTGGAGAAAGGCTGCAAGGTCTCCTTGGTCGCGCAGGGCGAGGGTTCCATGGTTCGAGGCGCGGCGACTTCCGCCCTCATCGAGCTGCAAGCTGATCAGATGTTGAAAGAACTGCGGGAAGTTCTCTCGCACGGATCTTCCCTCCAGAGCGTCTCGGACAACCAGCTCCGGATCATCTTCGACCGTTTGGACCTTAATGGGGATGGGCTCTTAGAGGTGGAAGACTTGCAGCAAGGTTTGGAGATGCTTGGGGTGCAGCGAGACGTGCAAGAGCTGCTGAAGGAGCTGAACATCACCAAAGGCCCGGTCATGCTGGAGGAGTTCATGCCCTGGTGGCACAAGAATGTCCGGAACGCGCGGATCGTGACGCTGAGCAGCTCGCAGGCATGGCAGCGCCTGCTGCAGATGCCTCCGCCGGAGGGCTTCGGTGATCTCATCTTGTTGCAGGTCACCTTCACCTTCTGCCGGGCGTGCAAAGGCTTCGAGCCGAAGCTTCGGAAGCTGGCGGAGGAGTACTCGGATGTCCGGTTCGTTCAGCTGGTTGGAAACGCCTCGATCGGCGCCATGAACTTCGTCCAACAGCTCAAGTGCCAAGGCTCCCCCAGCTTCTTCCTCTTCCGGCGCGGCTCTGGCGAGCTTCTTGCGAAGTGGCATGGTGCCAATGCTGACAAGGTTCGACAGCATCTCTCCCCGTACGTGGAGAATGGGGAGGGTGAGAATGAGAATGCAGGTTTTGGCAATTTCGGAAATTTTTTTCAGTTTTGAGCGCGCCCAGAGGTGGTGTCGCGTGCCAAAGGAGAAGTCAAATGTCGGCTCCCTTGCGCACAATTGTTTAAACGTCGCGAGATGGCGTATTTGTATATAGTTGGACCAGCAGGTCCCGAGCGAGGTGTACACCTCCTCCTCAGACCCCCAGTAAACTCCCAGCAAACCCATGTGCATAGTTCAAAAAGCCTCGCGCGGGAACATTCCAGTGCTGACATGTCTTGATGCTGCGTGAGGCGCAATTGCAAGGGCCTTCAACCTCAAACTGTAACCGTTGAATCCTTGGCTGAACCCTTGGTTGACTCAGGCGCATCTACCTCCGTGGCCATCATGACTAGGTTTGGAGCTTGGAGTGTGTGATGCGGCTTTTTCAGAGATGTTAGAGTCTTGGAGCTGAGGGGTGGTTCAAGGCATTCAAGAGAACCTAAGCAGGACTGGTAAGAAATGTTGCAGTAATAAGATGAAAAGACATGTTTGCAACCCACCCCCTACCTCCAGCTTCCCTGGGTGATTTGTAGCTGTTGCAACCGGGTGCCGGCCTGTTCCTGATGATGTATCTTACTTCACGCAGTTCTTCGGCTCCAGCTAGCTTGAGACAAAGCCTTCATTTACAGTCTGAAAAGTTCACTCCTTGTCATGCTTTCTCCAGGTTTCATTTGTTGCGCTGCTGCCTTGATTTGTGGAGTGGAGTCGTACCGGACGGCAATCACCTCAGAGCGGTCGCGCAAGATAGAGGGTGTTTCGAAAGATGACATTGCTGACGCGATCAATAGTGCTTTCCAGAAACAGTCTGAAGGAGAGCAACAGCAGGCCATGTGGAGCGGCTTGAAAAATGTGGGAAAGGGCGCTATTCAAGGAATTGCAGATTCGATTGAGGACCCGACTGGGCAGAAGATAGGCCAAGCCTTGGTGGGTATTGTAGGGTCGATCGCAGCCTTACCTTGTCCACCGGCATCACTAGCAATTGGTGCTATTTTGGGGTTGTCAGGTGGTGTGGTGAAGTTGTTTTCAAATTCGACCGCGAGCCATGAGTTCACCAACAATGAGATCATGGACACATTGAAAAGCGGCCTAGCTTGATATGCTCGCTGCGGCAGCGAGACGAATGCAAGGCACACTTGAAGCGATCAGTGACAAAGTAAATGCTTTGTATCAGATTGTGGTCCTCGGCATGGGTACTCTGAAGAGCATCGAGGCGGCATTTCAAGTCCTGCTCCAAAAGATGGCGGCGCCAGGAGCATAGTTTCAACGCAGTGCTTTCCACGTGATAGACTGTCATTGTGAGCGCGAAAACAGCAAAGGAAATGAAGGTCAAGCGCAGTACATCACGCGAGAGTGTTTCCATGCCTGCTGCGGTACAAGCAGACAGAACCTCACAAGCGAATGTTTGCGCAAACGTCATTTGGTTGCTGGCGGGTGTCAATGAATCGTGCAAGATCGGTTTGGCGAGATGAGTTGCCTGGGGTCAGCTGTGTCTCACACGAGCATGAAACAAGCAATGAGAGATAGAAGTTAGAAGAAGGGGAAGAAGAAAGAGTTGTGGGCCGCTCCTGTCACTACGACTGCCAATTTCTACTAGTCGTCGTCGTAGTAGTAGTAGTAGTAGTAGTAGTAGTAGCAGCAGTGGTAGTAGTAGTGGTAGTGGTAGTAGTAGTGGTAGTGGTAGTGGTAGTGGTAGTGGTAGTAGTAGTGGTAGTAGTAGTGGTAGTAGTAGTGGTAGTAGTAGTGGTAGTAGTAGTGGTAGTAGTGGTGGTAGTAGTAGTAGTATTTCCTCCTATTCCTGCCTCTGCTACATCAGCATGTTGGAGTTGATCTAAAGGTCCTTGTAATGAGTTTAGTGAAAGAGGTCCTTTTGAGAAGAAGTCCGCGCAAGATCGGCGAGGGGTTTGCGATAATATATTACATCATTAGATGTATACGGCGCACGTAGTATGATCGGGGTTTTGAACGTCAAGCGTGCTTTGCGCCAGTGGAAAGCACAAGCAAGCCTTGAATAACACCTCACGCACATGGAGCCTCTACAGCGGGGCTCAGAAACTTTCTCTCAGAGTTTCCTCCTTGCTCTAGGGCCTGTGGCTTCTTGGAGAGCACTTCAAAAAGCATTTTTTGTTTTTAGCCCGCGAGACTAATTAATGGAGGAGCACCTCCGATTAGAGCTTTGCGGCGCCAAAAGTCCACAGCTTCATGGAAGGGAGTATGATGAAGAGGCTATGGGGGCGAGGGACTCATCAAACCAATCGGCCACAGGACCTGAAAATCGAGTTCTCGTGCGAGCAACATGGAAGTCGAAGATCCTTGCATCCAGTTCCACACTTCTGTTGACCGGTTCAGAATTCGAGAATCCTTGACTTCACAGTTCCATGGTGATTTCCGTTGAGAGCGCGCCGTCGCATTGGCCAGCGCTGCTGTCGCAAGTCTCGTGAAACCCTGGCCGGTTAAACTCAACCATAGGCGCCCCAACTGTTGACCACGCTGTTGGGGCGAAATTGCTTTGCAGATCTGGCCTATGTAAAGCACATGTCTTTCGCCTTCAAGGTAGCACAGCAATCTGCCATTTGGTGCAACAGGAGGGTTACAGTCTGTGCATTTCGCACAACTCTCGCGCAGCACAAGAAACGCAAGGCATCCCTGTATCCTTGTTGAATGCGCCATGCCATTTCCAGTCTGCAAGCACGCAACAAACTGCACTGCTCGCAACTGATTGTTAAATCTGGCAAGTGTGTCAGCGCCCGTTGGAACTGAGGGCCATGATCTCGCCGGCGGACGTGACATACGTCACTGCATTTGCCCGTCAACAAGATGATGTCTACGGCCAAGCAGTGTTTAAAGAATTCCTTCCGGGAAATGTGGAGCGCATCCTTTTGAATGCCAGAGACAAGAGCATCCCAGACGGCTCCGCAAGCGACTTCATCGCCGCCTTGAGCTATCAGAGCATCCTTGCTGCTAGATTCAAGCTGTTCTTCATTTCTTTCTTGGCGGCTTCGTTCCAGGGGGATGCTGCAACTTGCTTTTTGCTTGCCAACAAGCTGAACGAGCAAATGCACAGTTATCTAGTAAAGCTCCGCCTTCAAGATTTGGTGAACAAAAGAGATGTTGATCTGCAGAAATGCGACGAATGGCGGCAACACTTGCTGGGGTCTGTCCAAGGGCAAGCATCCGATTCCCCCCTAGTCTTTCCGGAGAAAGCCGCCGAGGCAGTTTACAAGCTGAGCACGGAAGACTGTGGGCAGTTCGGAGATTCGCTGCTTGAAGACCTTGGTGTTTCGAAGATTGTGCACACCGAGCGTGTGCTCCAACTTCTGTGGTTTTGGTCAGAGGCCGAGATCCAGACCATGCATCAGAAGTTCAAGTTCTCTCCGCACGACCTTCGGAACATGCGTCTTGCAAAATCAAAAGCTCACATTGCGCTGCGGGCCCAAACTATACACAGAGATCTTGCTAAGCTTCCCAGGGTTGATGGCATACAGCATTTCGAGGCTTTCTCGAATGCTGATTTGATTTGCTCCAAATATTTGAGGAATCTTGCTGTCATGTGGATGCCTGGTGATCACGTCAGCAATCAGCAATGGTGTCTGGATCCTGCAGTATCATGTCAAGGAGAACGTCTATCGTTTCGTGAATGAAGCGTGCGGGAAGGCGCTTCAGGTGACCACTTGGCAGGACGAGCGCATGTCGTCTCCATATGTAAACCTATGGGTTGGAAGCGGTGTTGACAATGATGTCAGTGGATGGAACAGCTTCCGGATTTACACGGGTGAGTATCACAAGCTCGATTATGACGGTACAGGTGGTGGCCAGAGGGAAACTAGTCCGTCCGTGGGCCTTCGCCTTTGGAATGTGGGGCAAAACCGAGATGTCATTCCATGCCCGGGACACAAAAATGGTGACTCGCTAATCCCCCCAGACCGCATCAATGCTTGCGCAATTCCTGCATCAATGACTCCTGGTGGCAGCAATTTCTTGAACGACTACTTGCCGACAAGGTCTTCGTGGGAGTTCATCGAGTTGAGGTGATCATGGTGATCACTTGAAGGCTTGCAGAACAAAAATGTGAAAAAAGGCGTGTTGCGAGTTTTCAAAGAACATCAATGAACCATGATCATTGCTACCTTCGGATACTTTCAGCAAACTATTTCGCATCGAAAGTCGCGGTCTGCGATCACCTGGTCTTGTTTTTGCTGGAGCCACATGTGCGCTGCTGCCTGCCCATGTACACAAAGCTAATGAGGATGGTTGTCAAACGCCGAGAAACTGTCTCTGGAAAGAGCAGGTGGAGTGGGCCAATGCCTTGAAGGCGGGTCGTTGTGTTGCAGCGGTGGGAGGTGTGTTAGGCGTGTCCCGTCATCTGGCGGCTAAGCTTGAGGACACGAACCCTAACTCAGGGCAATCGCCTCAGAAGCTTGCGATTTTGGAGCCCGGAACCAAACACTCTGGAACTCACGCATTCTCCACATCATCAACACACGAAGTCTCGAATCCCTGCGACCCAACATGCGAGCGCCAACAAGAAAAGCATGGGACGCCAGGAGACCGTGAGCACCCTGGAGTTCGCCTCTCGATGTGCTCTAGCTGCCACGCGCACCCCAATCCTGCTCTGCTCTAAACCACCCTCTTTCGTTTGTTTGAGCTTTCAGTTTTCGGGGATGGAGCATGTAAGAGTTGAGGAGGCGACTGCAGGACTTCAGCAGGTGACGGAAGTGCTTGGGACTTGTAGCCTTAATGCCCTGGGCAACTCAATCCCACAAGCGCTTTCACCCAAAAACCTACAAACACCTTCTAGAAAAAGGGGTTTTGGACTACCCACCCCCAAAAGAAGATAATTCGGGAATTCGGGCCCACTAGGACAAACAGGGCTTTTCATAAGGTCGAGGGGATCTGGGACACCCTAAACCCTAAACCCTGAAGCTGGTCATGAGTCGCCCACGAACAGACATTCTGACAGCAACCAAGGTCCTGTGGAATATCAGACCCAATGTGGTCGGTTTGCGCGGAACCGCGCGAAAGAAGCAAAAGTCAGGAGCGAACTTCTTGATTTGCGCCTTCGTGATCCTCTGTGGGGTACCGGGATATGTCAGTGGAGTCAGTCATTTTAACAAGTGGTCAAGCAGGAAATGACGCCTGTCACTTGGCATCAATAGCGGGAGTGTTTGTATTTTGACACCTTTCAAATCATACCAAGCCGGCCCATGCGACGGTGAACGTGTTGTTCACAGATGAACTGCATGTACAGAGGAACAAGTCGGCACGAAATGTGCGAACAACATTGTTTCACAGGAAGTTTCTTGAAGCAGTAACGGCTGCCCCTCATGTTTTGGCATCAGAATGCCCGCGCTTGGATGCTCTTGGACCATTGCCAGTCTGCAACGCTGCAGAAGTCCACATGCCGCTCTTTTCACCTTTCCTGGTTCATCCGACGTGGTCCAGGTGCAAAGGTCCGAGTTGCGACACGACAACACGGGTAGGACAGCAGATCGCGGAGCCACGGCGGCCTCCGCATTTGTAGCTGCAGCGGCAACCCGGGGCCGGCTGTTGCCTCGCGCCGCTCTCCAAGCCGGCACTCAGATCACGCAACGACTTTGTTTCGAAACGCTAGCCGCGTGCGGGCTGTCAATGGCTGTCTTCTGCTTGTCGCCGCGGTTGGCCTGTCTGTTTTCAGGCTGCAGGCCGGCAGATTTGTTGCCAAGATGGGGTGTTCATGCTCACTTTCATGTCCGTGGCTTCAGCTTCAAATCGCCAGGATTCACCAGGCTTCCGCTGCTAAGTTCGCACGCAGGTGTTCTTGGAAAGGAGGCAACGCGTGCCGCAGGTGGCCGACAGCACTTTCATCCTGTCATTCTACTTCGCTCAGTAAATTCGCTAGCTCGTCTCACTCGCGCCGCTATTTTTAAAATATTTAGCTTACTGGCGAAATAAGAATAGCACAACCACCCGTAATGAACAAAACCGCAACAGTCAGAAAGCAGCCCCGCCACACTGAAGAAAAACCTTATAAACCCTGAGCCCTAAACCCCATGAACATCTATAAACCCTAAACCAAAAACCCTAATGCTTCGGTGTTTTCCGTTTCCCGCTGTGGTTTGTCGCCTGGCTGTTTCCTGATTGCCTGGCGGACTGACGTCCCGTTTGGAACAACCGAACACTCACTCGCATGCTTGAAGCGAACTTGAACCCAACCCTACCCGCTTACGACACCGCTCTCAGCGGGAGCAGGGCCAAAACTTGTGGTGACCACCGCCTGCCCACCACCGTCGAGCCCAGCCCTCGGATGCGGCGGCTCGCAACGTTGGCGGCGCGCGCAAGTCACGCAAGCGAATAGGACTGCAGACGAAGCGGGCTGCGTCCTCATTCCACCAGCCCCCACGGTAGACCCCAGCACAATGAGCTTGTGCAGGCCTTAGTGGCACAACTCCTGGTGGTCGCCGTGCTCATCGACAGCAGCACCGCAACCAGGTCCGTGCGCGCCACACTGGAAGGAGAAGCCGCAGCCGTCGTCGCATGGTTTTGAGCATGCGGTCGGGCGGCAGGGCGGCTCCAGCCGCTCCAGCCTCGCGGGGATGTGACGGCACGCCTGACATGGCCTTGACTGCGAACGCAGCATGGCCTGAGTGGGCGACTGCAAAGCAGGCAGCAGTCTCGTGGAAATGGGTAGAGCAAGCGCGGGAACCGTGATGCTACCAGCCTTGGCACACTCGCCAAGTTCAGGCAGATCGCGAGGGTCGGCTGCCTCCGGAGCTGTGCGCAAACAAACGATCAGCTCAGCGAGACACCTGGCGGCGGCATCTGGATGCCAGGCACGCAGAACTGGCAGGGCGTCGGCCCAAGCCGCCCAGCTGCAAGCCGAGTCCGCAAAACGCGTGTGCAACAGTGGCAGGCGGCGAGTTGCGGCGACCTCGTGATTGGCGTCGTCCCGTTCGCCCCACAGCGCGAGAAGGCTTCGTCGTGGCCTCGCGCATAACTGGCTGAGAGTTCGGGCGGGGGAATCCCTGTGCAGCAAGGGATCAGCGCGGGCGACGCGCACACAGCGAGAAAGAGCCATGCGCATTGGAGCTCGGGCAGCCTTTTGTGCAAAAAAACAGCGCGGGAAATGCTGTCGTACGCGCTGCGACCGTCTACCGAGACGACGGTGGTCTGAGGGTCGCATTCGAGAGCGGCCCGCAGCTTCGCTGTAAGAGCGTCCATGCCCGCGCTAGTGCTCAAGGCATATTGGAATGGTCGGGTCGCCTCATCGAATGTGGCAGCGCGGGGGGCGGCCAACGTGCGGGAAACAAGCCGCCGAAACATGTCGCCAGTGGCGATGCCACGGACCCCGCCTCCAGGCTTCTGGATGGCAGTCATACGCGCGCGACACCGCCGTAGCGCAAAGATTCTGGACCACGAGACGTGGCGCCGGTGCCGGGCTGTCTGGCCCAACGTGCGGGCGCTATGAAGTGCTGTTGGACGACTGCTGAAGTAGCCACGGGCCGTGGCCCCTCCTCCTCACCACCCCGAACAGGGCAATGCCTGGCCCGGCATGTTACATTGCGTGTGCCTGAGTCAGCACGACGCTCTCGTTGCCGCGGGCAGACAGAGGCACTTGACTCCGTCACTCCTCCATCGAGCCGCGCGATGGCGTTGCGGGCCGCCTCGTGAAAGACTCGCATCTACGACCGCTTTTGGGGGCCTGCCCCCCCCCCCCCCTATCACCGAGCTCACAGAAGGCGTGTGGTGTGGCGACACTGCTATGCCGAGCGCGGATTCGTCACCCGTGGCATCCAAGTGGCATCCCTATTGGGCACCCATGCATGCTTGAGGAGGCGAGGCTGCTGCATCTCCATGAAGTCGCGCCCGCCCGGTCAGGCCTCGGAGTACCTTTGGTGGGACGAGAGCGGCGAGGGCCATAGCATCTTCCAGGGCGAGGGATGCGAGCAAGGGGATCCATTGGCCCCCGCGCTCTTCGCCTTGGGACAACCTGCGGGGCTGCAGCACAGAGGCCTCAGGATGGTGAGGAACTCCTGGCGTTTTTGGATATGACCTCTACCTCGTGCTCCCGTGCCCAACACGGTCCCGTGCAGCCTTCGATACGGCAACGACGTCTGTTGAGGCCCACACCGGGATCGCGGCCAACTTGGGCAAGACTCGCGTGTTCAACTTCTCCGGGGCACCAGCGCCGCCGGGGTTCGCGACCTCGGCGAGGATGTGTGGCGCGGGGACAAGCCGCTGCTCGAACGCGGCATAGTTGCATTGGGCGGCCTCATGGGGACACCCCAGTTCATAGAGGCGTGGGGGCGGGATCGCGGCAGCTCCCCCTACTGCCCGACTTGCACTGCGCGTGGTTGCGCCTGGCGTACTGCGCCTCGCCGCGCGCCAACCACGCCCTGCGACTGTGCCGCCCGAGCTGATCAAGCCGTACGCTGCGGCGCACGATGCGGCTGTGTGGGGCACGTTGCAGGCTTGTCTTGGTGAGCCGGCCGAGGACGCGGAGTGCCCGGCACGTGCCATCGCACTGTTGCCCGCAAGCTTAGGAGGTCTGGGTCTCACTCAGGCAACACGCGCAGCCCCCGCAGCTTACTGGGCTGCGTGGGCTGACTCGCTCGCCGTCTTCGAGGCCCGCTGCCCCAGGTTTGCCGCATGGGCGGTCGCGGCTCTCCAGGATGGCATTGGCCCAGCGTGCCTGCGAGCCGCCGAGGCTGGTCGGCAGCTACTCCTCAATCGATGTGCCGACCTGGTCGCGGGTTGCTAGGGGGGCGAGACCGCCAGGACCCGAGCCCGACGCCACTGATCCTGGCGGGCGGGTGCATGGATGGCAGTTTCACGCCGCGTACTCGGAACCGTTTTTTCCGCGACCGCGTGTTCGCGCTCTTGTGCGTTCACACGCTGGGCCCCACGCCGGCGCATGGCTTACGGCCATCCCAAGCGACCCCCACACGACGCTCTCCCCGGAGATGATGCAGATCGCATTGAGGCGACGCCTCCGCCTGCCGCTTCCGCTGGCCGCGCGGCGTTGCGGTGGGGCTGGCGGGCAATCCACCCGGGGTGTGGCCGCGTTGTCGATGAGCACGGCGACCATGCCTTGGCTTGCCCCCGCACGGGCCTGCTCGCGCGCCTTGCCGGGGTCGTCGAGCGCGCCTGGGTGCACGTCGCGCGCGAGGCTGTTGGGCCAGAGGGCCAAGTGGTGCCGCAGCAATGGCTGGCCCATACGACCGCGCCTGGAGTACCCCCGGGGAACCGTCGCCGCTTGAAGCTCGTCATCTACGGGGCGACCCCGTTGGGAGGGGCGTTATGCTGCGACGCCACACTCGTCTCGCCGCTGGCGAGGGATGGCACGCCCACTGCGGAGCCGCAGACCATGACGGGGCCGTGCACGGCCGAGCGGCGTAAGCGGGCCACCTACCCCGAGCTCGCACAGGGGGGGGCGCAACAGCTCTGCGTGCTGGGTTGTGAGGTGGGGGACGCCGAAGCTGCGTCAGTGGTGTGACGCCTGGTCCGCTTGCGGGCCTGCCGCGCCCCGGCACCTCTGCGCGCGGCTGCCGGCGTCGCCTGGGCACGCAGGTGGTGGAGCGCCCTGTCCGTCGCATGCCAGCAGGCGGTCGGCTCAACGGCGCTGGGGAGGGCAAGGGCGGTAGTGGGGCCGCTTGTGAATATCATGAGATGGAGCGAAGTGGGATAAGCAGTATTCCGGCAACGCCCTCAGTCCGGCTGCAAAAAGGGTCCCAGACTCGCGTTTGGAATTTAAGTTTAGGATCCTAAACTTAAAAACCGGGGTTTGGAATTTAAGTTTAGGATCCTAAACTTAAAAACAGGGGTTTGGAATTTGAGTTTGGGATCCTAAACGTCAAAACCGGGGCTGGGGATTTAAGTTTAGGATCCGAAACTTAAAAACCGGGGTTGGGGATCTAAGTTTAGGAACCGAAACTTAAAAACCGGGGTTGGGGATTTAAGTTTAGGATCCTAAACTTCAAAACCGGGGTTGGGGATTTAAGTTTAGGATCCTAAACTTAAAAACCGGGTTTGGAATTTAAGTTTAGGATCCTAAGCTTCAAAACCGGGGTTGGGGATATATGTTTAGGATCCTAAACTTAAAAACCGGGGTTGGGGATTTATGTTTAGGATCCTAAACTTAAAAACCGGGGTTGGGGATTTAAGTTCCGGATCAAAAACTTAAAAGCCGAGGTTGGCAATTTAAGTTTAGGATCCTAAACTTGGTGTGTTTGGGCCTTCGTCGGCAAACATAGCAAATTCAGGCTGCCAGACCCTTTGTTGCCGTGGCTAACACAAGTGACGATGTGGCTGTGCCGTGCTATGTTGGCGACGCCATTCTTGATGCAGAGGATGCACAAGTGTTTGTTTGCCAGGATGGCTACATCACGGACTATGCCAAAAGCCTGCCACGATGAGAAGTTTTTTTCGGTTTGCAGCAGAAAGACACAACACAACCGAGCTCGGTGCGAGAACAAGTGCAGGTGAGCATGGCTTAGAAGAAAACGGCTGGCGACTCGGCGCAACGTCGGGAGAGAGCGCTTCATGCCCTCGCCCAGATGCAGCTGGCCCCAGCTCGCCCGACGGTCCGGGAGGAGGGCCATAGTTCCAACACTGACGCCGCGGTGACGGACACGCTGGGCACATCTCCGGAGCACAGCCCCCGACAGCACCGGAGGAGGCAACGCCCAGCCGCGTCGCTGCCTTGGCTCACGGTGGCGCCTCGGCCGAGTCAGCCAAGAGGTCGCTGACAAGCCTGGACTGGCCACGCCCGCGCAGCGCTTGCCCCGCTCGGACTGCGCACCCCACACGTGGTTTGGTACTGGGATCGCGAGGACAGCTGGAAAAGGGCGGGGCTGGCCGCTTCGTGCACCACCTCTTGCGCGCGTCTCGTCGCGGTGCGCCGCCCGCTCTCCGCCTCGCGGCCGCTGCGGGCTGGTCCCGCCGCTGGTCGGCGTCGAGACTGGCGGCAGGTTCGGCACCGAAGCAGTGCAGCTCCTGCGCCCCCTCGCCCGTCATCGAGGCGCTTCGGTCTCGGCCCACCTGCGACGCACCGCCATCACGTCTCGGTTGCCCGCTGGTCCGGACTGCTCGCCGTCGCGGCCCAGCGCGCCCAGGCCGCCACACTCCGCGAGCTGCCCCCAGCAGCCGAGTTGGGTGAAGGGCCACCTGCATGAGGCACGCCATCGTGGCAGCTGGTGCCTGATGGACTGCGCCAAGCCATGCCCTCATGAGCGCCTCGCACCCCAGTAGGCTGACCGCAGACTCCTGAATGCTGACGTAGAAAGGCACGGAAAAAACACAGGAGGCAGCGGTAGCTGGCAAAGGCGGATCTGGCAGACAAAAACTCGAGGAAACAACAATGAACAACGTGGCAAACCAGGCAACGATTTGCTTGCAGGTGAACTTGCCTTACAGTATCGGACCAAGCTTTGGCAAACCCAAAATTGACAGCCGTCAAGGGCCAGCGGGTTCTTCGCAAGCAGCCATGTGTGTATCGTGCACCGTTTTTTTGGAATATTTGCTGGAAGTTGTGGTGGCGATGGTCAGCATGCTCTTTGCTCGCATTGCTATGCGGATTGCTGTGTAGTACTTGAATCTCAGGACACGTTTGGCATACACACGAGCCTCGAACTTGGTAACCTGCAAAACCTGCGGCACCTGCATCCTGAAGTTTGTGTGCTGAGCACATATCTTCAACACAGTATTAAGCATGATCCTCAACCAATGTCTGCGTAATTGGTAGAAGGGGGGGAAGCTCTTAGAAAGATCAGCCGAGGATCCCAGCGGCCTTGGTTGTACCTGCGGATCGAGAGCTTGGCCTTTTTGATGTGCTCCTACCTCCGTTCTTGACAGTGATCTGCATGGTCTTGCTCTTCCTCTTCTTCTTTCGGTTAGGCGTATCGAATATGATCGACAAGATGTGGATGGCTGGTTGGTTCGAAAAGAGCGGGGGAAGTCTCATTTTGCGCCCAGCGCGGTCCTTTCTCACCATGTACGCACTCGTGCTCATTCCCGAAGTTCTTGTGGCTGTGGCGCAAGGTCATGTCTGCCCTCATCACAACCGCTCCGGTGATTTTATTGCTTTTTTCATCATCAGTAGCCTTGTGGTTGTGCGGCTATGGCGACAATTGATGCCTTCCACACTTGCCGAGAAACAGGAGGCCGCCACAGCTGAGGCGGCAAAGAAAGCGAAGGAAGAAGAAGAGCGTCGCAAGAAAGAGGAGGCTGCGGCGGCAAAGAAAGCGAAGGAAGAAGAAGAGCGTCGCAAGAAAGAGGAGGCTGCGGCGGCAAGAAAAGCAAAGGAAGAGGAGGCGGCGCAGCACCTCCGACGACAAGTTCAAGAAGCTGCAAACAGCATGAAACAAACCGGCGCCGAAACACGGATGGAAACATGCACCGTCGTGAAACACATTGGGATCATGCTACTCTGCATGTGGGACTTCGTGGCGGACGTGCTCCAATCAGCAAGCTTGTGCCACAACGGCCATGGATTCTACGAAAAGGTGGGCATTGTAGCAGCTTTCATCCTTGGCATCTCATTTGCCATGAACTTCCTGTTGTGCCAAATGTGGTTTGCCCGCAACCCCGACATCCTGGAAGTAGCCAGGACGTCCAGCGGTGTTGGGAAGCTCCGCTTGCGCCTCTACCGCTTGCTGGCGTGCACGAACCCGGAGGTGTTGCATACCATGCTTGTTATGTCTCCTTGGGCGCCAGAAATGCGGCTCAGTGTGCAGAAGGCCTCCACCGATTTGAAGCCGTTCGGAGTTGCAGCCCAATTGATGGAAGACGTTCCACAATTCATCATTGGGCTCGTGGCCCTCAACTCCAGGTCCCCATGGGTTGTGATCAACATGGTCACGAAGTGCATCATGTTGCTCTTCAAGTTGATGTCAGACGTGTTGAACAGCATCATCTTCGCAGGAAGCGGGGCCGTGTCAGGCGACGTCATAGCCCACGTGAAGCGTCAGGAGAAAAGGGACGAGATGTGTCCTGAACCCACTCACATGTGCCAGGTCGTGGTTCAGTTCGTCACATTGGTGTTGGACTGGGTGATGCTGGTGAGCCTCAAACGGGCGGAGCCGAATCAGCTTACGGATGTGGCAGAGACCCTGCTTTCCACCGGGTTCGTGGTGCTGTCCGCCGGCTTTTTCTTAGGTTTAATGGTCGTCTTGAAGTTTGTGCGGGAGGAGCGCGAGTCTTTGTGGCATTGCTCTTTGCAACCTGAACTACTCACAGTGGCCGTGAACGGATGCGTTCTTGATCCAGCAGTGCGGACCTCAGCATAGATGTCGGGCCATAGTATGTCTCAGGATGTCTCAGGATGTCTCAGGATGTCTCAGGATGTCACAGGATGTCTCAGGCCCAAGCAATGAGAGTCAAACAGCGAGCACCTGCCGAGTAATCAAAACAATTGTTGTTGGAGTTCCAGTATGTTCTAGTCGACGCCAATCTACAGGGCGCAAAAGCGGAGTCCAGCAACAGAGTAAAAACCAAGCCGAATCACGCTCCTGAGGCATTCTCGGGAATTCACCCAGGTGCGGTTGGTGATCGACGCCTCTCCTTTGTTCCGTTTGTGCGGTGTGCCTACTTTTGTGGCACAGTTGGCTATTTCTTGTGGCTAGACCAATTCCCCATCAAGCAAACTTTGCTGTACATCTGGGGCGGTCTCAACGCAGTCGCCATTATCGGTATGATTCTCAATGTCGCAGATTCATCCGAAAGGCCACAGCACTACGAGTTCACTTTATTGCATCTTCAGCTAATGGACGAAGAGTTAGCCGCCAGCCTCAAGCATGCCAATGACACACCATGCCTTTTGACTGGTGGACGGGCGGGGGAAAAGCCATTGGCAGCCGACGGAGTGTAAATGTTGGGCAAACCCTGCTGACTGGCTTTGGCCGTTTTTGTGGACAGGAAGGAGTACAATACTCTCGCTGTCCAGCAAATGATAGTCCAGCTCCCTTCCAAACCCAAATGGCAGACTTTTTGGTTCAATCACACCCGCTTATGCCAAAACAGTCACATCCTTAGAGTTTGGCAGGGAGACGTGTGGCCCATCGTTGAATGTAGTGGCAGGAAGCGCGCCCGCATGCTGCCCAGCCCGCGAGGCGTTCCAGCACTGTGTCCGCGAGACTTAAAAAAGCCTTGAGCCAAGCAGATGTGTCGTGGGGTTGCCTGTGCTTCGCGCAGCATGCTGATAACACAGGCTTGCGGCAAGTCACTCCCCTCCGCAGCATCTTTGCCTGAAGCTTGCAGGTCAAGTACGGTCAAGTGCACTTCTGCAAGTTCTCTTATTCCTCCAATATATTCCACTGCATAACACAGCTGGGAGGGGAGCATTCCCGATTCATGGTTGCACAGTGATCTCCACCAAATGTGATTTTTCCGATGCTGCATGTTCATGGCGCAGCTTCGGGCGATGAGCTGGCCACGATTTCCGTGAAGGAGCTGCGGACCGCCACCCGGCATTTTTTCTCTCACAAGACTTTGTTTCACTCGGAGTTTGGTGTTCATCTAGCACGTTTCGCCAGATTTCATTTTCGCATTGTTACATTCAAACAAACAAAAAGACAAACATAATGCCAGCAAGCAGCAGGCAGAGTCCAGGCTTAAAGATGAAACAAACCATGCGCGCAAAGGGCACAGCTTCTTGAGAGCGAGTTCCTTATGAGGGGGGGGGTTGCCATGGCGTTTCCATGCTAAACTCTGAAACCCCACTACCCTTCTGGAACCTCCTGAGGGCTGGATAGGTCTTGATGCAGAGTACTGCTTTTCGTCTGTCTGCATCTTCAGGGAAGGGTTTAGGAGGGATCAGAGCCCGAAGACCAAAGGTTTAACCCACAGAACACGATCTAAGCCCAAAACCGTTTTTTAAACCCCCCAGGCGAGGAAGCTGAAGCAGCGCTTGTGCGAGCTCTGCGGGGTGCCTCGGTTCAGGCAGCGGCTCCTGTGTGGTGGCGTGCCGCTGGACGACGACGCCCAGAGCTCAGAAGTGTTTTGTTTGTCGCACAGGGGACAAAGCACAACTTTCATCAGTACATACAGCGTCAAGGCTGAAGGGCATCGGTATGGATGACTGGATGCCATGATTCGTTTCACGCTGCTTTGTGACTAAGGCCGCGCTAGATGCCGCCATGGATGTTCAGCTTGTGGTGCTTTCCTTCTGCAGTCTGGACCAACAGCAAGAGCTCGATTTGAAGATTGCAGCGCGGACGGGCAACGTGCTGGAAGTGGAAAAGATGCTGGAACACCCTTTCGATCCGAATGTGCTTTTGCACGAGGCGTGCTGGGCGGGTCAAGAAGGCGTCGCGCTGTTGCTGCTGGAGGCGAAAGCTGAGGTAAACCTATCGAACAGTTGCGGGCAATCCCCGCTGCACTTGGCCACCTTGCAAGGCCACCCGGCCCTTGTTCACCTGCTGTTGGACAAGGCAGCGGACGCAAGCCTGGCCGACATGAAGGGCAAGACTGCGGTTCATCTGGCACGGGACCGAGACCCCAGAGACAGAGACACCAACAGCACGATCCTGAGGCTGCTGGAAGAGGGCAGCGGGGGCAGGCGTATCCGGACTACTGCATCTGCGGGCAGTGCGAGGGTTTCGAGCCCCTCGAGGCGGGGAGGTGCGCGACGTGGACCCTGACAATGGTCGGGTGGCAGCATCGCAACACCTTCAGCCGCGTGAGCGCCGGTGCTGACAGGGCGTGCCTGAGGCGAACCATACTTGAAACTTGAAACCCACCTGTGCATCGTCTACTACATCATGTTCGTGTTGAGGTGGCCTCATGCTGTGGGACGTGGCTGAGCGCAGCAAGGTGGTGCTTCATGGGGTGGCAGGCTGTGGCCGTCGGGATGCAGGTCCAGGAGCATAAGTATGACGGCCTCGCGTAAATCGCCTCCCTAAATCCGGATAGGGTTTTGCTCCTGCTATTTCGTCGCTGTAGACGAAGACTGGTACCAAGTGTACCGGAGTCTGGGAGCGACAGTTGCTTGCGTAAATCTCTGCACCTTTCAAGCGCGTTCCAGATGCGAAAATCAACGCGCTCCATTGTGGCCACAGTCGCCACTGCCGTCTGCATGGGGTTGTCATGTCTTACATGTGGATTGGCAGGCTTGTGTTCGACTTGAGATCCTGGCATTGCAAGGCTGTTTCTGCTCAAAAAAGCCTGGTCCATGATCGATCAGGGAGGACGTAGCGGGCCATGTCTTTGTACCAGACGCGTTCATCCGACTCGCTGGTGAAGCTCTCTGGGGCCAGGTCCTTACATTCTCAACAGATCTCCACCTTAAACCAATGTGACCCCAGAACCCTCAAGCCCGAAGCCTCCAAACCCCGAACCCCTAAACCCCGACACCCCACTGCCCCTAAACCCCCAACGCCCCAATCATTGTCATGGGAGGTCAAGGCGGTCAAGAGACGGTGGTGAATTCAGAGTTTATCTTGCAGCGCGGAGAGATCAGTTAATGGAGTTCCTTCAAGCGGCCATGTGTGCTGATGAGTTGGAGGAGCTCTAGAAGCGGATCCAGAAGTTTCTCCAGAAGAGGAGATGGTTCGTCGAGACGAATCCCTAAACCCCAAAACCCCCAAACCCCTGAAACCAAAAGTCCCGAAACCCCTAGCAACCCCTTTGGCTAGCATCCCTAACCCTGGCCGTGGCACGCCTAGGTACGCACCCAACCGAAGTGGACTTTCAGGGGGAAGCCGTAGCGGGCCCCAGAATTTCCGGGCAAATTTCGGGGGCAGGGCTCCTCACATCGGGTTTCTTCCAGAGAAAGACGAGGCCCCCTTATGCAAACACCCTCACGAAGCTCTTCCACACCCAAGAGTTTGCAGAGTTGACCTTTGACCTGGGAACTATCCGCTGTGCCTAAGACGTTCGCTTGGGCCATTTATGGATTTAGCCGCTACTTTGTCAAGGAGCCTGATTTCAAACCCTGAACCAGACAAGCCCTGAAAGACGATTTGCTGGTATCGACTCTGAGCTACATGCGTGCAATGCGTGTAAGAGTATCGGCCCAGTGCCTCAACCTGTCAGCTTACTTTCGGTTGCTTTTTTCTGCAACCTTGAGGACTACCCACCTTAGCTCAAGTCTATCATCTGGTATCCTTGCCTCCTTTGCCCAAATGTTCGCTAGATGATAGGCTTGCGACCTTTGTGCTGAGGAGATGCAGGAAGAGCTTAGTGTTGAGGAGTAGGGAAAAAGGGCTCAGGGCACGGGGGCTTGGTGTTTAGGATTTAGCATGTTTTTTGTTCAGCTTTGCTCTCTCATAAATCTCTTGACAGTGGTTGCTCCGGCATTCAGCAAGTACCTTTAGGGACGTAGGGTTTACATCAGCTGCAAGAAACACCAGGGTTGACGGGAGTCACAAAGCCGTGCAGCAGATCAGGGGGCCTGCAAGAAAGGGTTTCCGGGTTGTTCGTAGGGTTTAGGGCTCTGGGGTTTGCGGCGGGTTGCGCATAACCAACCAACCACACACACTCACGGTATCAAAAGGTTGGTAGGATGATGGGTTCTTTTCTGGGCGTTCCACGTGTGATCTCCTAGGAACAGCGATGTCCGCGCAGAGACGCCTGGGCCGGCCTTGGCACGCTTGCATGAGCCGAGGGTTCAGGCTTCAGAGAGCCCAGTTGCGTGAGAGTCTCTCTAAACCCTAAACCCTAAACCTTAAGATCTGAACCCTAAACCGTAAATCCTAAATTCTAAACCCTAAGCCCCAAACCCTGCAACCTAAACCCTAAACCCTTTGCAGGGATTCAAGGTTTGAAGGTGAGGCTGCGAGCCGGGTGCAGTGAGGATCCTATTGCGAAAAGGGGGTCAGTTTAGCAAGGAGTGGGTGTTTGAAAGGGAAAAGGGCCATGTGCTCTCGAACTCTGCAAGGAGGTACCTTCTCCGTCTTAGCAGGGGTCGAGCTGAGTGTGAAACAGGGCCCCCACAGGAAGTTGGCTCAGAGGCTCATTGTTTGGATGCTCGGAGACGTTCGGAGCGAGCTTTCCGCCGCTGCAAGCTGTTGTCCTTCTCCAAGAAGTGTATGAAAGAATTGTGGTTCTTCGGCCCCTGATCTTCTTTGGCAAAGCCGACAGTGCTGTGAGTTGAGGGTAGGGTAGGACATTGACAAAGCGAACAAGTCGTGCTCAACTTCGCGCCAGGCCGGGCCAGTATACTTCGCTTGATTCCGCGCCCCGCCAGCCTTTCGTGTGCCTTCTTTCCCCGCTACTTGTGGTTCTAGCCGGTAGCATCCATTGCTGTGAGCTGAGGTCAAGTATTCGACGCGCCGACCTTACGATCCTGCGTGCTCTGGGCATTACGGAGCCTAAACACGCCCTTCAAAACCCGCCCCCCGAAAAAGCACAGGAATTAAATAGCCCTTCAGAAAGAGCGAAGCCCAGGGCCAAGCACGGCTTTGGGACATCTCCTCGGGATATCGGCTGAAGCCTTACTGGAGTTCCAAGACTCGACATGAACCCTTGCCTTGCTGTGTGCATTGTGTGCCAACTGACTGGCCCTCCCCCCCCAAAACCCAAAACAAGCAAGAATCTCCCCCAAGGCCCTAACCCTTAAGCCCGAAACCCTCACCCTAAATCCCAACCAAAAAACCCTAAGCCCCATCCCCCGTCCCAATTTTTAGACTGCTGAGTTCGCCCCGCCACCTCGCCTGGCCCTGGGGAGTGCGCCACTGTGGGACCTGGGGGGAGAGAGGGGCTTAAGGGCTTCTAGGGCGCTGATAGAAGTAAAGATGCCTTGATGTTGGTCGTGATTTTGGTCGAGTGGCCTTTAGAGCAATTCGGTTTTGGGATTCCGGGATGTGTGCGTCTTCGTCCAGGTACACGCCAGCTCAGACGCTGAACAGGAGCGGCTACAAGTATGGCGGGCGTCCTACACGGCGCATCAAGCACGACATGCGTTGAGGCTTGTCACAGCTGTCCTGTCACACCCCGGTGCGCCGCGCCCCGTAAGGCTTCGGGACCTCGCAAAGGCAAAGCTTGAAAAGTCTCAGCTCCAACTCTGGCAACCCGGGTGCTGCTCTCAGACTCCTTTGTTAAGAAGCAGAGTCTGCATTCCACATGGCGACGGCGGGGGGGCCCAACCCAAGCATCCTCCACCAGCGCAAGCCTCTTTGGAGAGAAGAGCCATGAGCACGAATTCGGTGTTGATCAAACTTATGGTGTCCTTTCGGGACATCCCTGTGCATGCTCAGGGGTTACCAAAAAGTGGGGACCCCCACGCCGCACACCAGTGAAACCATAATTGGCCCCTTGGCACCTGCGCAGGTCCAGGGGCCTACACCCAGTCCCCGCGCTTTGGCCGAGAGGGTCCGAAGTACACGGCCAATTCCAAACGCGGAGGACATCCACAGCTTTGGGGATTCAGGGCCTGATCAGGTTCGTTCTTCTTTTCAACTTTGCTTTGTTTTTCGCTTGTTTTGTTATCCTATAACGAGGTTGTTTGTTTATTGTTGTTTTTTTTTGGGGGGTTGGGGGGGTGGGGGGGGGGGGGGCGGAATGGTTCTCGGATGCTTGCTCAAGGCAGCAAGGCCGAGACCGAACTCTTCCCAAATCCCCGGTTTCGGACGCTCTGAGACCTTTCTGTTGGGATGTTCCCGTTATACGAACAGTCCTTAATTCATAGGGACTATAACACGGGTGTACTTTAAATCCCCATTAAGGACTGTTAGTGGAGGGGGGGAGACATCCAGCCTTTATGGTCTCTCGCTGAGCAGCCAGGCTACAAGAGCTCCGAGGTGCCAGGTCCGGGTGCGTCACGCGGCTGCAAGATCCCAGTTTCCCAAAGAAGTCTGTGAGCTCGAGTTGAGGCGCACGATCTTCATGGGGTGTGTGGGGGCAGGTTTGCGGGGAAGTCGACATGCAGTTGGGGATGGGGGGAGCTGCCAGACTTCATTGCCATTCTTTTCTCGCCCCGGCTTAAAAGTCCATCAGTGAGCTACGGTTTCTCCTGCGGCTCGAGAGAGAGAGGCTCTCCGAATTGCCCCGCTGAGACCTGCACCCACCTTTTGGGGCCCGGTTGGCATGTCCGACTTGGAGTTGATCTGTTTGCCTGGATCCCCCTGGAGCGCCAAAGCGTTTTGGATCCTCGATGCTTGCTCCATCAGCTTTCGAAAGCGGCCTTTTGAGCCTTTTGCTGATGAGCTATGGCTGCGCTACAAGTTAGGCCTGGGGCCGTGGCATCGGCGTTTTTGGACGCGGCTCACGGTTCCGATTGCCATCGTGCCCACAGGTACAAGCAACGGCTCCGGCGTCCTCACTGAGTCCTTCGACATCGCAGAGTGGGCCTTGCGCAAGTCTCCAGGTGACGAGCCGCTGACAGATGCGACGCTTCAAGCGCTTCGTGGCTGGAATGATTTGAGTGATGTCGTCATGCAATACGGCCGAGCCGCCTTTGTGGATGCGGCGAAGAAGGATGTCCGTGTGGCCATGGAGGTCCTGGCCCCGCCTTGGATGAAGAAGCTGCCATACTTCATCAAGAAGCTTGTAATGACCGTCGCTGTCAAGGTCTTTGCCTTCAAGTACGGGCGTGAGAATGCAGGGAGCAAGCTTGAAGCGGTCATGGAGGCAGTCCAGAAAATCCGGGCGGCGCTGCAAAACGGAGGGGGCAAGTTCCTGATGAACGACAGGCGAGAGCACTTGGCAAAGAAAACGAGGGCTTGGCCCTCGAAAAAGAACTGGTCATTGGACTGCTACGTACTTGCGCCAGAATCCCCAACCTCCCCAACCTCCCCCTTCCCCCTTCCCCGGAAGTTGTGAGCCCCCCCCCAGGTTCTCTTATGCGGACATGGTCATGGCCATTGCGCTGAACTTCTTGGTGCCCAGCGAGGGCGTCCTGTTGTTTTGCATCCCCAAGAAGTTCCAGACGGACGCTCCGGATCTCCTCCGGGACTTCGAAGATGTGAAACTCGGGCATATTCCTTTGGAACCATGTCTTTTGAGATGTCCGCGCAATCCTGCACCGTCCTTACGGCGTCCGTAGGACGGGCATGCGCGCCGCACGTAGCTTGCCACATCTTGCCACCTTGATTGGGTGCGACCGAGGAAAGCGTGGAAGATGGCAATCTTCGAGCGCTTGCCACCTATCCTCCGGGTGGGGAGCCAGGACCAGCCTGGCAGGGCAGAGAATGGCAAGAGCCATCTGGCCTGATCCCCCTCCCCCTGATACTATAATTCCAGCCCCGAAAAATAGAAAATCTGAAAAGGTTCCATGTAAGTAGAGAACGATGGGGTCATGTTGGGGTTTGTTCAGTTCCGGCGGCGTTTTGCCAACGCTTGCGGAGGTGGTGCTTTGTCGCAGGTGCCTACAGAGTATACGCCAGTGTTTTCCTTTGACGGCGGAGCTCGCTGTGGAAGTGAGCTGTGCCGTTCTTCTACCGTCGTCAGCCTCAGCACAGGTTCATAAGCAAAGAATGCACAAGCCAAACCCCAATCCCAAAGCCGAAACCCCAACATGGTGCTATCCCGAACAAGAAGAGCACTCCAACTTAGCCGGCAATGTGCCGGGAAGACACCTCCCTGCCTCGCTGGCCCAGTCAGAAGGTGTAGGTTTGTGGTTCAGACTGACTCAGGTTGTTGGATTTCGGGGCACAGCTCCCGAGCTAAACCGCTAGACTCCGAAACAAGGTCGTTGGCTTGGTAGGATGACGGAGAGTTCGCCTGGCCAGACTGGTTCCAGCTTTCCAAAAGACTGCGTGTGAAAAATGTCGCAAGACTTCCCGGCTGCAACGGAATTTGAGTCGTCAACCCAGCACTAGGATCTCTCTGGAGTACCATGGAATATTCGTGGGCATGGCTTTAGTTACTTGCACCACCTGGCCCAACCTTGTGGCCCAAACGACCCCTAACGATTAGGATCGCATATCCGACTACAACCCCTCTTCAGGCAACTCGACGACACTTTGTAAGGGATAGCTTCGTGCCCGAATCGCCCACCTTGAGTCCTAAACTCGAAGCCAACAGCCGCAGCAAGAACCTCTAAGCTGAGTCCTCATCTCGGAACTCTAAGCCTTAAACCCCTAAGCCCTAAAAACGCCGATGAATGCGGTGTGGTCTTGGTGACCGGATGGTTGGATCTCTGGCGCACGTTCTGAGAACAGCTGCTGTAACTAGCTACTGCGCTAGCTGAGCTGGCGAAGGAGCACATTTGATTGCCTCTTCCCTAAGTGGACGTTGGAATGAATCCTAAACCCCTAAACCTCATTAAACCCCTATGCCCCTAAACCCTATAAATCCCATGAAACCCTTAAAACCCCTTGATGAATCCTCGACTTGTCTGAGGTACCACGCCGGTCAGTCGACCGCGGAGCCCAGGTCTCAGAGTTCCTCTTTACTTGCAGGTTCATGGTACTTATTAGCGCAATTATAAGTGTACTTGTAACTGTACTTCTAACCATATTAGGGCACTTAGGGGGCTTATAAGTGGGTTATAAGTACACGTATAATTGGTCAACAAGTACCATGAACGTCCAAGTATGGCCTAAAGTGGCCTTTGGCTTCGGGGGTTGAGGAGATTTCTTTTTCAGGGCTCAAGGGGGCCTTAAAAAGGGAGGCTTAAGGGGTTTAGGCCTGAAAGGTGTTGGGTGGTGGGTATTGGTTGCCTGGCAGAGTCGCAGCAGGCTGCGCAGCGGAACCTCCTAACTGACCCTAACCCCGAAGCCCTCAACCCGAAACCGTGAACAAGCAGAAGCCCTAAACCTTAAACCCTAGCACGTAAATTTTGTGTGTTGTGTCTGCGGGACTCCACTGACTGGACCAGCCCGTGGAGTGCTCAGTCTCATTCATCCCGAAGTTGTTCCCCTGCAGTGCGGCTAGTCTGCTTGGCAGGTGGCAAAAACGAAGCCCTAAGCCTGAGCCCTAAACCCTATAAACCCTAAACGCTCAACCCTAATGCCTAAACCCTAAGCCCAGGTCGACGGTTCCAGTGAGATCACCCAAGTGGGGCTTCGGCACATCGGCGCGCGAGGCCTGGGATTTAGGGTGTAGGGTTTTAGGGTTTTAGGGTTTATGGGCTTTAGGGTTTTGGGGTTTTAGGGTTTTAGGGTTTTAGGGTTTTAGGGTTTTAGGGTTTTAGGGTATCAGGGCGGAACCCAAGTTAGTCACAGGCCTTTCCCGGCTGACTCCGGGAGTCTGGGTTCCGGGTTCCGACAGCCTGTTGCCAAAAAAGGGTTCAGGGGTTTGAAAGCGGGTCCGGAGCCCACACTCCTGTCCAACTTTGGGGTTTGCGTTTGGGGTTTTCGGGTTTTTAGGCCTTCGGGAGTTTAGGGTTGTTGGGTCTTAGGGTTTTGGCTTGGGCCACTAAGAATTTAGGGGCCAGCAGCAGATTTGGCTCCCTGAAGCCCTGAGGCCTAAAGCGCTAGACCTTGGACTTATGATCTGTCAACCCTGAACCTTCAGAATCTGGGCTTAGGGTTTAGGGCTTGCTTCGGAGAGCCCGGGCTCACGAGGTCCAAAGGGTTTGAAAACCCCTAAACCCTAAACCCTAAACCCTAAACCCTAAACCCTAAACCCTAAACCCTAAACCCTAAACCCTAAACCCAAACCCTAAACCCAAACCCTAAACCCTAAACCCTAAACCCTCAACCCTCAACCCTAAACCTTCCTCTTGCCAGAACTCATCATGGCCACAGGCACCCCGAGAGGGAACCTCCTTTCAAGCAACAGCACCTTGCGACCCAAAAACGTTGAAGGACCCTAAACCCTAAACCCTAAACCCTAAACCCTAAACCCTAAACCCTAAAAACCCTAAACCCTAAACCCTAAACCCTAAACCCTAAACCCTAAACCCTAAACCCTAAACCCTAAACCCTAAACATCCCTAAACCCTAAACCCAAACCCTAAACCCAAACCCTAAACCCTAAACCCTAAACCCTAAACCCTCAACCCTCAACCCTAAACCTTCCTCTTGCCAGAACTCATCATGGCCACAGGCACCCCGAGAGGGAACCTCCTTTCAAGCAACAGCACCTTGCGACCCAAAAACGTTGAAGGACCCAACCCTAAACCCTAAACCCTAAACCCTAAACCCTAAACCCTAAACCCTAAACCCTAAACCCTAAACCCTAAACCCTAAACCCTAAACCCTAAACCCGGCAAAAGCCAACAATCCCGCCCCGCCATCTTGCATTTTGTTGGGCTGTACCTGTGTTTTGTCTAGGGTTGAAGTAGAGGGTTTCCTGTAAACATATACAGGAAGTAGAGGTTTTCCTATTCAGAGATGCCAAGAGGATTTGCTCCAAGAAAACAATCAAATCCTTTTCCAAACCTGTCATGCGAGCATTGTTTTTGAAACGCTTTACTTGACTGTATTCGTGTATTGTTCTAACTTTTCTGAAGCTTGCAAGCTTGCTTTGACAAGCAGATCCTTGCGTTAAGAAAACATGCGAATCCTTTTCCAAACCTGTCATGCGAGCAGGGTGCTTGAAAATTGCTAATAGGGGTAGGGGGGGGGGGTGGGGGCCCCCGGGGAAGCACAAGAGCAGTCCTCCATAGCCTGAGCCCAAGAAGTCTGGCAGAACGCCTCAGGCCTGCAATCGTTTCGCCCAAAGCGAATGCCTTACCTCACCCTGCGCAAAAAGCGCATCTTGAGCGTCATGAGCCCAGGCTACCCCGATAGATCCCTTGCTCGCAACACAGGAACGTAGAGATTTTAACCTGACTTACAAAAAAGAAGATGATGTCCCTGATGTCCTAAGATGCATTTGCCAAAACATACTGCGCTCACCAATCTGCCTCTGATACAGCATAATCAGCTGATTTCGGAAATCTCGCGGCCGCTCCTTGGGATTCCCATATGTTCAAAGTCGACCGACTGGGAGTCCGGAGTGTTGTGATCTTGTGCGTGGCGGATCAGCAGCAGAGTTACGAGCTGCTTCGGGCGGAAGATGAGCAAATCGTTTTCGTCACTCGTCGAGAATCCGCCCTGATTTCCGCCGAGTGCCAAATCAACCAACTGGTCGAAGCTGGCTTTGAGATGCCCATTTTGCAAGCCAATGATGGATGTGTTTTTACCCGAGCGTTTCTGCGTTCGCGTGGTCAGTGTGAGAAAGCCAGGCGGCCGCAAACAACTCAATTCGCTGCGGACTTATCCCAACCGCCCAGAACGAGATCACGGAAAGTCTGGGCAATGAATGCTACATCGTCCAACTCGCTCGCAGCCGCGGATTGTGCCTCAGGATCCTCAGGACGCAGAGCTCCGCAAGCAAGCTGCGCAGTCGTAACGGAAGCGAAAGCCTACGCCCCTACACTTCACTGGTCTTGGCTTAGGAGGTCTTGCGAAGCGCGCAGAACCTGGAACGATTATGCTAATAAAATTACCTTTGAACGCAATGTGCTCAAGCCAACCTGGAAGATTGCAAACATGTTTGCAAAGCTTGCTTTGAGGCTTTGATGGCAACAGTTTGTAGACTAACCTCCGCAGCTGAGGTTGCGTTGCAACAGCTGTTCAAAGAGAGCACGAGGGACAAGAAGCGGATCCTCGAACTAGAAGGCGCATATTGAGTCAGGAAATGCCTGGTGTGTGAAGGTGTCCTGACGCTTTGCGCGCATCCAGCACTACATATACCAGCGGTTGACCAGAAAGCCGTGTGCGTTCATGCTGAAGCAGTCACTGCGAACTGCTCACTTGCTCTAACAGCAAGCTTTCGTTTACGAAAACATGTACTTCCTCTGTGTTTGCCGCGCTTGCTAGACCAGGTGTCACACTTGCTTTGGACGAGTCAAGCTCCGTTCAGTCCCATCTGCTTGACGCTGCTTGCCGTTGGCATGCATCTCTGCAAAGGAGGGGGGGTATGATCTGCGCCTTTCCCCCTGCAAAGCGATGTGGAGCAGTGGCCCGTTCTAGCAACTTGGCGTTGGCTGGTGCCCACCTGCCATCTTTCGCGTGCGGCTTTGGGTCTGCCTGCGACGCAGTGCGCTGTGAGTTTCGTTCGACTGATAGGAAGGCCTCATGGGGTCATGCACCATGCGCTGCAGTCTGGTCGGCTAGAGCTACATACAAGTCACCACTTGTAGCCGTCTTGTCGTGGAGCATCAGGATGTTGCAGGAACTGTCGTGCGCGTGGGGCGTTTGACACTTTCATGCCCTGGCTGCTGGCAAACTTGCAAAGGGGCATAGCCTGGCCGCCGGAACCAGTCGCGCTGCCGCTTCTCCTTCACTTCCGCGGGGCGGCAGCTTCATGTAATAGCGCGCGCTGCTTTGCACCCGACCCGGCGGGTCCGCCCGGCGCGACTTCGGCCGCTGAAACGGCGTTGAAGGGAACATCCGCCACCAGCACTTCTTCCAACGTCAACAGAATGTCCCCGAAACGAACCTCTAAATCGACCATGCACGAAATGGCGGTGTCGCCAGAGGCATTGTGCAGGGTAACACTCCGATATGGTACTTCGTGACTCGAAATCCTGAAAGGTTGCTGGCGGAGACTATGTGACATGTTGCTCCACTGTCGACTTGCTACTGCAAGAGCTTCGGCAGCTAGCGCGCGTGTTTACCCGCCGTCTCGAACCTTCGCAGAGAGCAACGTTGACGTCTGCGGTTTGCTTTGCGATGCGAGGAGGGGAAATAGTGTCGGCCGCAGTGACATCTGTGGGCCATTTTCGCTCACTCACTCACTCCCTCACTCACCCATTCACCATGTTGAAAAGAAACCTGTAATTCCTACTCACCCGCTAATTATTCTCATAGCAAGTCGTTTGTTTCCATTGCATGATAGTATGAAACACCTGTGTAGTTTGATAGGAAAACCTTCATGTAATGGGGAGAACCTCTATGTCCCGTGCATTTTAAATAGTAGCAAAACCTCTTTTCCTTTGTGTGATTAAGTAGGAAACCCACAAAGCCCAGCCCCCATTGCCAAAAGCTGGTCCCCGCAGGGCCATCTTTCCGCCCAGGGACCAGGCTCGGAGACCCGGAGTGGTCAGGGCGATGAGGTTTTAGGGTTTTAGGGTTTTAGGGTTTTAGGGTTTTAGGGTTTTAGGGTTTTAGGGTTTTAGGGTTTTAGGGGTCTTATTGCTTGACAGTTTTTGGATTTCAGGGTTTAAGCTTTCGGGTTCAGGGAGGGTTTAGGGTTGAAGGTCTGGCAGTCAGCGAGTCCGGCTTCTTCAGAAAGGGCTTAGGGATGCGTAGGGTTGAGGGTTTTGGGGCAGGTGGGCGTTGCTAATGTGTTGTTGGGGGTGTCCTGTGAGCCTTAACGCTGAGGCCCTGGATCCTACGACGCCCCTGTTGTTGCCAAAGGACCCCGACAGGGCGTAGGCTCTTGGGCAGTTTTGGGGGTTTGGCCGTCTATACTTTCTGTTGCCCCCATGATGCATGGAGCAGGCTTCTTTGAACTTGGGCTCAACCTGCACCCTCGGCTGCCAGGAAGTCCGAAGTACTCCATGCGCCCAAAGATGGAGACGCGCAGGAGGGTTCGCTGGTTAGGTGTTGCGCCGAAGGCCCTGACCACCCGAGGAACAACATCTAAAGTTGTCGTGAAGAGGAGAGCCGCGTAGAGTCAACCCCAACAAGCCCCAGCAAAGGGGCAACCCAGCCTGAAGCCTCGAAGCCTCCCGGCCTTTCGGATGTCTGTTAAAAGGGGTGGTGTTTTCGGGGGCGAGAGTAGACGGGGCTTCGGATCCCGAAAAGGCGTTTTGTGGGCAGCCTACTGTAGCGGCTGCAATCTTGTAGGGTTTTTGGGGGCCGCCTTCTGCCCCCGGAAACCCTGCACGACCCCCTGGGCAACCCACATGTGTTGCATATTGGCAAGAAGAAGGAACTCGGCCCCCCAGGCTCAATGTTGTCTGCGAGTTTCATTTAGAGTTTCCATCCCTGGCCGCTGCTCTCTTGTGGTGCTCTGTCTACGGATACTCTGAACGGTGCCGGGGCGCTCTGGCCGCCCCCACAAATGCGCGTGGGCTGCTTTCTCCTCGTCGCTTCGGCGGTCGCCTTCCGCGAGGCGGCGGATCTTCAGACGACTGGCCGCATTTGGCAACTTTTTTTTGGGGGGTTTCCAAGACAAGGGTGCTCTCATTTTTCTTGGTTCTTCTAGTAAGGATGCTTGCTATGTTTACGTTTACGGGGTTTTTGTCGGAAAATGACCAGTCCTATTTTTGTTTTCTTCTTGTGGCCCCTTTTCAACTAGACTTGAGGGTCTCGTTGACCTTTGATACGTGCCGACCCCACGTCTTCAGCCCCAGCAGGAAGAGCAACTTGAGCAGCAATGGCACTGAGAACTCAGCTGCTCTCCATCGGGACCAGGCGGCGAAGATGCCCCAAACCCTGATCCAAACTGAACCCTACAAAGCACCATCGTGCGGTGTGAGGCCCAAAGCCCAAGAGCACTGTAGAGTACTGTAGCCCCCTCTCTAGAGAGCCCTTTAAGATAGGGAGCTGCGTCCTTCATCACAATCCCTCAGCTCCTGAGGCCGAATAAGGGCCCGAATAACCTTGGAGGTTGCCCACCACGCCGCCCAGCAGTCGAACGCCACAAAGGCGGCTTCGAAGGCCACCACAGAGGCTGCAGCTACGGCGAAGGCCGCCGTGGAGGTCCTCCTGGAGGAGGGCAGCCGCGTCACTGGGCGAGAGGAGGCTCTGGAACTGTATATCTATATCTGTATATATGTGGTCATTTATTTATTTCTTGTTTTGTAGTTCTTTTACATATGATGACCAACACTACTTCAACTTAGATCTGAGTGGCTTTGCCTTTCCCTAAAAAAATTCCCTTCACACCGGAAGGTGGTCCTTTCTTGCCTGGATATTTCAAGCCTTAACCCCACGAAACCATGGCAAACATCCCCCGGAGCACAAGCCCAGCACACCCAGGCCATGGTGGCAAGCCGTGGCTTGCACATCGTCGGTGCCCTGCTTTTCACAATCTGGTTCTGCGCGGTCAGCGCCCTTGTGACGCTGCTGGGCGAGAGATAGGGGAGCCCTTTTCCCGAGAGCTTTGCAAAGCCCAAACCATCAAGGTCGGCAGAGCCATATGTGGGTCGCCGAAGAAGCCCTTCCTCTAGTGTGGATTTGGCTATATTGAATGGGATATATATACATATATATATATATGTGCAGGAAAATGTGTATGTATGTATGTATGTATGTATGTATGTATGTATGCATGCATGTATGTATGTATGTATGTATGTATGTATGTATAAACAAAAATAAACATGTATATATAGATACATATATGTATATATATATATACATATACATAACTGGTAGAATGCAAAATGTCTATCGAAATTTGTTTGTATACATATTGGCCCCTATTTTCTGGGAGCTTCCTTAATGTTCTTGAACCTGAGGATTCCCTGCTGCTGCCTTGTCCGGGGGCACCTGAAGTCTCGGGAGCTGCGGGAGAAGCTGGAGAACTTGAAGCTCCAGCACCCGGCCCACCTGCCTCTCGACTTGGGGGGATCTTAGGGTTTAGGGTCTTTTCGGTGCACACATGTGCAAGGAATCTGCGACGTGGGACACCCTCCTCCCTGGGGCCACCCGAAACCTTAAACCCGAAATTCAAGACCCCTGCACCTGAACCATAAGCCCAAGACACTACACCCACCCACCCCCCAACATGTAGCTTGCACGCTTCGGGTCAAACTCGGTGTGAACTTTGTCCGATTGTGCTGCTGTTCCCATAGAATTTGCCCCTCCTACACACATGTTCAGAGTTTAAGGTTTGAGGGTTGAGCGACGGGGTTGTGGATGTAGGAACAAGCAGCCTGCGGCCACGCTGTCGGATGGGATGATGCGTCTGGCCCAGGAGGACTGTGCCTGGGCATGCTTGGGCCATGGCAGGGCCTTACCCCCCACATCCTCTCGATCTTTTTGTTCGCAGTTTTTTGTTCGTTAGCAGCACTAGTTTTGCAAAACTCTTGTGCCTGGCTGCTGCGACTTCTGGCGTGTGAAATCCCCCACTCCCACGCCGAGAGAGTCCAGGTATCGCTTAGGATAGGCCTCCATAGAGTAATGGCTTGAAGCTTACGCATGGGCCTTGTCACAGCCCTTTTTTCGCAGCTATTCCTGCACGGGAGCTTTGCCCGAGGCATCATCATCAAGGAGAAGGTGAACATGCTTCAGGACAACGAAAGAAACGAGACCAGAAGCCCTGTCAAAACCTGAACTTGCCACATGAAAGCTGGAACTTGGTGGGGGCGCCTTTCGCGCACGGAGGGGTTTGGACGGGTTTGGAGGGATCTTCAGGGCTTCGTCTCGGGCGGAACTTGGCACATTTGCTCGGACCGTTGGAGGAGGCGACCGGACATCTCCTCAACTACTCCATCCAGACGGCGAACGCTTTCGACGTCTTCTCTGTGTCGGACAGGCAACCCGAAGCTTCAACCCTAATTACACTAAGTCATCTCTACAGCCCTGAATCCTAAAGCCATGCAAAGATACAATCCCTCACAGGGTTCCTTGTCGGGGGAAGAAAGGAACTCCTGAACCCCTGCTTCTCTAGCAAGAACCATGACTGGACCACTACTGGAGGTAGGTAGGGTTGAGGGAAAGGTTCATAAGGTTCCTAGGGTTCAGGGGTTGCAGCCCCCCCAAGAAAACTTTGTGACGTTGCCTTCCTGCAGGCAGCAGGGCGAGCAGATCCTGTCTTGCCGAGAACAGCAAGATCTCCAGGTGACCTGCGGTTTAGGGTTCGGCACACCCAACGGGAAGTAGCCTTTGTTCTGTGATTTGGGTTCGATGGTTTTGTAAGTGAGTCGATATATCGATCGCTATCGCCGTCTGGGGGCCTGAAAGTTTCAGTGTAGGGTTGAGAGCTCTAGGACTTTTCGAGGAAGGGGTACGGCCCAAGGCCAGCCCCTTGCCGTGCAAGACCGTCCTGAAAATTCTCAAACCTCTAGGACCCCCCTCCTTTCCAACCCTCCGGTGTTTCTGGATTCAAACTCTCTGGGACCCCCCTACAACCTTCCTTGGAGCTGGCCTGGCGCGCTGTCGGAATTTTTAAGGAAGCCCTCAACAACTGCGGACGAAGTTTTGTGCAAGTAGGCAATTGGCTTGAGCTTTCGGTGGCTGCGTAAACCCTAAACCCTCAACCCTCAACCCACAACTTCTGCAAGTCTTTCGGGCGTTCTGGGTTTGGGGTTCAAAAAGGGCTTCAAGGGTTCAATTCGTGCGGCTGGAGCTTCCAAACCCTAAATACCCCCCAAGTCCACCCAAAATCCCTTAGCCCTCCAAAACCCTAAAACCCCGGCTGCTTTTGTCGGTGGTACTTGCGCGGCCTCCGCCCTCGAAGCCCATAGCCCGCACAAGCTTCATCCCCTAAACCCTGCAACAAAACTTACATGCCCAAGAAACAGGCCCTCAGAACGCAAGCTAAATCCTCCAAAAGTCTTGCTGAAGGCCCAAGAGCCCTATAAACCCTAAAACAAAAACACCCTCAAAACCCAAAACCCTATAAACCCTAAACTTGGGATGTTCCCCTTATAGTAGCAGTCCCTAATCGGGATCAGAAACGGGCATCCTAGAACCCTTATCAGGGACTGCGAGTATAGGGGGGGAACATCCCAACCCTTTCAACCCTTTTCGAACACGCCAAGGCGATGGTGGGCATGAATCTGGCCGCTGGCCTCCAAGCTGCCGGCCTCGATGGAGCCGGGGCCTTCGCGGGCCGCGACAAGGCCAACAGAGGGCTTTTAGGGGGGGTTCAGGGGGCATTTAGGGGGCATTTAGGGGGAGGGTTGTGGGTTTCGGCGTCTCGCAGCGCAGTGGCAGACAAGTGCCTAGGGGTGTGGTGGGGGGGCCGGCAGCGGCATGTAACGCGATGCGGGCCAGCAATTTTCATCAGTGCGAGGTTTGATTTTCCCCCCTGCCCTTCACAGGCGACCTCCCAAACTATTGCCTTTTAGGGGTTTGGGCTGCTGCCCAAGTCCCACCATGAAGAACGCTTCAAAAATCGATGAAGCCAAACATTGGGGCGCCAGAAATGCCTCCTCCACACGCCTTCCATGGGGGCTCCAAGGAACTTCTCCAAGGCAGGTGTCTAGGAGTGCCCCGGGAAGCCCAAAAACTCCACGCTTGGGCTTGGAATGGCTGTGAGTCTGGGAAGCGCAGCTTGAGTGGCCACGTGTTGGCACCTTGAACTCCCCCATCCCAACTTCTAGTATACGATTCGTTAGTGCCCGTATTCGATCGCGTTCTTCAACACACCAGGCAGATTCCCCGAAAGATCCAATCTTGCAACAAATCTCAGAAATGTCGCACGCGGAAAGCATGGCCCCACCATGTGCCTTCTAGGGCCTATACAGCATGTCCAACATCAGGCGCCGTTCAAGATGATGATTGGGTTGCCACAAGGGCCACAAGGGCCGGTGCAGACACTTGGCCCATTGTATGCTTCGGGGTTCAGAAGTTTAGGGTTCAGCAGTCCAATACGATTGCGTCTACCTCGCGGGGGAGTCGGGGAGTAGCTCCCCATAATCACATACATTAAAAATTTAAGGATCGTATGACAAGAGGGGTGAGGATTTTCTGGCAGCTAGGGTCGGCAGCTGAGGACCAACACCATTCAGGTGCAGGTGCCGGATGGCGTGGTTACGGGTCAGCAGATCCAAGTCACGGCGCCAGCTGCCTGACAGAAGGGGGAAGAAGGGAAGAACCGTGCTTTTGAAGGTCGGGGGCAGCCTTGTTTTGGTGTGGGCATGCTCACTTCACGCTTTGCGCGAAAAGGGGTTGCTGTCGCGGCAAGAAAAGAAGAAAGCAGGATGGGAGCCAGATGCTGGTGGCCGTTCCTCCAGGCCGCGGTCTTGCTGGTGCTCGAAGGGCGGACCGGGGAGATTTGTGTTGGCACGTGGGATGCTCCCCCTTCTACCAGCAGTCCCTCCATAGGCATCATAGCACGGTCCTACTACAATCCCTAGGAAGGACTGTTAGTAGAAGGCCCTCCTGGTCTTGTGAAGGCGTGGCGGCGGGGCAGACCTTCCCCGTGATGCCCCGCGGATGAAGTGGGCTTGGTGGGTTTTCAGGCTTACTTGGAGGTTCATGGCACTTATGCGCCAATTATGACTGTACTTTTCACCCACTTCTAGGGTTATAATTGGTTAATGAGTACCATGAACCTCCAAGTAGGGCTTTGTTCGTGCCAGCCTCGGACGAACCCCGTCAAAAAACCATTCTGGGCTTTGGCCTGTGCGAAAGTTAGAAGATCATCAGAGGCATCAGGAGGTGGAGGATGCAGCAGAAGTTGCCTGCCCCCCCCCCCCCCCCCACCCTTACGAAGTTCTGATGGTGTAGTGAATCCTAAGCCCGGTCTTGACGAGGCAGAGGTTGCAGAAAACAAAGAGCCCCTAACCTGAAATCCTTTCACCCTTATGCCATCATAAGAGGGCCGGAAGTGTGTCAGGGACTCAACCCTAAGCTCCAAGCCCTGAACCTTTGTGCCCTAAACCTGAAGGCCGAAACAGTGTCAACGGAGACCTCTTGCTGGGCTTGGGTTCTAGAAGTTAAGGTCGGAAAGAAGCAAAGTCTAACCTGTAGTCCCAGAGACCCGACAGTGCTCCACACCTCAAAAGTCCCCAGGCCCTCGGCCCAACAACTTGCGGTTTTTGGGCCCATCTGTTTCTGACGTCCAAAGAAGCCGAGGCTCCCCAAAAAGGAGCCGTCCTCGCCCTCCTCGCCCATGCAGAACCTCTTGGGAATGGCGCAGGTCGGGGAGTCACGGGTTTTCTTTGTTGGGCGTCTGTTTCGGAATTCAGGTGTAGGGGTCTTGAGGGTTTTGAATTTTAGGTTTCGAGGTTCGGTGGTTTTGGGTGCCTGGATGCGCCCCAGACCCCCAAGAAAGCCTAAAGCCCTCTGAACCCTCCCTAAACCCTAAACTCTGCAAACTCTAAACCCCCCCCTTTTTGGCCAGGGCCTCGTCCCGGGGGCCAACACGGACGTGCCCTTCCTCTACTTGGACCGGCCCTTTGCTTTCGACATCATGTGCGTGACCGGGCCTGGAAGTCGAGGAGGTACTTGCGACAATCTCATCCCCCTTCAAATCTCTGGACATCGCTGCGTTATGCCAAACATAAGCTATACCTGGAGCACCCACTCCCGTGAAATGGGCCCCCTGCGTTACGTAGGGCTTATGGAAGTTTGTGGTTGTTTAGGGGGGGATGAGGGCTCTAAGGACTTTGGGGGGCTGGAGCTTTGGGCTTGGGGGAGGGGGAAGGGAAGAGGGAGGCTTTGGAGGTTGGTTGGGGCTCAAGAGCTTTGAAAGCTCATCCTGAACACAGTCGTGGTTGCTTGTGACCCCCCATCCCTCCACAGGCCTTTATAAAGGCATGAGATGCTAGTTTGTATGGGGCCCCCCACATCCTCCACCCGAGGTGAACCGGCCCTCAGTGGACGTCTACGATATGCGCGGTGGGGCTCAGGTCCGGTGTGAGGATTCGGGGTTGTGAGGGTTTTAGGGTATTGGGGGGGGGGGATCAGGCCCGCAATTGTTAGCGGTTAGCGATAGGTTTGCCCAAAATGTTGGGGGTTACCATCCCTTGTACCTTCACCCTGAAGCAGAGGGGCCATGATTGGCCGCAAAGGTCTGCTTCGGTTTGTGCTAAGGAAAGGGCGCCCCCTCAGAGCCCTTCGTAGGTGAAGATCGGCGTCATCTCGGACCCCTTCGCCTGGGTGGACATGACCTTCGGGATTCACCTTGGGCCAGCGGCAACAAAGGCCGCGACAAAAGGGGCTTTTCAAGGAGGGACCTGGAACCCTGAACCCTGAAGCAGAAGAAATGCCACCCCAAACCCTAAAGCAGAGAGGGACCCCTGAACCCTGAAGCAGAAGAAATGCCACCCCAAACCCTAGAAAGTTTTCGGGGCTTTAGGGTTTTCAGCCCACGCGCCACCGGGAGGGTGCGGGGTTCTGGGGGTTCACAGGCTTCCCCACAAGTTCTCCCGCAGCATGGAAGTTACGGACCAAAGGCCTTCTGCCCAATAATTTTAAACCCCCTAATCAAAGGAGGAGGGAAGTGAAGGGGTGAGGCCGGTGAGGCGTGAGGGGTCTCTTACGGGGTTTGCACGCTGCCGTTGTTTTGATTTTGCTGGTCAGGGATTATGGGGTTCAGGGAGTTGCAAGTGATGTGAAGGATTCCGAGGGCTGAGCCAGGATTTGAATGAAAACCCCCCCCCAGACTTCTTCTCAAATCCCCCTTGGTTCCGTTGAAAGCTCCACTCCTGCCACATCAAGAATCTCCGAAGCACCCCAGAGGCACTCCAGAGCCCCCCCACTAGCCTTCAACCATCCCCCGGGGGGAAACTCAAGGGGCTTCAAACGGCCCTTCGTCATAAAACACAAGGGTTTTGCTGCTCAGGACGTCGCGCCGGTCCTCAAGGCGTCGCCTGCTTTGTGCGTTCTTACTGGTTTCATGGTTCCAGGGTTCCGGGATTTCATGGTCGGGTGTGAGGATTCAGTTTTTGTTTTGTTTTTTGGAGCTTTGAGTTTGTAGGGTGTGATACTGGTTGGGGGCGGCTTTAGGCTTTGAGGTTTTGGTGGGGACCTAAGGGTGCAAGCCTTGTCCAAGATTGAGGTTTAAGGTTTATAGGGCTTGGGCCCGAGGATCCCTAAAACCCTTTAAACCGTGAGCACAAGAAGTTTGGGGTCTCGGATTCTCGCAAGAATCTGGGGAGGCTGTTGCCGGGTGCAATCTCCTCACCTTGAATTTTCAGCTTGGCCCGGCCACACCCAACCCCCTCAATTTGTTCGGAATGTAGTGAATCCCGAATCCTAAAGCCTGTGTGAGAGTCGAAAGCCTTGCGTTGGGCGCGTTGGCTGGACGGACTTGTTGACTTAATGTTTCATATTTGTATGGGGAGCATGTAGGGCCACCCTATCCCTCACTCACCCTCGACCCTAAGATCAATTGTAAAACGCAAAGCCCGAAGCCCAAAACCCGACCCAACCACCTCAGGGTTTAGGGTTTAAGGTTAACAGGGTTTAGGGTTTAGGGTTTAGGGTTTAGGGTTTAGGGTTTAGGGAACTACTCAAAAAAAACCTGAAGCCCCCCAAAGCCTTGGAAGCCTTCGAAGAGGTGAAAGGCGCAGCCTGCCAGCCCGGTGCCGTCTGCCAGCTCTGCGGCCTCTGCTGCGGGCGCCAATGCCAGGCTTCGTTCTCCGTCTGTCTGGTGTTAAGGGTTTAGGGTTAAGGGTTAAGGGTAAAGGGTTAGATTTCAGGAGTCTGGGTCCAAAAAGGGGATTAAGGAAAACGGGTTTAGGGTTCAGGGGTTAGAGGTATTCTCTGGGTTCCCTTGTTTTTGTTCTTCATGCGTTGTATCTTTTTTTGGGGTTTCTTGCTCGTTTGGCAGGTTTGATTGAGCGTGCTCGGTAAGATTAGAGTCACGAAGTGCTCATCCCTGACGCTGTCTCATACTCAAGTGCATGACGAGTTAGGTCTGCCATGAAGTTAGAAGCTCTGCTGCTGACACTGGTTAGCCGTATCTTGGAAGTGGGGTTCAAGGAACCTTACGAAAAGTTCTCTTGGGCAAGGGGTCAGACAGCTGTGACGAAGGAGTGCCATTGCATCTGTGATTGCCAGTGCAGTGACGCATTGAATCCGATTTTATTGCTGCTTGCACTGATTTGCCCTGCGATCAACCTTGTCTGCTTCTGCAGAAGACGCGGCTTTGTGACAGCAGAGCAGAGTCATGACAACCCACGACGGCGTGGCCGAGGACTTGTTACAATGCCTTCCAGGTGACCGAGTAGCTGTTTTCTACAGTGACGATACTTACTGGCATGAGCGAGTCTTGATCTGGAAGGCGAGTGACACTTCTTGGTATGTTTTGACTCCTGACATGGACCTTTATGAAGAGAGCTTTACATTGGTTGGCGACGACGGTCCTGTGAAGATGAAGGTGAAGGGGAAGCATTTTGAATATTATTCAAGACTGCGTGCGCCAGTGTATAGGTTTTCTTCTGGCTTGACCGAAGAGGAGATGAGGACCTACATCGAGAAGGCGCTAGACGAGCTGAACATGGAGGTCGTGCCTTTAGATGGCTGGAGGCCAAAAGAGGTGCGTGTGGGTCAGAGGGTGGTCCCAACCTCGGTTCTTCTTGGCAGGAGATTCGTGCCCAGGCGCGTTACCAGGCCGCCCGGCGGAGCTGCGTCAAGAGGTGTGGTGGACCAGCCGGAAAGAGCCACAGAGTCTTCAGCAGATCTGCCTCTGGGGCTTTTGCCCCTCGAACCAGCTCCTGCAGGCTACATGTGGGTGTGGTTTCCCCCCCTCAGACCCGGAGCTGTCGACATTCCTCGGGAGGTGGCGGTTGTCGAGGGTCAGGGGGTTCGAGCAGGGGAAGATTTGGGTCTCATCAAGCGGGGTGACGGCTGGCTTCCTTTGACCTTAGTCGCCATTGACCAGGCTTCGGAGATTTTTGGCTGCTACTTGGGGCGACAGAGGACCTCCGAGGCCTTACATGGGGATGAGGGCCTACCTTCGGCCAGGAATGCGAATGAGGAAGGCGCCGTATCTTCTACTGAGCCTTTGGATGCAAGGGTCCTTGGTGTGGATTACAACTCTGTAAACGAAAGACACAAACATTGGCGCGAGGTTGTCAATGAGTGCAAGCAGTATGAGTTCCCCGACTGGCCTCTTGAGGGACCGATGAGCGTGGGCCACCTTATTCGACATTTCCATAGCTTTGGAGGTGATCCCAAGAGATGGCTCCTTGAATGGATGCGTTCCAAGAACATCGCGGAGAACGACCGTGTGGCTCACGAGATGCGATGTTTGGTGGACGTCATGTTCACAGCTGGTTGTTATGACCAGTTGAATCTATGCTCCCTCGCGAGCATAGAAGTGGTCGGGCGTCGAATGCAAGCTATCATCGACGCCTACACCTTGGGAGGTGCAGCCGGGCCTGACTGGCAGAACGCCAAGGTTATCGCCGGTTACCGCAGTGCAGATGATGCGGTGTCACCAAGCTTGCGGTCGTGGGCAGCCAGGCGCACCAAAGAAGAAATTGACATGGCATCTTCTCGTGCTAAGATCCGTGAGCATCGCAAAGGCCTGCTGGTGACCGATGAGGCTGCAGGTGCTGTGGCAGACGGCGTGTTGCCGACAACCGGGGCAAAGGCCAAAGCCAAGGCGAAAGGCCGTGGCAAGGGGCTGACTGCCCCGGATGGTCAGTGAAGAGTGTGGCGAGGGATCGTGCCCGGTCGGTCCCTCTCATGGCCATCAATCCGGGGATGCACGTGCTGCTAAATCCCAGTTCTCCCGTGACATGTTCCCCCTTCCTGTCCCACCTGAGGTGCGCCGGGAAAAAACTTTGGGGAGACGGGTGGCGCAGCGGGTGGCCAGACATATCCAGCAGACAACCAAGGAGCGCGAGGCCGTGAAGGCTCTCAACTGGATGGCTGGCTACAAGGAAGAATTTGAGAATTCACAGTTTTCACCAGATGCTCTTCAGTCGGAGGTGATTGGGAGAGTTCGTTATCTTGCTGGGCTATGCCAAGACAAAGGTGAATTGGCAGAGATCCCTAAACCGGAGGCAGCCCTTAAGGCGTTGCTCCGTGGCCGGTCAGAATACTCTTCTGACGAGCCGACTACGTTGGCGGCCTGCTCACTTGCGCGCATCTCGCTTCCTGAGTCTCTTCATGACGCACCGGCGGTGGAGAGTGTCTTGGATGACGAGGCCCGGCATTACCTGCAGAGCCCCGAGCATATGTTAAAACCAGGCTGCGAAACGGGCCTGGGGGAGTTTCAACCGTACTGGGATCCACTCTTGAGGAGGGACGCCAAGCTCTACAAGAAGTTCATCCAGAAGCTGAACCAAGCCGGGTACTTGGTGTTCACGCAGAACCCCAAAAGCTTCTGTGGAGTGTTTTTCGTCAGGAAGAGCGACGGTCGCAAAATTAGAATGATCATTGACGCCAGGGGTACCAACTCCATGTTTCGACCTCCCCCTGGCGTTGATTTACTTACTTCAGATGGTTTTTCGAGGATTGAGCTCAACATCCCAAGCCATTTCGTCCCAGGCAGTGCCGACTACGACGACTACCTTGACCGACACCGTATTAGCATAGGGCTCAGTGATGTAAAAGATTGTTTTCATCGGCTCCGACAACCTAGGTGGCTTTGTGATTATTTTTGCTTGGATGGGGTGCCGGCTTCTTGGGTGGGGCTCGAGAACACATATTTGGACAACCAGTGGCTTGCGCCCGACTCGATCGTGTACCCGGCCCCAGGCTCTTTACCAATGGGGTTCACTTGGGCCCTATACTTCGCGCAACGCGCAAGCGAGGTCCTCATGACCAAAGTACCATCCTTGCAAAAGTCCACCTTGGTCCATGACAGGTCCAGCGCCATCGTCTTTGGAGAGGGCCAGTCCGTGAAAAACGAGGCAGGCGAGCCGCGCCCTGTGCACCATTATGTCTACGTTGACAATCTAGGGGTCCTCAGCGTTAACCATGATACAGTGGAGACGGCCTTGCGAGAAGTAGAGGATGTCTTCGGTTCTCACAAGCTGATCCTGCATCCAGGCTTGGTGTCGAGCGGCACTACGAAGGCACTGGGCTGTGCTCTCAGAGGAGACCTTCTGGCTAGTCGGGTCACGTCAGACAGGTATCACAAACTACGTCAAGCCATCCAAGGAGTACTTGAACGTAAGCGGGTTTCTGGACGCATTCTTGAAGTGCTGGTAGGCCATGCTACGTTTGTTGCCTTGATGAACCGCCACGTCCTCAGTGTCTTCAACACGGTTTACCGTTATATTAACGCCCACTACCACAAACCAGCGCCATTGTGGACCACAGTGAGAGAGGAGCTTTCGGTTTTCAGGGGGCTCATGATCTTCTTGCATGCGGACTGGGCACGACCTTGGAACACCTACGTGACTGCCACAGATTCTTCTTTGGAAGGTTTCGGGGTTGTTTCAAGTCATTGGCAGCAGCATGAGGTTGCCAGTGCCGGCCGAAATCTTGAGCGGGCCCGCTTCAGAAAGCTGGGGAGTCATTCAGCGCGCGCCTCAGCGCTCACAGCAGCGGGTTTTGTTCATGATGAAGTTACAGATCAATGGAAGGCCGGCTGGCTGGACAGCCCCAGTTACCTGGAGCACACAGGCTGGGCATTGGCTCAGGAGTTCAAGGAAATTCCTGGATATCTCTTGCAGGCTGATCGCTGGACGCCCCGGCTTTGGGGAAAATGGCAGCACTCTGCTGGGATCCTGGAGCTCGAAGCACGGGCCTTGGTGAAGGGGCTCAAACGTATTGCCATGAGCACTTTCGGGCATGATGTGCGGCAGCTCTTGCTCACAGACAACATGAGTGTTTGCCTCGCCTTTGACCGATCTCGCGCTCGCAGCTTCAGCCTCCTGGTGCAAATCCGGAAATTTGCTGCATATTGTTTGGCACGCAACATCTACTGTGTGGTTAGGTGGGTTCCATCCGAGCTCAACAGCGCGGACAAGCCAAGTAGGCTCCACTCAGAAGAAGCTAGCAAGGATCTCGCGCATGCCATCCCCCATGTCCGCTGGACCCCGCCGGGAAGCAGTTCTCAAGCCTCCAGTGGCAAAGAGTGTCAAGCCAAGGCCCAAGTCCAGGATGCTGGAGCGACCGCAGCCTTCAACTGCTTCGAAGGCGAGGGCGTCGACCCTTGCAAAGACTGGTCCGGCCGAAGCACTGATCACACCGCGGAAAGCGGACACGTTCAGCCTGTTGACGGTGCCCCTGGAAAGCGAGAAAGTCAAAGCAAAGAAACGCAGCAGAGAGGAGAGTTCAAATGCCTCGACCAGTCCGAGCAGAAGTCCTGCGCGCAAAGCTGGGCAACGACGTCTGGTTCAGAGGAGAGCAAGGCGCCGAGCGAAAGCCATGGTGGATCACCACTTGGACGGAGTGTCGCATCTGGAACAGCAAGCTGTTGGAGAAGCGACCTCCAAGCAGTACCAGAAGGAGCTTCAGTCCTTCCTCAGCTTTGCAAAGCCCCGGGGATTGGTGATGACCAATGCCAAGATAGTGGACGGGCTTCTCGTGGACTACATGAACCGGATGTATCTGGACGGCCATCAGAGCTACCGAGCCGACAGGTTGATGGCTGCCATTCTCCACCGCTTCCCACAATTTGGCCGGTTGGGGGACCAGAAATTACCGCGGGCCTGGCGAGCGCTCAAGGGCTACAGACGGCTGACGCCGGGGAAGTCCCGGTTGGCCTACCCCTTAGCCTTGTGGGCAGCCTTTGCGGTGGAGCTGAAGCGCTTAGGATGCCTGAGGATGGCTCTTTTCATGCTCCTTGCTGTGAGCACCTACGCCAGGCCGTCGGAGCTCCTTCGGGCAAAAGTGTTCAGTCTGGTGCGGCCCGCGCGAGGGATCACGAGCAGCTGGTCGTTACTGCTGGCGCCGGAGGAGGAGGAGATAGCCACGAAAACGGGGGATTACGATGTCTCGATCCCTCTGGACAGCCCGTGGTTGAAAGGCTGGAGCCACGCGTTATTCGACTGTCTGAAGCAATCCCACCCAACAGCACCCCTCTGGGATTTCAACTACCAAGAGTACCAGCTCATGATGAAGCAAATCTCGGACATGTTTGGTGTGGATGTGACGCCGTATCAGACCCGGCACTCGGGTCCCTCCATCGACCGCGCTCGGCAATACCGCAGCCTCTTGGAGGTGCAGAAGCGCGGGCAGTGGAAAGCGCACAAAAGCGTGGCGCGCTACGAAAAGAGCGCCAGGCTGGCCAGCACATGGGAGTCCCTACCAGAAAGTTTCAAGACCCACGCCACGCTCTGCGAGCAAGACCTTGGGGCAATTCTTTTGGGGCGAAAACCAGCCCCCCTTTTTGCCACAGTCGCAGGCCTGGGCAGTATGTGATGGATCTTTTCTCCGGCCAAGGAGGAGTCGGTCGTGCAGTGCGACATTTTGGCTTCAACGCCAAATTTTGGGATATCCGTTTTGGGACAGATCATGATTTGACCAACAAGGGTGTGCTTCAGAAAATCCTTCGTGAGATCCGGCAAGGTCGAGTTTTAGCATGCATGCTTGCTCCAGTTTGCGCCAGCTTCGGACGGGGTTGTGACCGCACAAAGGCGATCAGGACACGCGCAGAACCCTGGGGCATCAGTGCAAACAAGCTCACCGCTGCCGAACGTGACAGCATCCTCCTAGGCAATCGTTGCTTTGTCTCATGTTTCCGCATCATGCGCGAGCTAGACAAGTTCAAGATACCTTACATCCTTGAGAATCCTGCATACTCCAAGGCGTGGTGGCTCCCAGCACTTCAGCGGCACCAGTCCCGGCCTTGGGTTCGCTTCGTGCAGGGTGACTTTTGCCAGTTTGGTTCCTCTTGGCAGAAAACCACAACATTTCTGTGTGCGCATATTCCTGAAGATGATTTGCACCGGCTGGCGTGCACCTGCCAGGGGCCACCAGGAATCTGCAGTCGCACCCTGAAGCCGCACGTCCTTCTTTCAGGAAATTGGCGAGGAAGGCCGCGCGCCCAATGGGCGGAAATATACCCCAACAAGCTTAGCACCGCGTTGGCATACGCGTTAACTGCTGCCCACCACATCCCTCCCTATTCGTGAACTTCGCCTTTGGGAAGATTTGGGGCGAGAGTGAGTTCTGATCTTTGAGCTTCCAGTGCTTTCTTCAAGTACAAGCTCATTCTGTGCAGTTGGCTCCAACATGCTGTGACGATGCTAACGCTTTCGAGAAATTTGACCGCAAAAAGAGCTCCGAGTGACGGCAATCTGATTGAGCGTGCTCGGTAAGATTAGAGTCACGAAGTGCTCATCCCTGACGCTGTCTCATACTCAAGTGCACCCGCCCACCCGCCCAAGGTGGGGGCGAGAGTGAGTTCTGATCTTTGAGCTTCCAGTGCTTTCTTCAAGTACAAGCTCATTCTGTGCAGTTGGCTCCAACATGCTGTGACGATGCTAACGCTTTCGAGAAATTTGACCGCAAAAAGAGCTCCGAGTGACGGCAATCGTTCCATTCTAGCTCTTGGCGCTTGCCCTCAGATCTCCTAAGCGCCTGGCCCGGGCCTTCATGGGATGTTTCCTTAAGAGGTTTGGACGAGAGCAGTGAGGGCTTCCAGTTTCACAAGCCTCACGGAAGTGGAGAGTTTTTCAGACAAAAGCCGTCCTCCACTCCAGACTCCAAAGCCCATCTCCAGCAGGAAGCGTACCTGGAGGTGGTGGATCCCAACGACGGCGACAGGCGCAGCCGAAACCCTACACAACCCTTTCCGGAACCACGGTTTGGGCTCTCCTTGGGCTTGGGAAATGAAGAGCTGCTGTGAAGGCATACTCGTACTACGGTTATGATTATAAGCATGATGATTCCTACTACTACTACTACTACTACTACTACTACTACTACTACTACTACCACTACTACTACCACTACCACTACCACTACCACTACCACTACCACTACCACTACCACTACCACTACCACTACCACTACCACTACTACTACTACTACTACTACTACTACTACTACTACTACTACTACTACTACTCTCCTACTACTCCTGCTGCTCCTGCTGCTCCTGCTGCTGCTGCTGCTGCTGCTGCTGCTGCTGCTGCTGCTGCTGCTTCGTCTTCTTCTGCCCCTGTTCCGGAAACTGGTATCTTGAGCTCCGCACTTTTTGCCAAGTTCCCCAGGACGGTGGCTTTCATCACCAAAGGCTGGGCCGGTGGCTTGAAGGAGACCCCAAACCCCGCACAGCGCGCTGTGCGCAGGGGGGCTACAAGGGATCTTAGACAGGGACCCTCAACCCTAAGCCCAAAACCCGCTCCAAGATGACAGACCTTCGAACCGAATCCTTGCCTGCCTTGTGCGAGTGTGAGAGAGCCGAAACCCGAAACCCTAAACCCTAAACTCAAAACCGACGGGACCTAAGAGAAATCAGGCATCTCTGAGTTGAAGACGGCCACATGCAGAGCAATCAGGGTGTTTTTGGGATTTAAGAGCTCTCCCCTGGATCCAGGCACCTTCGTGGTTGAGAAAAGGCTTTAGGTGTTTGGGGCTTGGGGGTTAGGGGCTTAGGGTTTGGATGAAAATGGGGCTGAGGGTTTAGGCATATCACTGTACGGAGCGGAACTTCAGAACCGCCCCAGTTTTCCAAGTGGTTCCCGTGTCATTCGGTAGCAGTTGAAGGCTTAGTTTTTTCGCCTTGCTTCAGTTTCAAGGGCTTTGCAACCTTTCCACTCTTCGAAAACTGCAGGAAGACCGATGTTGCCCAGCCCCCCTTCTTTTTAGGGGGTGCAGGGGTGTGGGGGTCCTCAACCGACCCCCTTTGAGGCGAGCGAAGTTCCCAAAAAAAGACTCCAAGCCTCCGAGAGAACCAGGAGATGCTCACCTCGGCCAATACCTTCTACATTGACTTCGGTGAGGCCGACCGAAGAGACCAAGAGAAGATGCATTGCGGAGGGGGGGGGGGGGGTTTAGGGTTTAAGGTTTTGGGGTTGTTCGGCTGGAGAAGTCCCACATCAAGAAGCTCCCAAGCCAGAGGTTTCTGCCAGCCCCATTCCCCAAACCTTCCCCCGAAACCCTCTAACCCCCTCCCGAACTTAAAGGTGCCCAACCAAACCCCGAAGAATTTCTTAAATCGCAGGTGAGGGACCCGGCCTGTAAAGGGCTCCTGCCCCTGGGACGCAGAGAGGGGTCTCACTTCGGACCCTCCCCCTTCTCAACCGGGGGCCTCTATACAGTCCAGATCTGTTGTTACTACAAGCTTTGGGGGTAAGGGGGCCCAGAATTGTGAGCATCTCCCGTGTGGAGCTTGTTGGTGTAGGGGGGTTTCAGACCTTCGCAGATTGTGCAGAGAGAGAGAGAGAGGGTAGGACATGTTAAGGTTGGCCACCGCCCTCTTCATCAACTACCGTTTCTTTGAGGGCAGTGCCGGACGCCAGCACAGCTAGGCGAAGAGGCGGTTTGACACCTGCCTGCCTGGGGGGTTGTACAAAAGTTGTACAAAACCATGTGTAGTGTCCGAGCCGACGGGCTCCAGCGGGCAAAATGCTCCTGAGGGTTTGATTCGTTGCCCGGCTATGAAGCCGTCTTGCAATCTGCAAGCTCTCTTGTACCTCTAGTGCCTTGCACCAAGTCCCAGCCAAGTCCCAAAGCACACGCCTCCTGCCCGTTCCCAAAGCTAACCTTCCGAAGCACGTTTGGGGGATTCGAGGGAGCGTGCTCTCGAGCGGAGGATGTCGGGGCTTTTAGGGCCAAAAAGAGTGCTTTGGAAGGCAACCTCTTCAAGTTTCAGGACAGAGGAATGTATACAGCCGGGAATATGTAGGAACAAGTATCATCAGACTCCTTCATCACATTGCCTGCATGCACACATCCTGCTATGTTCTGTGTCCATCAATATGGTGGGGCCCGTTTGCAACGCCTCCAAGACAGGAGCACCACCGACACTCCTGGCCCAGGTGCCTACACAGGCCAGGGCAAGAAGGTGTAGCTGCAAAACAAGGGTTCAGGTACTAGGGTTTAGGGTTTAGGCTTAGGGTTTGGGTAATCATAGGGTATAGGGTTTGGGGTTTAGGGTTTGGGGTTTAGGGTTTAAGGTTGAGGGTTAGAGGTTCTCCTTGTGACCACGAAGCGTGGCCACTGCTGCTATAAGGGGAAGCAATCTAGGGTGCAGAAGGGGCCTACGCTCCATGAAAAAAACCACGGTCCCTACAGTACTGTGTAGCAACCGCGGTTGCCGCTTCAACCAGGGAAATAGGGAAGCCGAAGCCAGTTGAGGCGCGCTGACGCAGTTTGGATACTGAGCACCGGCCAACGACGCGTTCCCAGAAGCTTGTCGCACGGCGCCTCGCGCTACCTCCAAATGTAGTGTTGGAGTTTAGTGGGTGCTTCCTCTACAGCGCATGGTGCACTATAGCTTCGCTGCAATGGGGCCCCCTGAGCGGCATTTGACCGGAAAGTTAGACGACGTAGGCGCAGGGTCTTGATCGTAGCTCGACCGTGACCTTTCCACCCTTCGCAGCCTTTCGGCGTGTGTGCTAGCGAGTGCCATTCTGGTGATGGATGGTTAACCCAACATTAGCTGTTCTACAGGGTGCAAGAGACCAATCTGGCGCTTCAGACGTGCCACGCCCACTAACAGTGCGACAATCTCTTGGCTCCCGCGATGATTTTTGCAGCTTTGCAGGATCACTCGAAATCCGCTCCCTCAAGTGGCATCGACTTAACGGCGGGTTGTATTCAAGTTTGGGTTCGGAACTACAGTGGGGTGCCGAAGCGGGAAGGTAAAGCTCAAAAGCTGACTTTCTAAGCGGTGCGGGGAGGAGTTGGGGGATCTTGCTTGGTAGGGCATGCGCGCACCTTTGGCCTTGTGCTTCGCAGAAGGCGATGTGGGGGGCGCAAATGTTGAGTCTCACTCGGATGACCTGGCCGCCTTGCTACGCTCGCTACTACGCAGACCCGGATTGTCAGTTGTGATATGTTGGCCTGTGGGATGTCAGTGGTGCGGCAAGGAACAGCCACAATAAGCCGATCGCCTGATCTCCCGTGACGGATAGACAGAGCCTGGATGCGCGAGTGACTGGGACTCCCAAGCGCTTGGATGCCCACAAGCCTCATACTCCGCCCTCCCCCTGACGTTTTCGAGCCTCTTGAAGGGGAGATCCCAAGGGAGCGCATCATAGATTCGAGAGGAGTTTCCTGCCAAACCCGCAGGTTATCTCGGCATGCTTAGAGACGTGCCTATGCGTTTGCCACATCCGGAGCGATTCCGCAGGGTAGGGAAAGCAAACCATCCATATTTGGGCTACCTTGTTCTCGGCGCAGGTGTTTCTCCACCCTGTCCGGGGTTGCTTCGGATTAAGAAAATGAACCCGACCCGTAGAAAGCAAAGCCTGAGAGGAAAATGGTGCCCGGACATGAGTGCTTCGCATCTGCAAGAAGACATAAGACTTTTCCGTGAACCTCGCCCAGCAAGACAGCGCCACCCAAGAAAGATGAGTCATGGCGGCCATGGCTCAAAGAGACCCCGAAAATGGCGAGCCCCAAGCGGCAGAAGTCCGCAGGGAAGGGCGATGGGTTTCCAGGCCGGCAGCTCGCGACTCTGCGGAGCTCCTCTGCGACCCTGTCCCTGGATTCTGCGGGAGGCTCCATTGCAAGCTTCCGGCTGGGCGCATTGACCAACCCCCTCTGCTGGGACTCGGCGGTGCATGATCAGAAGGACCCGCGCATGAGTCCGTGAGCCGCTGATTGTGGTTTTTTAAACCCTAGAAGCCCCAAAAATTGTGAGCAGCTCTTCGAGTTTCCAGTCTTTAGAGAGTAGCTTAGAGAGCTCCTTCTTTGTGCCTCACTGACAAAGGACCCGTCCGACTGCAACCCGAGGCCTCTGGGCCACTTCCTGTGCCGCCTGGCTCTGTTGGAGGGTCCGAGAAGGGCGCTGAAGTAGAACCCCTGGAAGTAGAAGCAACCTCCATCTCTCAGCCCCTTAACCCCCTTAACCCCCTTAACCCCCCTAGGCTTATAAACCCTAGCTGCTCCCCCTGGCCTCCAAGGCCTGGATCGATGGGGCCCACCTTCGGCGGCCGAGCACGCCAACGGCATGCCCTATCACGGTGACCCGCTGATTCTTAGTGACAGGGAATCGGGAAGGAGGTCCACGAAAACCCCATTGAAGCCCTGAGCCCCAAAACCTGACACTTCCCGTAGAGGGTGGGGGGGTACCTGATTCCCAGATCCCCTGCTGAGCACCAGTAAGGTGAAGCTTCGTCTGCGCGCTGGGATGTTCAGGCGGAAGACGGGAGTCTACGTGCCCCGTCATCAAGACCCCCAGACCCCTCCCAGCCCCATTTTCAGACAAAGCAACCAAAGCGCTGCAAAGAAGCCCGCCACGAGACCTACAAACCCCTCAGTACGACCCTGACCCTGCATAAAAGCCCTTCGGACTCGACGTCAGGTTCGTGTTGCCTGACGCGGAATTCTAGGGGGGTATCCAAGTGTTTTTTTTGCATTCTGCAAACTGCCTAAATTAGCTCCACCTCTCAAAACAAAGAAAGTAATTGCACTTGCCGGGGCCTTAACGTTAAGATGACGCTGTAGGGCTTGTGGGGGTTACATAGGTTTGAGGGACTTGGTGTTCAGGGTTCTTCGCCCTGGACGCCTGCTGCGTCCGAAAACGCTGAAAACCCTCAACAACGACACCAAAGACCATCCAAAGACCCCATCCCTAAACCCTAGCCCGAAACCCTTTAGACTCTTTCCATCCATGCGGTGTGGTTGCGTAAGCCCTTAAGCCCGATGCCTCGAGGCCTCTCTGCCACGTTGCCCCTTGCGGGCCTCTCCGTGACGCGCCGCGCGCGCCTTCTCGAGGCCCCGTGCGCCGTCCAGGCAAGGCTAAGGGGGAAGTTCGGCTCTTCTGGGTCACAAGGGAGGGGGAGGGTGGGGGTTCTCCTTCACCTCCCAGGGCGTGTTGTCGTCTCGGTTTGGTTGGGGGTGTCCGTGGGTGGGCTGCAGGCAGCTCTGGCAGTTTTCGAGGACGAAGTACGGAACGACGCCAAGCTGGGCCGCATGTGCCCGGAGGGGCATGGGGGGTGGGCTGCTAGGGGCCGAAAAGCCGCCTAACAGCATCTAACAGCCACCGGACGAGACTTCGGGTCCGAAATTCTGAAAGTCGCCGAAATTCCGGAGAGGTACAACATGGTGCAGCATCCTTCCATCGCCGCTCCCTTCTTGACCCGTGGCTTCGTCGCTTACAGCGCTCTTTGAACTTGTTGATGGGGGGCCGGGTGTAAATGTTGCTTGTGTAGGGTTCAAGGGTTTTTTGGGGCTATTGGGGTTGTGGTCGTTATAGTTGCCTCGCGTGCCTAGGCGAAACAAGAGTGGACTGCAACGGCATGCGCGGCTTCACGCAGTGCGCGCAGGAAGCAGTCGGGGCGTTGCCGTGGACGACGCCCAGCCGCTTTCCAGAGGCTAGGACGACAAGCAGCAGGGATGCCCGGCAGATGACCGGAGGCCATGATGACGTGTTTAGCTACGAAGTGGATCCAACTTGCGCCTACGGCTGGGTCACGGCATACACGCCGAGTCTGAACCTTCTTTTGGGATATGTCTGGCCACGGGCCGACTACCCGTGGGTGTCTCTCTGGTGCAGTTCATCCGGGGAGGACCCAGCCTTGTTCAAGTTTCAGGGCGGCTGAGCTGACTTAAACTCCCCAAACTCCAACCACCTCCCCCTCCCCCTCCCTCCCCCCCCCAAAAAAAAGAGGCACAAACAAACACATCGCGGCACCCTCAAATCCTGTACACACCTCAAAGAAAACTTCCCCAATCCCCTCCCTCATATCCCAAAGAGGAGCCGCGGGCTCGCGGCCTTGAGTTCGGGACAACTGGCCTCCACCAGCCCTTCCCCGCCTCTCGCCGGTGCTGGGAACATGTCGGATTTTTTTTCAGCGCTACCGCTCGTGCTGAAGGCAGCACCCGAGGTCACCATAGTGAGGGGCAGCACATCATGTACCATAAGTAACTCGGCATCTTAATTCTAGCAAGAGCCCAGTCAACGGCAAATGTTTCGTGGCCTCAACGCAAGCACCTTGAAGCCTGAGCTGTCAACTCCGACTGCAGCATGAAGCCCTAGATAGCCTTGACCGTAAAGCCGCGACACTCAGCAGTATGGCGGTCTAAAATCTCCCAAAAAAGGAAGGAATCGGTTTCAGAAATCAAGGCGTTCTGAAATTTCGCGGTTAAGTTGGTTCCCTCGGACCCTTGGTGCGCTTCCCGATTTGCGCCTCGCTCGTGATTGCCAGAGTCGAAGCCTGAAACCTTAACCCCGAAACCATACACCCTAAACCGGCGGGTGGCAAAAAATCCTAAGCCCGAAACCCTAAAGCCCTAAGCCTGAAACCCCAAACCCAAAGGTGCTCTCACAACACCCTCGGATCTTCGACCTGCCGACCTTCGCGTACCTGGATGCGGGGGGGAGCTGCCTCAGGCGCCTTCGGTTTTTTTTTGGGTTTTTTGGGGTTTCGGGGCACTGGAGGGTGTAGGGTGTAGGGTTTAGGTTGAGGGTTTCGGATTTAGGGTTTAGGGGTTGGACCTGGTTGCAAGAGGGCTAGGAGGGCTGTTCGGCAGCCGGGTGCCCGGCAGAGCTCCCGCGGTTAAAGGGGTTTGGGGCATGTTCCTCAACATCAGGGGAAGGGCTTCAGAATCAAGAGGTCCTTCGCCTGCTTTCTCTTGCACATCCCCGAGGAGCGCCGAGATGGGGGTCCGGTGTTTGTTTGTTCCTAGGTCTTCAATGTAATTACCCTGGAACTGGAAATGCTGAGAACACTGCAATTTAGCTTTTTGAGGCACGTGCATACTGTAATTGCTAGGATTTGGAGTATTTTCAACGTGATTACCCAGGACTTGGAAATGCGGAGAGCACAGAAAATTGCAGTGTGAAGCCCGTGAATGCTGTAACTGCTCGGAGTTGGAGCACTGTCAAACCGGCGAAGGTGCATACATACGCTGATTTACCGGTCTTGGCGGTTTGTTGTAAGTATCCAGGAGGGTACAGGGCCTCCAGGACTTGAGCTTGGCAGTTTTGGGGGCGTTCCCGGTGTTCCCTCCTTTGCACTAAACCCTAAACCCTAAACCCTAAACCCAAAACCCCAAACCCCAAACCCTAAACCCTAAACCCTAAACCCTTGCGACACGGGTGGGAAAAAACCCTAAACCCTAAACCCTAAACCCTAAACCCTTGCGACACGGGTGGGAAAAAACCCTAAACCCTAAACCCTAAACCCTAAACCCTAAACCCTAAACCCTAAACCCTAAACCCTAAACCCTAGAACACCCTGTAGAGCTTTCACTTTCGTGTGTAGCGGGGGAATCTTGGAGCCTCAAGATGCCATAAACGCCCCAAACCGACACAATCCCATGCAATCCGGAAGGCTTTGAGCTTCGAAAGTTCAGTGGCGTTTTTTGGGGGATGTTCCCCCTTATACTCATAGTCCTCAATAGGGATTGTAGTACCCCCTGTTATAATCCTTATCCAGGCCTGTTTGTTTTAGGGGGAGCATCCCAAGGCTTTGTGGGGCGATTGAGGGGTGTTGAAACACAAGTGCTGCGCAGGACTTCGCCGGGGTCGAGTCCGTCGGCGTTACGCCCAGCTCCGTGGTGGTGTGCGAGCGAGGGGCAAGGCGAAAGCCGGTAGACGCAGGGTGTTGAGGGGGAAATGGCCTCCTTTTCAATGGGTTTAGGGTTTAGGGTTCAGGGTTTAGGGTTTAGGGTTTATTTAGGGTTTAGGGTTTAGGGTTAGGGTTTAGGGTTTAGGGTTTATGGTTGGAATGGGTATCTTGGGGCTCTGCAGGGGTGTCAACGATCATGTAGTTCGCCCACGGCGAAAGGGGGGGAAGGGAAGGATGCCAGCAGATGCCAGCCATATGGCCGCCATGCAGAGCTTGTGCTTCTTCGGACAAGATACTGCCCAAGGATGTTGGAAACTTTTGGAACAAGACTTTAGGCCTTTCCGAAACATGCTCCAAGAAGAGGTAGTCATAGCGCTTTGTGCTTCTCTGCATACGCAGGCGCTTCGAGATCCAGACCTCCAGGCTCTTCGACGCCTCTTGAAGGTCGTCGCAAGCGGCACAAAAAGCAACTCCTGGTTGTGGGGTGAAGGAGCAAGCTTCAAGATAAGATTTTCTCAATCGGTCCGTCGTTCTGTGCCTTGCCTAGTCGCAGTTGTGTGAGCCTAGTAGTTGTGCTGCAAGTTATGCTCGTCTGCACTTTGTGCATGCTAGCCTGGGCCAATGCGTTCTGAAGCGCTGCTGGTTGGCCAAAGTGCTTGTGATCGAGAGCATGAAAGGGGCCGTCTGCTTTTTTAGGCTCAAGATCCCCCCTTCCGGCAACCGATGCTTGGCCATGGGTTGCGGCGCGAGCACTCAGAATGTGTCGCACCACAAAATTACACTGTCCCAGCTCATCCCTGCCCACGTGCCATCACAACAGCATGCTGATGTATGTCTGGATCGAGGGACGGCCGACCCTAATGCCGCAAAGTACGAACAGAGCTCATCCAAGGAGGAGCACGAAGAGCCGGGGCCTGTGGTCCTGCATGGTCGTTCATCGAGTGGTGCAGTGGAGGAGGAGTCGGGTGAGGAGTCGGGTGAGGACAAAGACATCTGGTCTTCCTGGAGTTCACGCTGCTGGCGGGATCGCCCAAGAATCCCAGCAAATGCCTCCCTGCCACCAGATCGCCGCTCACATGCCCGCCATCTTAGGAGGCTGGTTGATTTTCGCCGAGAGGTGGAGCGCGCACCCAAGACCTTTGCGGAGATGGTGTACTTGCACCGATCACAAGTGAGAAATGTCAGAGTGCTCCCTGACGACAGGAAGGGTCAGCAAAGCTGAGCCGGCATTTTGATGGAATCCGCACCAATTTTTGAGATCTCGCCTGTAAGCAGGAGTCTCCAGGAGCGTGGTAGCCTGTGATGTGGCTACGACGCTGAAAGTGGCTAGATCCACCTGACAAAGGTGGCCTGGGCACGAGCCCAAGACGGGTCTGGTTTTGCGTTTCACCTCCAAGGACTCGGGCTTGTCGGGCTGGTTCTGAATTCTTCTGATTAACTACACCCTCTATGAGGTAGCCATTTCGAGTTGCGCGAGCTTGGCAGACGCTTCACCCGGAATGAGCCAGAATGGTCACAGGGCTTTGGGGGTTTGGGGGGCTTCAGGGTTTGAGCAAGTTGACCCTATTTTGACTCAAAAGGCTTTGCCTCAACGGCTATGCGGTTCTAGTGAGCAGGCTTGCCGAATGGGGCGAGAATGCCCCGATCAGATATTCGTAGTTGAAATCGTGAGTGCGGGCAGTTCTGCCCGCGAGCTCGCCACTTTCACCGAACTTGCATGAGCAGCCGTCGGAGCCCTGTGATGCCGCAAGTGCCGAAAAACAGACATTTCTCCGCTTCCGCCCCAACCCTTCAGGCACCTGGAAATACGGGGTCCCCAAATTCCATGCTGGGTCTTGTTGCACGCGGTCCTGAGAGTAGGGCGAAGCCCATGTCCGCCAATTGGCATCGGGCAAAAGGAGTACTATGCATATGTATGTGTACCTTTATGTGTGCGTATATGCCGATGTTCTCCCAGGCAGCTCATGCTGGAAAGATGCCACGAAGAGCCACTAGGGCACTGCCATTGCGCCTCGTCGTCCACTGTCTCCCAAGGCTTCCACTCACAGTTGCTCTCAGAATTCAGCTGAGTGTAGCATTTGTGTGGGGACATTTCCTTGGGCTCCATGGGAGACAGGCAAACTGGCAAACTCAGGGACGAGGTGCCACTTCGCTAGAGATGCTAAGAAATGTTGAGCGAATTCGAATCGATAGTTCCCCAGACGGGGGACGCCTTCCCCAGACGGGGACGCAGGATTTGCTTCGAGATTCTTCCATACCTTTTGCGGATTTGTTCCCGGCGTCTTCGGGGTTTTTGAGGATTTTGAAAATTGTGACGGCTATGACCGGCCATGTGTCCTTGTGTGTGGGCCAGAGCTGGCAGTCACGTGCGCCTCGCCCAAGCCGACGTAGTTGCCGTCCTTGGAGCTTGCGGCAGCGCTCATGGAGTTCCACCGATTTGTTTGGAAGCTACAAAATGTGCGAGTCGGGAGTCGGAACTCTGAGGCTCTTGATTCCTGATTCGTTCTGTGACTCATCCATGGTTCCTTCTCAGAGCGACAAGTGCCTGAAACGGACATTTAGTCTGACTTGGTGTGCTGGCAATATTGTGGGGTACTTCACCTGAGTCCCTGAAAAGCAAGCTTGCCACGCTGTTAGCTGACATCGTCGAGGTTCTGAGAAGGATTACACCATGAATCATTTTCTTTGCCAGGACAATAGTCTGAGACCGCCCGAGCCATGTGGAAAGAACGAACGCCTGTGCAGAAGCGCCAAGCTTGGATGTGCTTTGCGGGTCCTTGCCGACTGGTGCACCAGCCTCGCACAACTCATACTGCAGGGTGGCAAACCAAATCATCCACAGCCCAGCCCATGAACCCCGAACCCCGAACCCTGAACCCTAAACCCTAAACCCTAAACCCTAAACCCTAAACCCTAAACCCTAAACCCTAAACCCTAAACCCTAACCCCAAACCCCTAAACCCGAACCCTAGACCCCCGAAAGGTTGAAGCCCCACGGAGCGAGCTCAAAGCCAAAGCTCGGGGCGGGGGCGGGGGTCCGGACCCGTCGCGCGCGGGTCTGTGCCTCGGGAAGAAGGGTGACTGGAAGCGCCCTCAAAGCCCATCAAGCTTCAAGCTTCCCACAGATTTGGCTGAGCGGTTGTAAGGGGCTTGAGGAAGTTTAGGGTTCAAATGCAAAAAACTTTGAGAGCCGATATGGGCTGAAGGGCTGAAGGGGGACACCTCTGTGTAGGTCAAAAGACTGTAAAACATGGTCCGCTGGCTCTCGGTTTGCCACACCCCCTCTCGGGGCGTGGCTTGCTTCCCAGAACACCGAGGCACACAATCAGAACTACAGCAAGCGGCGCCTGCTACACTGCCATTGCGCCTCGGTCTCTGCATGATGTTCCAGCATGTCGACATGGGTCACGTTGCGACGCATGGAGCAGAAACCCTCAAGACGTGAACCGTGAAGGTCTGGAAGCCCCTAAGCTTGTCAAACCACAATGCCAACAAAATCCTCCCCGAAGCAGCGATGCAGTGCAATGCAGGCGCGTCGAGATCCACACCTCCGCCCTCTTCGGTGCCTGAAGTCATCGCAAGCGGCACGAGAAAGGCAACTCCTTCGAGATGTGTTAGGAGGTTGCGGGCCTTGGCCGTAGGGCCTTTGAGAGTCTTAGGAGATGCAATCATTGAATCGCACAAGCACAGCCCGGCAAGCTCAAAGGAGGTGCCTTGCGCAGCTAGTCCGAGTTGTGTGAGCCGAGTAGTTCTGCTCTTCTGCACTTTGTGCATGTCAGCCTGGGCCGATGCGTTCTGGAGCGCTGCTGGCTGGCCAAAGCGATTGCCATCGCGCGCTAGGTTTTTAGGCTCAAGATCCGGACACCCTTAGCACCACAAGAGGGTCAGAAGAGCTCATCTCACACTGGCCATGGGTTGCGGTGCGAGCACTCCGCCTGCATCGCACCACAGAATGACGCTGTCCCAGCACAGACTGCCACTGTCCCAGCTCATCCCTGCCTTTGATCAGATCAACATGCCATCGCGACAGCATGCTGATGCATGTCAAGATCAAGGGGCGGCCGACCCTGATGCCGCAAGGTACCAGGCGAGCGCATTCAAGGATGAGCACGAAGAGCAGGGTCCTGTGGTCCAGCATGCAAGCACCCGTTCCATGTGCCGGCCAGTGGAGGATGAGTCAGGTGAGGACGACAAGGACCCCTGGTCTTCCTGGCGTTCATACTGCTGGCAGGACAGCCCAAGAAATGCCCCCCTGCCTCCAGATCGCCGCTTACATGACCAGCATCTTAGGAGGCTGGATGATTTTCGCCGGGAGGTGGAACATGCGCCCAAGACATTTGCGCGGTTGGTGTACCTGCACCGGCCACACGTGATAAATGTGAGAGTGCTCCCCGTAGAAAGAGGGGGTCAGAAAAGCTGAGCCGATGGTTTAGAGTGTTTCGGCAGAAGTTCGAAATTTGTCCGAGACAAGATTCCTATAAGCAGGGTTCGGCAGCCCCGGAAGTCCCTACACCGGCACGCTGCAGATCCTGCCCAAAAAAAGGGGGGCCAACCTGTCCCAAAGCAGGGTTCAGGAGGGTTCGGGCAAACTGAGATCCACCTGAAAAAGGTGGTGTGGCAGTGCAGACCCCAACAAGGGTCTGGTTTTGCGTTTCTGCCGTGAAGTCGGCAACTAGGCCCTAGGCCCTTGAAACCCCCAAGTTGGGATGTTCCCCCTTCTCTGAACAGTCCTTCATAGGGAATATCGTACCCCCTATTATAGTCCCGATTACGGACTGTTAGCATAAGGGGGAACATCCCAACCCCCCAGCTTCCAAAAGGGATCCTAAACTTAGAGCCAGCCCGAAATGATGCGCGAGCGGCTGCTCCACGTGCCCCGTCTGCTTCAACCCCGTCCGCTCTGGACGGTCGCGGGGATTTGGGTTTGCCCGCGCTACTTGCACAGCAGTAAGACTCCTATGGGAGATGCTTGAATGAGTCTGTTCGGTGGTTGTCAGAACTGCAAGTGCCTGCAACAGACGTTTCTCTAAAGGCGTCCGCCCAAACACAAAGACGAATGGGGCTCCCTCGTTTCCACCTGAAAAACCCTAAATCCCAGACCCCCCTCTGAATGATGTGATGCGTCTTGTGGCACGCGGTCCTGAAAAGTACCAAAACCATCTTCGCCAGATGCATCTGGCCCAGTGCCGGGCGCCCCCGCAAGGTCTTCCGAAGTGAATGCGCATGACATATGACACAATATATATATGTACATGTATATGTAATTATATATATATGTATATGTATATGTATATGTATATGTATACGTATACGTACATGTACATGTACATGTATATGTATATGTATATGTATATGTATATGTATATGTAATTATGTATGTATATATATATGTATATACTACCCCCCCCCCCCCCCCCCATGCGCCCACGCTTCAGCATGGTTTCCAGACAACAATACTACGTTCCGCCACGCGCGGTGGTTTTTAAAGGGGGGAGGGACTCCCATAAAACTCCAGCAGAAGTGACCTGAACAATTTGCTCGAGATTGTGGATTGCATGCTATGAATTTAAATAGAAATCCTATGCATGTGAATAGCGTTCCTATCAAATTTAACTGGCGTCATAGGATTCATCTTGTTTCAATAGGAATCTTATAAAAATGAAAAGGAAACCCATTAATAGGAATGAGAACCTATGGGAACCCTATTCAAATGACAGAATAAAGTGATAGGAATCATATTACATTTGTAGGAGCCTTATTAAAATAATTAGGCAAACTATGGAAATGTATTGGAATCTTATGCACAGAACAACAGGAATCCTCTATTTCAATCCATAGGAACCCTAGAAAAATTATAACCCAATTATACTTGATAGCAATCCCAATAAACTGAAGAGGGCCCCTACTAAAATTAATATGAACCATTGGGACTCCTATAAAAAAAGTGTGAACCCCTAAATAATAGGAATCCTACTAAAATTAATATGAGCCTAAACCAATCGGTATCCCTTTCAAACGAATGCGATCCATTAAAATAAATACCAATCCCATTAACATGAATAAGCATCTGATTAAAATTGATAGCAATTTTATTACATCAGTAGGAGCCTTATTAAAAAAGAATTAGGAACCCTATGAAACTTTATTGGAACCCTATAAAAATAAATAGGAACCCTCTATTGACTTCATAGGAATCCTGCCAATATTTTTCGGAACCGATAAAAGTTAATAGGAAGCCTATTAAAATGAATAGGAACCCTTACCAAATTGAAAAGAACCGGTTATAATTCATAGGAATCCTGTTAAAATGAGAAGGAATCTTGCTAAATGAATAGGAACCAATAGGACTCCTGTATAAAATAATGTGAATCGGCTTAAAGATAGGTTTTTTTGGGACAGTACAGCGTTTTTGCAGACCCAGGCCTCGAAAATGCTGTACTGTCCCAGAAAAAAACAATCTTTTTAAGGCAAAAAGTGCAAAAATGCTGTACTGTCCAAAAAAAAACCAAAAAACCAAAGTTTGGAGACCTTGGGCTCCTCCAGGGCCTGGAGGTCTCCCAACTTTGGTTTTTTTGGTTTTTTTGGGACAGTACGGCAGTTTTTCTTGTTTTGGCTTAAAAAGATTGTTTTTTTGGGACAGTACAGCGTTTTTGCAGTCCCAGGCCTCGAAAGTGCTGTACTGTCCCAGAAAAAAACAATCTTTTTAAGGCAAAAAGTGCAAAAATGCTGTACTGTCCCAAAAACACCCCAAAAAACCAAAGTTTGGAGACCTTGGGCTCCTCCAGGGCCTGGAGGTCTCCAAACTTTGTTTTTTTTGGTTTTTTTGGGACAGTACGGCATTTTTGCTTGTTTTGGCTTAAAAAGATTGTTTTTTTGGGACAGTACAGCGTTTTTGCAGTCCCAGGCCTTGAAAATGCTGTACTGTCCCAAAAAAACCAATCTTTTTAAGGCAAAAAGTGCAAAAATGCTGTACTGTCCCAAAAAAAACAAAAAAACAAAAGTTTGGAGACCTTGGGCTCCTCCAGGGCCTGGAGGTCTCCCAACTTTGGTTTTTTTGTTTTTTTGGGACAGTACGGCATTTTTTCTTGTTTTGGCTTAAAAAGATTGGTTTTCTTGGGACAGTACAGCGTTTTTGCAGTCCCAAGCCTCGAAAGTGCTGTACTCCCAACTTTGGTTTTTTTGGTTTTTTTGGGACAGTACGGCATTTTTGCTTGTTTTGTCTTAAAATGATTGTTTTTTTGGGACAGTACAGCGTTTTTGCAGTCCCAGGCCTTGAAAATGCTGTACTGTCCCAAAAAAATCAAGCTTTTTAAGGCAAAAAGTGCAAAAATGCTGTACTGTCCAAAAAAAACAAAAAAAAACAAAAGTTTGGAGACCTTGGGCTCCTCCAGGGCCTGGAGGTCTCCCAACTTTGGTTTTTTTTGTTTTTTTGGGACAGTACGGCATTTTTGCTTGTTTTGGCTTAAAAAGATTGGTTTTCTTGGGACAGTACAGCATTTTTGCAGTCCCAGGCCTCGAAAGTGCTGTACTGTCCCAAAAAAACCAATCTGTTTAAGGCAAAAAGTGCAAAAAATGCTGTACTGTCCCAAAAAATCCAAAAAAAACCAAAGTTTGGAGGCCTTGGGCTCCTCCAGGGCCTGGAGGTCTCCCAACTTTGGTTTTTTGTTTTTTTGGGACAGTACGGCATTTTTGCTTGTTTTGGCTGAAAAAGATTTTTTTGGGACAGTACAGCGTTTTTGCTCTTTTGGGCCTAAAACATTGGTACAGTGCTCGCTGCTCTCGGAGGCTTCGAAATTACCATGGCACCTGAGAGGGAAAAGTGTGGGCATATGGGGGGGGTACCATATATATATATATGTATTTGCGGGAGTGAGGTAAACTATGCTTCGAGCTCTGAGCGAATTGCAGTGTGAGTTGTTTTGTCCCAGGGCCTTTCCAGCACGGGCAGCCGATGTTTTCCCATCTCTTCTCGGCCAGCCCGGTCTGGAAAGATGCCACGAAGAGCCGCAAGGGGGCCTGCCATCGCGCCTCCTCGTCCATTGTCTCCCAAGGCTTCCACTCACGTTGCTCTCAGACTTCAGCTGAGTGTAGCATTGTGTGGGGACATTCCCTCGGGCTCCATGGGAGACAAACTGGCAATTCAGGGACGAGGTGCCGCTTCGCGAGAGATGCTGCGACATGCTGAGCGAATTCGAATCGATGGTTCCCCAGATGGGGACGCAAGATCTTCCATACCTTTTGCGGACTTGTTCCAGGCGTGGCCCGCCAGACCCTGGGGGTTTTGAGGTTTTGAGGATATTGTGACGGCTATGACCCCCGGCTATGACCGGCCATGTGTCCTTGTGTGTGGGCCAGAGCTGGCAGTCACGTGCGCCTCGCCCAAGCCGACATAGTTGCCGTCCTTGAAGCTTGCGGCAGGTCTCATGCAGGTCCACCGATTTGCTTGGATTATAAAATATGCGTGAGTCGGGACCCTGGGACTCTTGATGGTTCCTTCTCAGAGCGGCAAGCGCCTGAAACAGACATTCGGTCTGACCACCACTTCACCTGAGTCCCTGAAAAGCAAGCTTGCCACGCTGTTAGCTGACATCGTCGGCCGAGGTTCTGAGAAGGATTGCACCATGAATCGTTTTCGTTTAGAATCCTTGCCAGGAAAATAGTCTGAGACCGCCCGAGCCGTGTGGAAAGAAGGCGCGCGCGCGCGCCTATATGCAGAAGCGCCAAGCTTGGATGTGCCTGCGGGTCCTTGCCGACTGGTGCACCAGCCTCCCACAGCTCAACCCATGAACCCGAAACCCTAAACTTTCCCTAAAAACCCGAAAGGTTGAAGCGAGCTCGGCCCGGGGGCTCAAAGCTCTCGTGCACGCGGTCCGTGCCTCGGGAAGAAGGGTGACTGTGAGCGTCCTCCAAGCCCACCAATCAACCTGAACCCCTGTTTTACTGCCCAGACTGTTCCAGATTCGAGCTTCCCAGAGACTTCAAAGACAAAAAAGGGTCTTTCTTCACCCCAAATCCGAGGGGTCTTCGAGCTGGGGGTGCCTTAGCTTAAGCTTCAGGGAAGAAAAGGGGTGGGGGGTCTAGCCTTGCCTGTTCCAAGAGCGGAAAGGGCTCATAGCTCCTAAGCCTCAAAGGGGCCCTGTGGCATATTCGCTGTAGAGTCATTTCCGTGTCAAGATGGTGCGAAAGAAGGAAGAATACCCAAGGAACCCCTTGAAGGTGTCGAGATGGTGCGAAAGAAGGAAGAAGACCGAAGGAATCCCTTGCCCCTTGGGAACCCTCGAACCCCGAAGCACAACCGGCGATCACAACTACAGCAGCCTTTCGCAAGTGGCGCCTGCTACACTGCAATTGGGCCTCGCTCTCCGCATGATGTTTCAACATGTCAACATGTGTTGTCACGTTGCAATGCACGGATCAGAAGCCCTCAAGCCGTGAACCGTGACGCCCCGAAGCAGCAATGCAGGCGCGCCGAGGTCCACACCTCCGCCCTCTTCGGCACCTGAAGTCATCGCAAGCGGCACAAGAAAAGCAACTCCTTCGGGATGGGTTAGGAGGTTGAGAGGGCCTTGGCCGTAGGGGCTTTGAGAGTCTTGCACAAGCACAACCCAGCAAGCTCAAAGGAGGTGCCTGGCGTAGCTCGTCCGAGTTGTGTGAGCCGAGTAGTTCTGCTCTTCTGCACTTTGTGCATGACAGCCTGGGCCCATGCGTTCTGGAGCGCTGCTGGCGGGCCAAAGCGATTTCGATCACGCGCTAGGTTTTTAGGCTCAAGATCCGGACGCCCTTAGCACCAGAAGAAGAAGAAGAAGAAGAAGAAGAAGAAGAAGAAGAGCTCATCTCACGCTGGCCATGGGTTGCGGCGCGAGCACTCCGCCTGCATCGCACCACAGAATGACACCGTCCCAGCACAGAATGCCACTGTCCCAGCTCATCCCTGCCTTTGATCAGATCAACGTGCCATCGCGACAGCATGCTGATTCATGTCAAGATCAAGGGGCGGCCGACCCTGATGCCGCAAGGTACCAGGCGAGCGCATTCAAGGACGAGCACGAAGAGCGGGGTCCTGTGGTCCAGGCAATAAGTACCCGATCCTTGTGCCAGCCAGTGGAGGATGAGTCGGGTGAGGACGACAAGGACCCCTGGTCTTCCTGGCGTTCATACTGCAGAATTCTGGCTTTGTGGTTTAGGGTTCATACTGCTGGCAGGATAGCCCAAGAACTGCTCCCCTGCCACCAGATCGCCGCTTACATGAAAAGCATCTTAGGAGGCTGGATGATTTTCGCCGGGAGGTAGAACATGCGCCCAAGAAATTTGAGCGCTTGGTGTACCAGAATCGGCCACACGTCAGCAATGTGAGAGTGCTCCCCGTAGAATGAGGGGGGTCAGAAAAGCTGAGCCGATGGCTTGGAGTGTTTCGGCAGAAGTTCTAAAAATTTCTGATTGTCCGAGACAAGATTCCTATAAGCAGGCTTCGGCAGCCCGTGAAGTGGCTACCGCGGCACCCAAAAGGGGGCCAACCTGTCCCAAAGCAGGGTTCAGGAGGGTTCGGGCAAGCTGAGATCCACCTGAAAAAGGTGGTGTGGCAGTGCAGACCCCCAACAAGGGTCTGGTTTTGGGTTTCTGCCGTGAAGTCGGCAACTAGGCCCTTTAAACGCCCAACAAGTTGGGATGTTCCCCCTTCTACTAACAGTCCTTAATAGGGAATATCGTACTCCCTATTCTCGTCCCGATTAGGGACTGTTAGCATAAGGGGGGAACATCCCAACCCCCCAGCTTCAAAAAGGGATCCTAAACTCAGAGCCACTCCGAAATGATGCGCGAGTTTGGCTGTTTCACCGTCTGCTTCCCCCCCGTCCCTCTGGACGGTCGAGGGGATCTGGGTTCCCATCGTCCATGGCGGGGGCACCGCCGCCCGCGCTACTTGCACAGCAGTAAGACTCCTATGGGAGATGCTTGAATGAATCTATTCGGAAGTTGTCAGAACTGCAAGTGCCTGCAACGGACATTTCTCTAAAGGCGTCCGCCCAAACACAAAGACGAATGGGGCTCCCTCGTTTCCAGCTGAAAATCCTAAATCCCAGGCCCCCCATTTGAATAATGTGATGCGTCTTGTGGCACGCGGTCCTGAAAAGTACCAAAACCATCTTCGCCAGACGCATCTGGCCCCGTGCCAGGGGCGCCCGCAAGGTCTTCCGAAGTGAGTACACATGACATATGACGCACGCACACACATAAATGTACATGCATATGTACATGTATATGTATATGTAGTATATATATATATATGTATTGGCGGGAGTGAGGTAAACTATGCTGATTCGAGCTCTGAGCGAATTCGAGTGTGAGTTTTTTTGTCCCAGGCCCTTTCCAGCACGGGCAGCCGATGTTTTCCCATCTCTCGGCCAGCCCGGTTTGGAAAGATGCAACAAATAGCCGCAGGGGGGGCTGCCTCGTCCACTGTGTCCAAGGCTTGAACTCCCAGTGGCTCAAACCCGTAGCATTGTGTGGGCCTTGTGATACGAGTGCTTGGGGAATTGGAGATTACAGCTCAAGGAGCTGCGAAGTGCTGTGGGCGAATCCGTAGTTCTCCAGACGGGGATGCATCAGACTTGCTTCGCTGTTTCTTCCACGGCTTTTTCCTTGCGGGGCCTGCCAGATCTTTGGGGTTTCAGGGGATCTAGAGGAATGTGAGGATGGACATGTGTGTGTGTGGGGACCAGAGCTGGCAGTGGCGTGCATCTGGTGCAAGCACCTTTTCGGTTTGCTCCAGTGCAGAAGGACCTTGGCACTCAAAGCTTTCCGTTGCGGACGAGTCTAGTCAGATTTGAGTCTTGTAAACAGCAAGGGTGTCTTTGTCAAGGTCCAAAGCAGCGCCTCCTCGTCCAAAGCCTACATAGTTGCCCTCCAGAAGCTCAGAAAGCCGTGCGCGGCAGCTCTCAAGTAGTTCACCGATTTGCTCATCGTCCGCAGTTCTGAGAAGGAGCCACTGCGCCGCAATCGAGTGGAAAGAACGCGCACCCGTGCAGCCGAGCTTAGATGCACTAGATGCCCGGGAGCAGTCGTGCACACCGCCGACTTGTAGTGCGCAAGCCTCCCTAGTATTGTCCTTAAGGACTAGGTGCCCAAAAGCCCCCGAGCCTCGGGCCCCCCCAGCCCCGCAAGGCGGATGGCAAGACGCGGCACCCTATCTCGGACCCGGAGTAGGCTCATATTAGTTTTTTTAGGGTTCAGGTTCCCTGATCAGCGCCTTTAGGGCAGAAAGGACACCTTTGCTTTTCCTAGGTGACTCTTGCGTCCAGCTGCGTCTAGCCTCAGTGTTTTGGAGCTCAGGTGGCCAATAAGCCTCCACCCCCCCCCCCCTCAATTTGAGCGCACATCCCTTGGGGTGAGCCTGCGCAACACCGAGTGCTCAAAGCGGGGTTGGGGGTCCAGACCCCTCGTGCAGGTGCCTTGGGGAAGAGGGCGCCTGAAGTCCCCAAGCCTCAAGAACCTCCTGAGCTCCCTAGGCCCTAAGCCCTGAAATAAGTCTCATGTGGTGTGGCCCTGTCGCCAGGATGACAGTCCCACATCGAGAAGTGCAGAGTCCCATGTGCAAGCGTAGTGGGCTAGAGGTATCGCGGTTGGGAGCCTGATGTTGCTGACCATGCTGGCTGTATCTCGCCAATGGAATCCGAACCTTTTTTTAAGCACGGACTGAGCCTGTAGCAAGGGTTACATCAACAGGCGAAACTGAGGCGATCTATGACTGGGATAAACGGTTCAACACCAACACCATCCCCGCAACCTTCAAACACCGAGCGCCCGCGTCGGGTTCAGGGTTTAGGGTTTAGGGTTCAAGGAGAGTATGTAACTCGAGGTTCCCGAATACTCACCCTTACTCTTAAGAAAGGGTCCCTAAGCGTCCCGAACGTTCCCTAGGCGTGTTCGGCAATTTTTAGGGCTCTCAAAGTCCTCAACGCCCTATGAAGCCTTTATAACAGCCTTACGAGCCCTATGAACCCAGCAACCCTCAACCCGCAAACCAGGCTCCCCCATAGCATGGCATCGGTGGAGAAGGAGTTGAAGTGCCGGGCCAAGGGGGCTCGTGAGGTTCAGTTTTGGGTTTCAAGGGATTTGTAGGACATTGTAGGATCTGCTGAGGGCTTTTCGGGATGCAGGGTTCTTAGGGCCTGTTGAGGTGTTGAGGATGCAGGGTCTAGAGGGTTTATTCTCTGTGGGTCATGGACACCTGGGAAGAACAGAGAAGCGGCGGAGGAAGGCTTTGGATCATCGTGTTTGGGCTTAAGGTTCTAAATCCCTAAACCCATCCTGAAACTTTCTAGTTTTAAGAGTTATGGTGTGGTGAGGGCAGGACGGGTTGCCTTGGTGGACAAACAGTTCCTGTTCTTTTGGTGGTTTCGCTTTCTTAGCGTGCCGACCCGAGTTTGTGCCCACATGCGTATTTGGCACATCTGCCTATGCGTTTTTGGTGTTGTTTTGCAGCGTTGTGCGGGTGTCTGCAAGTAGTGTGTGGTGCCTGCAGAGTGGTTCGCCCAGCTGCGTGAGAAACAACCTAAACCCTCAGCCCCCATTGAGATTCAGAGAGGGTTCGGGTAGTCTCTTCAACATGTGCTGACACCGCCCTCCGCCCGTGCCCCAAGACAAGGGTTTGGGGTGTTGGCTTGTTGCTCATCATGAGATGGCTGAGAATCGCATGGCGCCGTCGAGCCGCATGACTCACCAACCCTTCTTGAGAATCCTGAACCTCGGGGTGCCGCTTGAGGTCCTAATGAGCCCTAGTGAGCTCAAGCCGAACTAAACCCCAAACTTATACTTTCACCGGAACAAACCCGGACCCTAAATCCTAGCAAAAGAGCCTAAACCCTAGACCCTAGACAGGAGCGAATTCAGAAACATGAAGACACCCGAAAGTTCCATGAGCCTCAGGACAGCGCTGACGACCAAGGCCTTCTGCCAAGAGTGTCGTTTTTTTGCAATGACCGAAGGGTCTAAAACCGAAAGGCCTGAACTGTAGAATGCAAGCCCTAGCATAAGCCCTGTAACCTGTAAACCCCCAAGAAGGAAAATACAAGCTCTACGAGCCCCCAGCATTTGAAGCCTTGCAAATGGCCCGGAACTCCCCTTGCTTCCCAGGGACGCTCAGTGGAAATTCTCGTGTATACGCGAGGCATGTGAACGTAGGGGCTGGGTAGTTAACCTTTAACCCTTTTTTGTTATATATATATATATGCCTACTACGAATAAACGGTTAATCGTGTTTGGGGCCAGGGTAGTCAGCCCCTAAGACCCCTCCCCTCCCCAAAGTTGTACCTCCAGGTCCTTGTGCCTTGATGGGCCCCTGCTAGCCCAGTTTGCGGTTTCCGATTAAAAAAAACCCGCAACCCTGCAAGCCGAAGCCGGGGGGGGGGGGGGTCTCCGAACCCAAAAAACCTCAAACCCTAAACCCGACCCGAAAACTGGGGGGGGGGGGGGTGGTGGTGGCTCTTGGGGTGGTAGGAAACCGAACGGTGGCTGGACGCTGTCGCCAAAGCAACGCGAGAAGGCCGGGGACCGGGAGCCCCAGTATACTTCATGGGTTTAGGGTTTAGGGTTTAGGGTTTACCTCTTTTTTGGGGGGCACCCGAAGTTTTATGGCAGAAGGCCCCGGGCGGGTTTCTGAGCCAGGTTTTCCTACCAAAGAAATCGCAGGAACCTTCCTGTGTTGATCATTCGTAGTCGCTCTGGAATCTAGACAACCCCGCTGTAGTGCGTTCAGCGAGGAAAGAAAGGACACAGCTGACATCTTTGGAACTTTATGAACGAGAATTCAGTCTCCCTAGTTCTCATTTTCATTAGGGACCGTGTCAAGCACAAGCTAAACAGGCCAGCGAGTGTTGAAGGGAGGGGGAGGGGGTTTTGGGGGGGGCTTGGAGACTCCAAGAAAACCCCCTTAGTTTGAAGGAGCCGAGAACCCGAAAGCCCCCCCCCCCCCCCGAAATTTTTTTTGAAGGGTGTGGGAGAGGCCTGGGTCGGGCTTGGGATCCCTACACCAGGGGGGGTAAGGTTTGGGGTTTAGGGGTTAGGGTTTAGGGTGTAGGGTTTAGGGTTTAGGGGGTTGTTTGGAGGTTTTGATCGAAGGATTTATTCTTGCTTGCTCCAGGCCACGCTGTCATATACCCCAGGGAAAAAAACTCTCGATCCTGTTGCCGCTCACACCGAGAGAGAGAGAGAGAGAGAGAGAGAGAGGGCGAAACCTCACCATGAATCGGCAATGTCCCGCGATCCTCAGTTTTGCACAATAAAAACAGGCTCGTGCTTTGCCCTTGCCAGGCTGGGGCGGACCTCAGATCCAGCAAGCCGTAGCGGAGGCCGAGATTCATCCGCGCTGTGACGAGAAAAGCCTGTAGAGCTGTGGAAGCAGAGCTGTGGAAGCATCATGGGTTTAAGGTTCAGGGATGATGCCCACCCCGTTTTGGCGATAGCGCAGAGCTGCTGCAAGGACTCGGGCCTTGGGTACTCGGGCCTTGGGTAGTACTCGAGATTCTTCCCGGGGTACACAACTTTATACTATTCCCGGGTACGCAACTTTAGGCTCCTGGACCCTGTCAGCCTTCCGACTTCATAGGCTCCACAGAACCCGACGCCAGGTGGTGGAAGAGGACCCGATCGGAGCGGCGCGGTTCATGGAGACCACGCACCGCCCCACACAGGCCTCCGTAGGTGTTTTTTGGTTGTTTTTTTTCTGAGTGTGTGTGTCTGTGTGTGTGTGTGTGTGTGTGTGTGTGTGTGTGTGTGTGTGTTTGTTTAGTTGGGATGTTTTGGATTTGGTGCCTCTTCAAAGCGAGCATTGAGAGAGATGTGTATTAGAGTCGTGGACGACTCGGCAAGAGGGTCTAGGAGCCGCCGCTTGATACGTACATGTAGTGAGTCGGGAGGAGTCTGCTCTTAAGGGAGCCTACGTACCCTGACCTGTGTGTTGCGGAAAAGCCTCCATGATGTGGGTTTTCGAGTTAGTTTACTGTTGGAGCCTTGTTGGTGGTCTCCATGGGGGGGGGGGGGGGGCAACATGCATCAAGAGCAAGAAGCTGACACAGACGTATGACCCTTTGTGGGTCGGCCAGCTACGCGGGAGCGGAAAACAAGACCCAAACCCCCCTCAACACGCCTCATATGCCTCATAAGCCCTACACACAACCCTCGGAGCCCGAAAACCCGGAGGCCATGGCGGTGATCGGCCTGGAGGAGGAGGCAGACGATTGGGAGCACAGCGTCGGGGCCCCTCTGGTTGTTTGGGGGGGGTTTCTGATTTAGGGTTGAGGGTTGAGGGTTGAGGGTTTAGGTTAGGGGGTTGGGTGGAGGAGGTTTTAGAGGGTTGAGGGGCTTCAGTAGCGTTCTTGTTTGGTTCTTGTGTTAGATGTGTTTCGAGTTTGGTTCGTTGAGGGATGAAAGAATTTCGGGGATTTAAGAATCTTAGTTGAGGGGTCCCTAAGAGCCCTAAACCCGCTGCGCTTTTTCAAGGAACTGTACGGCAGCAGACCCACGTCGGGATGCGCGGTGGGGGTATGTGCAAGGTGGTGTGTGTGTGAGAGTGTGGGTGTGAGCGGCGAAGCCTGACCCATGGTACTTTGTTTGTGTTTTTTGAAGTTTCTCCCAATCCCAAACCATCTCAGAATTGAGGCCTGTAGGGGCTTCGAATGGTCGCCACAAGCCAGGCTCAGAACCATCGGGTCCTGGTTGGTTGTATAGCGGGCTGAGGGATCAGTGGGATTAACCTGAGTGGGCTTGTTGTGAGGTCCACTACCACGATACCATGATCAAGGGCGCCTTCAGCGCGAACTGGAGCATCTACCCGCCTTCGTCCCAGAGCCCTTTCAAGGAAATAGTTTCGGTGACGTTGGGGAGGGGAGAGTTGGGGCAGCTTCTGCATGATGTTCGGTGAGGATTCAGGAGGCCAGCTTGGGGTTGGAGGGGCAGGCAGTGGCCCGACGCGTGTTGTTCAAATGTGTCACCACGTGGGCTCTGAACTCGTGTTCGCGCCTAGTGCGCAGGGGTCTCGGCCCTCAACCTCAAACCCACCCCTCCCCTTTCACCCAGAAAAAAAGGCTGAACCCGCCCAGGTCCCCCGAGAACCCCCCCCAGAAAGCCCTGACACCCGAGAGCCCGGACGAGGCGAATCCCGCAGGAAGACCCATGGGCCGACAATGTGCCAAAGGTGGACTGCGAAGTCGTGTGCCCAGGCGCCGGCGCTGGGGAAACACTTTGGGGCGGAGGATTGAGGGGACAGGGGGTTTCTTTTTTTTGGGCCGAGTTCGGGGTGTTCAGAGCGGAAGAGGAGGGTTCAAGGATCTCAGAGCCCTCTTCAATTCTTGAAGGTTTAGGGTGACAGGGGCTCCTGCCCAACCCCCCCCGCCCCCGAAACCCTGTTCTTTCTCTTCTGGGCTCAGTGTGCATCGAGGAAATTTCTGGTCAGAGCGATCCTGGCTAAGGAACCTCTCAAAGGAATGGGGGTTGTAATGGACCTGGAACCCCTCTACACAGCAAACTCGAAGCCCATGAGTATCCCATGAGTCATATGTCCCAGAACAAAGCAAGCCAGAATGTTCTTGTGTGGGCGCTGAAGCCAACCAAGCCAAGACAAGAAACCATTTAGAACTCCTTGTGTGGCAACGTGACGAACCTTAAGCTCGAGCAGCGAAACGACCATGCCCGAAGCGTTGTCAAAAACAAGGCGGTCTTGAAAAAGCGTGCCTTGATTAATGTTGCTTCCCTCAACGAGTCGCCCACTCATCTTCAAGGAGAACTATTTGGGAAAGAGATCCCCCCCCTCAGGAAATGGAATTATCATGACCGTTGAGGGCATGGCGTTGCGTGGTGAGCCGGTGGGCGACCTCTGATACCACACCTAACGATTCCAGCATGGATCACCCTTCAAGAGCTCGAACTGAAAAGCTTGGTTGATCCCCAAACAACCCTAAACCCTAAGTTTCACTCTAAATCTTCCCAACCCGGGCGGCGGGACGTGGACCAAAAAGAACGTGCTGAGGGCCCCAAAGAGGTTTCCCCAAAGAGGTGCCCCCCAGAAGGTGCTTTACCACACCAAGTCAGCTGCCCCAAAAGGTGTGGAACGGGAGGCTTCTGTGAGGTTCCCCGTTGCTGCGCGAGTCGAAAGCTTCGAGCCTCATCGCGCCAAGATCTCGAGTTGCACGCGGCAGTTTCACAGCCTCAAGAGTCCGGGAAGCTCACGTGCGCCCCCTGATCACAGAGCAGAGCATTCCGGAGCACCGCCAAAAAAAGCTCCTTTCAGCTTGAGGGGTTGCTGGCAGCTCCAGCCCCCATGTGGCCACGCCTGGAGTTTAGGAGCTAGGGGAGGTTTCGGCTCTAGGATGTATCAGGTTTTTAGGGTTCTGGGGTTTAGGGTTTCAGGGTTTGGGGTTTAGGGTTTGGGGTTGAGGGTTTAGGGTAAGAAGCCCGGGCTAGGAGCAGGGTGTCTAGCTCACTGCCATGGTGAAGTTCGTCACAGACCTGTCAAGCAACACAGATGCTTCTGGCAAGTGGCTGAACCAGCATCTCGGATGCGGTTTAGGGTTTAGGGTTTAGGGTTTAGGGTTTAGGGGTTAGGGTTTCGGGTTTAGGGTTTAGGGCTTTGGGCATTCCAGTATGTTATGTTCGTTGCCGGCAGTATCCAGAAGGTCCCGGAGCCTGAAGCGACGGAGCCCTAAACCCGAAACCGTTTCAGGTTCTGGGTTTCGTCTGCTCATGCTGTCTTAGTTTTAGGGAGAGAAGTCGAAGTTGTGGCTGAGTTTGGGGTATCTAAGCCATGGGGTTTTGTGTTTTTTTTTTTGGACGTGTGCTTCGGTATGTTCCTTGTAGTCTAGCGTTAGCAAGGGCCGATGATTTAGATCAGCATCCCAGACTACGGACGGATGTAGGTCATCTTCGATGACATACAGGGGGGGTCATTAAGCTGTCGTGCGAACAGCGGTGAACTTGGTGCAGCACTGGTTCTGCCATCTCACGTAACGTGCGCTGCTTCGGTTTGCAGCACCGAGGTACCAGATTCTGCGAGACATCGGCAGGGGCTCCCGCAGCAATGTCAAGCTGGCGAGAACACGACAGGGCACCACCCATGCCGTCAAATGCTTCGCGCGCATTGTCCCTGGGCTGTTTTGGGCTTGTATTCAAGAGGATGCCCAAAGCCCTGAACCCTGAGAAGCAGCCGTCTTATAAATATATGACTCCCACCAAGCCGAGGAGATGCAGAACCGCATGGTTGCCAAATACGATGCTGATGGATGCCGTCTAGTGCCGCTTCGGGAGTGCATTGAGGAGGCGCCCCCCCCGCGCCACTGGCCCGAAGCTCCCGAAGGAACCCCCCACAGGCCTAGAAGCCCTCACCCTTGAAGCCTTCTCTTGTACCAGTTGTGAGAGTCGAACCTTCAAGCAAGCACCAGACTCTGCAGCCTGAGCCGCACAAGCTCTTGCAAGGCGTTAGAATGCTAGGATTCTATGCCGTAAGCTTCCCCAAACATGCAGGAAATCCGCATCCTTTCTGAGCTGTCGCATCGCCACGTCGTGAATCTGGAGGAGGTCATCGACTGCTCCTCCCACGACGCCGTCTACATGGTCTATGAAGGCAGCCGTGGGGTGCAGGGTATGTCGGGAGGGAGCTTTTGGTGCAGTGGGTGGGGCTTCTTGGGGCATCGAAGCGATCGAAGCCCTTTAGGAACTTCCAGGGAGTTGGAACAGAGGAAACGATCTTCGACACTCCAAGGCCTGCCTGGAAAATCGCTCATGGCTTGGAGCACAGGACTCGGCATGCCAGACACTGGTTTGAAGGTGGTTTACGATGCTGGTCGGTAGGGTTTGTAGGGTTTCGCTACTGGTTTGCAGGGTTTACTGGCTCTTTGATAGACCTCGCTCCTGCCCGCTGCTGGAACGTCCCGTTTGGTCGCCTCTCCGACCTCGTGCCATGCCCACTATGCAGCCCGAATTTCCGAAGTTCCCAAACCCTACAGTCTTCTCTGCAGGAAGCTTGGCGTACACGGCCAGTGCAGAAGCGGCAGTACAAGACTACTGGGGCGATGCCGTTCGCCCTGGGCTGCAGTACGATCTTGACGCGACGCCTGGGCCGCATTGGGCGACGAGCTTCTGAAAGTTCCTGAGCTAGAGCATCTTTCTGTCCGGTGATGAGGGAAAGCTGGAAGGCAGGATAAATCCCCTTCTTCAGGCCGTCTAGGTAGCGGGGTGAGTCTCCATCCAAGAGGCTTCGTGCGGAAATGGAACAGCTGGTCCCCCGCACACCGAGTGATGCAGCAGCAGACATGTTTGCTAAGCTCCCTGCAAAGCACCTTCGCCACAAAAAAACAACACCGCTTGCCCTTCGGGACCAAATTGAAGATGTGGATAGGCGCCACTGGAAGTAGATTGCAGACATGGCGAAATAGCCAGATCAGAGAACAAGCAGCAGGTGAACGACGTGACGCAGAAGGACATGAAGATGTCCTGAAAGCCTGAAGGAGAACGGCCTCCGTTCGGTACAGTCCACAGGGTCGCCAAGAGGGCGGGCACCAGTCATGCTTACCGGCCACATCCGGCCACCAATCCCACCGCCTCCGAGCAAGGAGTGATACAACTGTTCATGAGTGATGCTATCTTGGAAGTGCTTCGGTGCTTGCGTCACCCTTGCCTAGCCTGATGTGAGACATGGGAGATCACTGTTTTGTCCGAGCACATCTCAGATGAGTATTGCATGAGAAGCTCAGTCATCCTCTTCTGCCAGCATCAAGACTAACGTTGCACACGTACTTGAGCAACGATGGTGACACGGAGTCATGTGAACATCATGACATGCTGCTCGCTTTAGGAACACTTACTCCATTGACAGAGTGTGCAACTAGTTCTTTCTTCACCTTCGAGGCCCCAAAAGCCCTGTTCCAATCATGAAGATCATTAAGGCCCTAAACTATACTTGGGGCTTGGGTTAGGTGCTCTTTTTGAGAGTCTACGGGAACGCTTTACAAGTACCTCTTAGGGGTACGAAATCGGTTGCCCGTGTCCGGGCCCCATTCTCCCCCCAAAAAAGCGGCCCCTAAACCTTAAACCCTGCTTAAATGCGGGGGTCCTTGTGATTGCTCTGCCTAAGGAAGCGGCGTGAAGTGCTTGTTTTCCAGGAAGAGCTGGTGAGGCGACATCACGGGACCAAAAAATGGGAGGACGAAGGGCGGTTGTTGGGGCAAAGGCGCGAAGTCAAGGGATAAGTCCAGGGCAGGCAGTTGCTCAGCCGCCTCGGGAGGTTCTTCTGCGGTCAGCTGTCGGAGGGCCTCGACTACCTCCACGAGCAGGGGGTCATCCACAAGGATGGGGGGAGGGGCCCTGGAAAAGAACCCAAGACCCTGATCAGCGTTGCGGCCACAGGGGATTCTCCCGGGTTTGCGCAGAGGATAGGAGACTTGGGGGGGCCACTTATATATATATATATATATATGGTATTGAGCACATATCTGCATCAGATTTCATGGTTGTGAGCTTGGGTTCGAGTACAGGACCTGAAGCCGGATAACATCGTCCTCTCCAAGCCCATCCCCGTCTGCGACCCCCGCTTCGTCTCGGCCCTGAGCCTGCGCCTCGCCTGCTCTTGGGAGGAATGCGGATGAGGGCTTAGGGTTTAGGGTTTAGGGTTTAGGGTTTAGGGTTTAGGGTTTAGGGTTTAGGGTTTAGGGTTTAGGGCTTAGGGCTTAGGGTTTAGGGTTTAGGGTTTAGGGTGCAGTCCTGGCATGAAGCAGCTTCAAGGTCCAAAAGGGTTTAAGGGTTTAGGGAAGGTTTATGGCCTCGGATTGAGAGGGGCCCCCATTTCCCCTTTTTTCCAAAGGGCGTGGGGTTCCGTTCTACGCCCCCTTTAAACAAGGAGGGTATGTTTTTGTCCTATGTCTTGAGGGAGTTTAGGGTGTAGGGTTTACAGGAGAAGAAGGGACTTTAGGGGTACTTTCGAACGTCTTTTTGTGCAGGGGTGCGGGGGGGGGGGGGGGGGGTGTTGTGTTGGGCTGAATGCCTTAGGTTCTAGTGAATCTTGATTTCGAGCTTTTCATGTTCTCATGGCTGGCAGGACCCCTTTTTCCTAGGGAGAGGGAGAGAGAGAGAGAGAGAGAGAGAGAGAGAGAGAGGAAAAGAGGGGGTCGTGGCCAGGCCACTCCGTCAGGGCGGGCCTCTTCGCCGTGTAGAAGAAGTAGAGGAAGTGAGAGCAAGCACATAAATAAAAGTATAAATGTACATATAAAAATGAGTGTAAATATAGATACATAACGAATATAAATATATGAACAAACTAAGAAAAAATCACAAGAATAAATAAATAGAAATAAATCAAGAAATAAATAAAGGTAAATAAATAAATAAGTAAATAAATATAAATAAATAAACAAATAAATAAATAAATATATATATATATATATGAAGAATCAAGGCACGGTAAGGTTGGAATGGTCAAGGTTGATCTCAGACACCGGCACAGAGAGAGAGCGAGAGAGAGAGAGAGAGATCTGGGGGGTTTTGCTGCATACTCGGGGGAAACCACACCTCGCGATGAAATGGGAGCCACGAAAACCGTGGCCCTTCCAAACCAACGGGCCCGTGGACTTCGCGCGCCCCTCGGGGCAGCCTCCCCTTTGGGGGGGCTAAGCGTGCAGGAGAGAGAGAGAGAGAGAGAGCCAGCCCCTCACCAGTGACAAAGTCCTGAAACAAGCAGGGGCGCGATGCACACAGGGTGGGGTATGCCCGCTCTTCCAGTTCCCCAGAAGAAAGTGGGAGGGAGAGGAGTCGTCAATGTCGGTGTTGACCCTTGAGGGTAAAGACGAGCTCTTGTTTATCGGTCTTCTGACATCACCTCGACTGTGCCTTCCGATGTTTTTGCTGGCAATCCCAAACCGAAATCCGATTTTAACCTGAGCCCGAAAGCCTTAAAACTTTGAGAGCCGAGCATTGAAGAGGAGCCAGTGGCCCATCTTGACACTGCCGGCTGTGGAGGGCCAGGAGAGCCAGGGTTGTCATCGGGAGTGTTTTTTTTTTTTTTTTTGGGGGGGGGGTGGTTAGTGGCTTCGGTAGGGGGGTTCTTTAGGGCCTGATGGGGTAAAGAATTCTAATTTTTAGGCCTAGAAAGGGCTGGCTTGTTACGCTTGCCACGCCTGCTGCAGGACGTTCGATGGCCTGTTCGCGAAGGCCAGACGCTGCAACTTGGACGCAGGTCTACAGATCTTTGGCAGACGGTGGCTTTTGCTAATGGGTTTTCGGCCGACCTGCTCTGTGAGGCTTTTTGTTGAGAGGTTAGAGGCTTAGGTGGGGTGCGCCTCCCCGCTTGGCTACTCAGAGGGGTTTTGACGGGCGACGCTCAAGCGTGAGGGTCGAAAGCCCTAAACCCTCGTGGGGGCGTGTGTCAATGGTCTGCCCCAGGCTTCCAACCTCTCGAACGCCAAAGCTGCAAGTTCAGACCGGCCCCCAACCCTGTCGCCCCTAAGCCAAAACGACTTCTGTTACGTACCCGAATAGGCCAAACAGGTTCCCTAACCCCACCCCCTGCACCCCAAACCCCAAGCCTGAAATCAAGAAGTGGACCCAACATCCCGAAACCCTAAACCTGGAACCCTGAACCCCAAACCCTCCCCCTGTCGCGCGAAGGCATGAGCTCCTTGTCCACGCGGAGCTCGCCGTGAAGATCGCGGACTTCAACTCTGCAGAGGCGTGCAAGGAGCGCCCTTCGGGGGGGGGCTTCGGGTTGAGGGCTTAGGGAAGTTAAGGGGGGTTTAGGCAATCCTTTGTTGGGGTTCAAACGGGGGTTTAGGGTTTAGTCAAAAGGGCGATTTTCGTTTGGGGCATTTCGGGGGCTAAGCTAGGGCGAGAGAGTGTGTATGTGTAGGCCGTTGCCCATTGGGTTTGATTTCGGGGTTTTTCGGGGCCAGAAGCGGAGATAGTACAAATCAAGAGGGATGACGGTGAAGGTGTGCCGGTGTACCATCGGACCCCTACACGGTTTCACGCCTCACTCTGAGTCAGCTTCATTGCAGATTGCTGGTTACAGAGCGCACAAGTGACGCTGAGACTTGCCGCTAACCCTTGCCTTGTGCACGTACCATGCCAATGAGTGCTGACTCGCTAGATCCGCCAATCTGTGATGTGTTCGGTTGGTTGATGAGTTCCCATGCATTTCAGCTCAACAAGCACTTCTATCCTACGGCCCCACTCAGAGGATCTCGTGCTGCCGCAAGTCCAGTCCACTTTATGACTTGTCAACCTGCTTGGCTATGGAGGGTTGTGCAAGTGCACGAGCCCAACACGCCAAGAACGAAATGGTCAACCCCAAGGTCGTTGGGGATTACACTGAGACAAGGCTTTCAGTTGTTGTGGCCAGTATTGTGCCCAAAAATGCCAGGAGCCGGACTTTTTCATCTACGACGCGAATGGAACGCAGCTCTTCACGCCTCCGGAGTGCTTCGATGGCCCACTGGGCGGCCAATGCATGGGCATCAAGGGAAAGCCGCGGGACATGTGGTGCCTCGCAAGAAGAACCCGACCCTAGCTACCTACTAGTTCCCAGTAGGTTGAAGATGGCCAAGCACGCACGAAGTGCGGCTTAACGAAGTCTCGCATGGTTGAATATAGTTCTTGCGTGGTTTCATAAGCCTCAATCACCATTGCCGCTTTTGTTGCAATGGTTGCTATTGTTGCTTTCTTCGTTTGCTGTTGAGAGCTTGCCATCTGACATGCCCGATTCAGTATAGTCGGGCAGGGGTCTTGCTGGAGTCTGCGATGCTGGAGTTTGGGCGGGTCCCTGTCAAACCTGCAAAATGCTTCCAGCCTTGAGTTTAACCCAGCCGACCTCGGGAGCTCAACAAACCGCAGGCCGTAAAAATAAGCCCTTGATCCTTACGCCACATCAGTTGGGATGTTCCCCGTTATCATAAGAGTCCTTCGTAGGGATTATAGTACCCCCCCTTATTATAATCCCTAGTAAGGACTCTTAGAACAAGTAGCAAGAGGTGACCCCTACGCCACATGAGCAATGATCTGGGTCGAAGCTTTTTTCTTTGTGTCCCCTTTTTTGATGGACCTCCCGCCGCCTCAAGGTCTCTGGGCTGCGTCCTCTTTGACGCTTGGTTTTATTGTTGAGCATTGATCTTGTAACCCTAAACCCTGAAACCCTAAACCCTAAACCTACCGGAGCCTTGCCAGCGCGTGCGCCAGTGTGAGAGAGTCGAAACCCTAAACCTCCAGCCCCAAAACCCTCAAACTGCCTCAGCCCTGTCTCTATAAGCCAGAAGCTTTTGAGGTCCTGGCTTTCGGCCACTGCCCCTTTTGGGCTGAGAGCAACATTGAGCTGCAGTTGATGATCATCCAAGCCGAGTGCCTCGCTTGCGAGATTCAAGCCGTTTGGGGGGGGGGGGTTCGGGTTTCGGGTTTGGGGTGTAGCTTGGCGGGTGGCAAAAAACCCTAAACCCTAAACCCTAAACCCTAAACCCCAAACCCTAAACCCTTTGTCTAAAGGACTATCGCCAAGCCCGTGCCATGCCTCGAGTCTTGTCGTGCCTTGAAAGAAGCACGGCAGGACGACTGATACTGTGCAAGGAAGACAACTCAAAGCTTCTGGTGTCGGGAGTTTCTGTAGTATTTAGCTGTCTGTTGTCTTTGAGAACCACCGGGGGGTGGCTGAGATGTCTTAGGCTGCAGCTACCAGAAGGGGGCCCCGGAAGCCACGAGTTTCGGCAGCTGGTGACCAGCCTGCTGAGTGCCTCCGGCTCCTGCTTTTTTGTTTATTTGCTTTTGTTTTTGGGATGGGATTAGGGTCTAGGGTAAAGGGTTCAGGGTTTAGGGTGGGGGGGGGGGGGGGGGGCTCCGAGGGGGAATTTGGGGGGTTTGGTTGCGGGAGCTGTTTTGGGGGTGTTTGGGGCCCAGAGGCTTTCTCTTGGGGGCTGTGAGGAGGTTCAGAGTTGAGGTTGCTCTGTTGCACATCTCGATCGCGTGCATCTGCTTCTGCTCTTCTGCTTCCTTCAGTCTGCACTTGCTGGTGCCCAGCACTGGTCCATTAGTCATATGATATTGGTACGACCACCATCATTACCACAGCCACGATGAGCGGCAGCGCCAGCACCAGCACCAGAATAACGATTCCGACCGACTACGACTTGACGACGTCTGTGACTATCACTGATGCTGTTTGCTGCTTCTGCTACGGCTACTGAGCTACTGAGCTACCGAGCTACCGAGCTACCGAGCTACCGAGCTACCGAGCTACCGAGCTACCGAGCTACCGAGCTACCGAGCTACTGCTGCCACCATCATCGCCGCCACCATTGTAACTGTTGTTGGGGCTCTTTTTTCCACCGGTCGCACTTGCGTGTCACACATGCAGGCACAGGCATGTGTATGGCAGCAGTGTTTGCATGCAAATAATTCCAGGTTCTTTGAGTCAATAAGGCCGAAGGTCTACGAAACTGAGACCAATTCGTTCATCCTGTTGACAGGCAACAACAAAATCATGATAACTGAAACCACACATAGTTACAAATATACTGTATGTGTATATATATATATATATGATTCAGCCCCGGCGGGCCCCCCCCCCCCCCCCCCCCCCCCCCCCCCCCCCCCCCCCCCCCCCCCCAATGGTACCCCCCCCCCCCCCTGTGGTGTGGTTGGGGGTTGGTTTTAGGGTTTTAGGGTTTAGGGTTTAGGGTTTAGGGTTTAGGGTTTTAGGGTTTTAGGGTTTTAGGGTTTTAGGGTTTAGGGTTTAGGGTTTACGGTTTAGGGTAGGGTTTAGGGTTTAGGGTTTAGGGTTTTCCCCGCGGATGGGGTACTAAGATGATCCCCCCCCCCCTGTGGTGTGGTTGGGGGTTGGTTTTAGGGTTAGGGTTTAGGGTTTAGGGTTCAGGGTTTTAGGGTTTAGGGTTTAAGGTTTAAGACTTAAGGTTTAGGGTTTAGGGTTAGGGTTTAGGTTTTAGGGTTTAGGGTTTAGGGTTTAGGGTTTAGGGGTTTAGGGTTTAGGGTTTAGGGTTTAGGGTTTAGGGACCGTAGAGTAGACTTGGGGGGGGGGATACCATGGGGGGGGGGGGGCCCAGGACGCTCGACGCTGAACCATATATATGTGTAGATTTTCTTATTTACGTATACAGACATACGTACATACACATGCACACACACACATACACATACACATACACATACACATACACATACACATACACATACACATACACATACACATACACATACACATACACACATATGTATATGTGTATGTATATGTATATGTTTATGTTTATGTATATATACATATATACAGATGTCATACCACTCTAGGGTCATGTTACGAGCCGTGGGCCAGGTCGGGATCCGACTGCTCGCCCCAGTGCCCGCGCACTGCGTCAGAGCCCCTGGCTGACGAGCCCACGGGCGCTCTTAGGGGCTTAGCAGGGAACCTCGGGGGGATGTGTCTAGGGTTTAGGGTTTAGGGTTTAGGGTTTAGGGGTTGTGCCTTGGACACTTAAGGTCATGGCCTTGGGCTTCGGGGAGCCTTCTTAAAGATAGGTAGGCTTAGCTGGGCACCACGGGCGGATTCGGTTAAACTGTGTCTTTATACTTGCATTGCACGGGATGCAGAAATGGTTTTGGAACTCTCTGGGCCACATAAGCTCCGTTATAGAACCCCAAAACTACCCCATGAATCTCCCGTTGATAGCGCAAATGCGAAGTTTACCAGGTCGAGGCCGTTGTTCAACCCCAAACTCCAAGACAAAAAGTCCTAACCCGGCAACCCTCAATACTCGGCTACTAGGGCCCTAGGCCTCCCCGTTTAACAAAAATAGATCCCTTTCTTTGTGTTGAAGTAGGGAACATGGGGTGCCCTGCAGAGTTCCTGGGCGGAGCCGCGGCTTTCCACGTTCTTGGAGGTTCGAGGGTTTAGGGTTTAGGGTTTAGGGTTTCGGGGTTTAGGGTTTAGGGTTTAGGGTCTAGGCCTCAAGTTGGAGAGCAGTTGCCAAGTGTACTTGGAGGTTCATGGTACTTCTTGACCAGGTATAGGCTGTACTTACAGCCCACTTATGAGCCCCTTGAGTGCCCTAATGCGGTTATAAGTACAGTTATAAGTACAGTGATAATTGGTTCATAAGTACCATGAACCTCCAAGTCGGTGTTGTACTTGAACCCAGCGCGGCCAGCCATACCGAAGCCACAGGAGCAATGAGACCGGGTTCGCTTCCGCGATCTCCACCGATATGTGTGATACACACACATACATATGAACATCAACATATATGTATATAGATGTAGTTGTATTGACATATCTACATATATGTGTATATATATATATACATGCATTGTAGCCATATCCATTTGCATTTACACAGAGGGAGACAGTGCATAACTCAGAGAGGGGAGAGAGAGAGAGAGAGAGAGAGAGCGAGAGAGAGAGAGACGGGAGGTCAAAGAGGCGCAGCAGAAGAAGAGCGGTCAGCGAAAAAGAGCACAGGTTGAGAGAAGGTCAGAACCGTCCACCCTCTTTAGCTTCAAAAAGGAACTGGGCACTTTTCGCCTGCAGCTCAGGGCTCACAGAGACCTTCAACCTCCGGTAGACCCCATAGACCTCCGAAAAACCGGTCCCGTTGCCTCCATACCGACATCCTGCGACACGGAGAGGCTCGGGCAAAAGGGTGCCGGGCTTGCAGATGCGGGGAGTTTGGGCGTCAGCAGCTCCTGGAATTCCATGCCCGAGCCCTCTGACACGATCCCCTAAGTGGCCTTAGGTTGGGGTGGAGGGTGTGCTTTGGGAGGCGGGTGGGGGGGGGGATGAATGACTGGCGGGTTTGGACCACCAAAAAGGGTGCCCCTACAAAGTGTAGTGCTTTAGAGGTTGCTTTTGGAGCCTTGTCGCCTGCGGCCATCTGGGCTTAGCCAAGAGACGTACTTGGCCCTGGCTGATGTGACCCTGTCGGCTCCTCAGTTGCTGGGTATACTGACATGCTGGTTGTTTTCTTGTTATACAGGCGCTTGCCCGGGATGAAGTCTCGGATCGTTTCCATCCCCATGTGCTGAAGTGCGGCTTTGGTTAGTGAGGCAGCGTGAAAGCCTTGAGAGCCCTTTACCCTAAACCCTAAACCCTAAACCCTAAACCCTAAACCCTAAACCCTAAACCCTAGACCCTAGACCCTAAACCCTAAACCCTAAACCCTAAACCCTAAACCGCGCAAGATCCCAGGATGCGGCTGCTACCTCTGGCACTCGTCTGCCTGCCGCAGATCGCCTCCTCATGGTCTGCCCCCGGGAGGTGCGCGGACGGCGCGTGCCAGGCTGAGTCGGCCACGCGCCGGCTCGCGACGCCGGCCCTTTGGATGCCCATTGGTCCCCAGAGAGCTCCTGAGAGCTTCTGGATCCGTGAATGGGTCTTTAACGTTAAAAAAACCCTAAAATAGGGTTTTTTAACGTTTACAAACCCTAAGCTCAACGGAGAAATGGGATGTGCGATTCGTAGAGACGTGGCAAGCCTCGGCTTGAGGCATGGCTGCCTACAGGGAAGCCTAGAAAGGCGAGAGAACAAAGAACGGATGGATAAAAGGGGCACACCCTTCAGGCCCGCACACCTCCTCTTGAAGGGCTGTGGGCTTAGTGGCGAAGCGGGGCAGACGTTCTGGTGCCCGTTTTTGTTGCACAAAGCTTATACAGAGCTCGTATCAGGATGTCTCCGGCCGGAACTCTGAATGCCCATATGCGGCTGAGGCGACAGCAGAGCGCTCCCTCGCATCCGGCCTCCAGACGGCTGCAGGTGCCGCCGCGCTGGCGGTGCTGTGGACGCTGGCGCCGGTGATGCTTGCCTGCGCCAGCCTAGCGGGGTAGTTCTTTTTTATTATGCTTCTTCTTCTTCTTCCCGTGTTGATTTCAATGCAAGGCCTTCTTGCAAGCGGGAACGCAGCGTGAAAAAACAGCATCCATCCTTGCAGCCATCGTTGCAGCAGCATGCCACCCTCTCAGCCCAACCCCAAAAGTCCCTACGAAGGACGCGTGGGAGGCGCATGCTGGACCGCCCTCGCATCGTCCGCTGCGCAGGGGCCGAGGAGCCTGCAGCAGAGGGGTCCTCAGGCGCTGAAGCCTCGAAGCAGCAGGTCGTCACGCCCTGGGAGGTGCAGGGGGCCTTGGAGTCAAAAAAGAGTGTCAAGCTTGCGGGTTTCGGAGTTCGCTGTTCCCTTCTTTGTTCTTTGCCCAAAGAAAGACGATGGCCCACTATAAGGGCTCAAGATTCGCACCTGTGCGTAAAGTTGGCGAAGCACATGCAGGTGGAAGCGGGCGAAGATGGCGTAGATTACGACAAGCTCATTGAGACTTTTGGCTGCCAGCCCATCTCTGCCGCACAGATCGAGAGGATTGAACGCCTTACAGGCCACTGGGTTTGACCTCAGCCACCTTTTCTTTGATTCGTTTGCCCAATCCCGCGCCGCAACCTCAACTATGTGGACCGTTGGGTAAAGAGACGGCTTTGGACAGGCATGAGAGGGGCGTGGCCGTCTGCCTAGGAACCCCCAGAAGCTTGGGCTGAGGGAAGATGCTTGGGCCGGGCCCAAGCCCTGAACCCCAAACCCTGACCCCTAAACCCCAACGCGGGCATACACGGACAACTAGTAGGACTGTTGCATGTCAACTCCCCAGCTTTCCATGAAGCGTGTGGTGACGGGCCAGCGGCACGGGATACAACAGCTTGTCAGCTGCTGAAGCTTGTCACTATGTTTCATTGGTAATGCGCTCCGCCCCCCTCAGGTCACGTCTGTACTGTTGAAATTCTGCTTTGCCTTGGGAACAGGCTCTGGGGCAGTCGAGTGTTCTGAACCACGATGTCGTGGTTTGGTCGTGTCCAAATCCGAGCGAAAATCTTTCAGGGCTTGTTCGTGGTGGTCTGTATATATGTTGTGTGGTTGAAGTGTTGGGTGTATACTCTTGGAATTCTGCTTGGGAATCAGAGCCAGCCCTGGGAGTACCATCAAGATCCCGGACCAAAGGGTCCTCTTTCGGCGCTGAACCTACGGGGGCCTTGCCTGCGTGTGCGCTCGTGCGAGAGTCGAAACTGAAGCCTCGCCGCATCCTAAACCCTAAACCCTAAACCCTAAACCCTAAACGCTAAACCCTAAACCGTAGATGCTTCGAAAGATGAAGCCCCAAGCCCAGGCAAGCGAGCCCATCGATTTCTCCGACGGGGCCTCTTCTTCTCGCACCGGGATCTGGACGACCTTCTTGATGCCTACGACCATCGTCTCCTTAGGGCTTTCGGTTATGGAAACCTTTCAGGAGTGCAGGGTTTAGGGTTTAGATTTTAGGAAGCTTAGGGTATAGGGATGTTTTCCTAAGTTCGTCTAGGGGGCCTGGTTGGTTGTTTGGAGTATAGACGAGACTCGGCTCGAATCTTTGAGGCCCCCCTGGATTCAGAGAAGAACACACAGTTCCAGTACAAAAACAAAAGCCATGCAATGTAGTGCTTGTACTATAGAATAGTGAAAGTGCTCTAACCCTATTCCTGACAGGCTTGAATTCCGTGTTCCAAACATGAATCCAGGAAACACATGCATCACCAGGCCTTCATGTTTGCGACTCTGGAGCCAGTGATAGAAAAGCTACGGGCAAGCAGGCTACATGTGAAAGTAACAGTTGGGCCCGTTAATAAGCTATGGGCTTCCGCCGAACTGGGGTGTATCAGATCCTTTTTTGGGTGCCCTTTGACTCCCTGTGCTTCTTTTAGTGATACTATCATGAGGGCCTCGGACATTTGGAGAAGTCCTGCAGAAGGGCGTTGTGTGGTGACCTTGAACACTACACCTTAAATCCGCAGCCGTTTGAGATTCAAGTTTGTGTTTTTGTGCAAAAGGTACCTTCGAAACCCTTGACCCTAAACCCTAAACCCTAAACCCTAAACCCTAAACCCTAAACCCTAAACCCTAAACCCTAAACCCTAAACCCCAAACTGCCTAAACCCCCCAAAGAACCCCCGAAGCCAAGGAGAAGGGGGAGCCCTTCTACATCTACACGGGTCGGGGCCCCTCCTCCGAGTCCCTTCACTTGGGGCACTTGGCCCCTTGGCGCCGGGATGTGGCGCCCTACACCCTCTTTAGGGTTTAGGGTTTGGGGTTTGGGGTTTGGGGTTTGGGGTTTAGGACTTGGGGTTTAGGTTGTAAGGTTGTATGGGGTTTAGGAACACATCGGTTCGTATCTTGGCAGTCGTCTTGGAGAGTGGAGCTTGTTCGGGCGGCCCTTCAGTTGTGTACAAACTTCAGAGCCCAAGTTTACTATTTAGGCTTTTGGGTTTAGGGTTTAGGGTATATTCAGGGTTTAGGGTTTAGGGGTTCAAGGTTTAGGGTTTACGGGGTTTAGGGGTTTAGGGTTTAGGGTTTACGGTGGATGAAGCGACGGAGGGACAAGGAGCCTCTTTTCTGACTCGTGAGCTGTTTGGAGGGTTTTGAAGGGCCGGTTTTTGGGGCCTTGTCGGGTTTAGGGCAGAGTTAAGGCTTATAAGAGTAACCCCTAAACACCTAAACCTCAAGGGCGGTCTAATGGGGACGTAAGAAATGGGGGCTTAAGCAATTGGAACCATTCGGGCCCATTTGGGCCCAAATGGGACGGTTTTGAAAATGCTATTTTTGGCTCGGAATCCTGCCCGCTCGGAGTTCGGTGCTTGAATCTAGAATCTGTCGGGCTATGGAGTAGAGGCAAGCCTCCGGCAATGTGGACGCGGTAGTGAGCGTGACATTTTCCAAAACTGCCCAAAACAGCCCAAAAGTGCCCAAAACTGCCCGATTCGGCATTTTTGGCAAGCGCCCCGGCCGTCAGGGTTTTTTCTTCCCACTCGCTCACGCCTTGCCGTTGCCGCTCTGTCAAGTTACAACCCTCCTCCCAGCAGCAGATCCCCTTCGCCTCAGCCTTGTGTGATTTTTGGCTTAAGCCCCCATTTCTTAAGCCCCCACTTGCGTTTCCTTAAAAACCCTAAACGCTAAACCCTAAACCCCACATATATATATATATATATACTCAGACCTACGCTAAGAATCAGCAACTGTGTAGAGGAACCAGACGCCCCAAGCCTTGAACCTGTTCTGTCTCAGGTCCCTTTCCTCTTCACGAAGTGGCTGCAGGAGGCTTTCGATGTACCGCTGGTCATTGAACTGACAGATGACGAGAAGTTCCTTTTCAAGAAGGAGGGCGTTTCAGCGATTGTAAGCTGTGAGCCCAAGATTAGGGTGTAGGGAAGTCATCAGCTCTGAAGCACAAGACGCCAAGAAAGCCCTTGAAAAACCCTAAACCCTAACACCCTTGAACCCCTAAACCCTAAACCCTAAACCCTAAATATACCCTAAACCTTAAACCCTAAACCCTAAATCCTAAACCCTAAACCCTAAATTGGGTTTACCGCTTGTTTTGAGGACCTTGGCATCGATGAGGCCCGGAGGCTAGCCTGGGAAAACGCCAAGGACATCATCGCCTGTGGTCTCCTGGGCAGAAGTGTTCAGGTTTAGGGTTTAGGGTTTAGGGTTTGAACCTGGAGTACTTAAGGAGGTTCATGGTACTTATTCGCCAAGAATTACTGTACTTATCAACCCCCTAAGGTGCCGTAATATGGATGTAAGTACAGTTATGCCGGGCAGAGGCGTTCAGGGTTTTAGGCTTTAGGGTTCCGGGGTTTCGGGGTTGGGTTTTTGATTGACTGAATGGATGCCGAAGGGTTGGGAGCATAGAGTGGTTTCGTTGTGCAGACACTTTCCCGTCACACGCCTCGGCCTCAGCACGGGTTCACAAAGGGGTTGGGTTTTTGTGTTTTAGAGCATTTCTCTGAGGGTAGTTATACTTCTCCTTAGTATGGTCCTTTGCCTTCCTTAAAGGGTTCTGATGTATAGGCCCTTGGGTTGTATAGGGCACATAAGGCAGAAGCGCTCGATTTGATCAGGGGTTTGGAGGACGAGGGCTGCGTTACCGGACCCTCCTTCAGACTCCCAGAGCAAGTTCCTCCATTGCGGGGTCAGGCTTACAGAATCTAACCCTTCAAGAGCCCTGTACAGAATCTAACCCTTCAAGAGCCCTGTTAAAATCCAGGTTGGATGATAGGAGGTCCGGAATCCCTCCCATACCGAAGTCCCAGAGATGCAGGAGGGTGCAGGGCGAACTTCTTGGGTTTGAGGATTTCCATGCCTCGGCTTTTCAAACCCCCAGGGCGCCCTTCTCTAATTGAGATGGCCCCTAGTTAGTTTCCTATCGGCCATCAAAATCTTGATATGCAGTTCACAAGGAACACGGGGGCTGTTCTTCAGAGAGCCCACATGAGTCCAGGTTTCGATCCTGCGAAGACCTTTATCTTCCGGGACACGGACTACATCGGCCAGCTCTACCCTGTGGCGCTGCAGATTCAGCCGCTCGACGGGCGTAGGGTTGGCAAGGTGTATGGCCTGGCCGTAGCTTCTCAAAGGGGCATTTTGGGTCTAGGGTTGCTTCGCGAAAAGGGTTGAGGGGGCTGTTCCTTGTCACTCTTGATTTCGTTCAGACCAGCCCTCGTACTAGAGGTTATACAGTAGGGTTGTGGCTATCTCACACAAAGAGCTTCTTGCCACAAAAAAAGCGCCTTTTGGAATCCACCGACCCCAATTCTGCTATACATGAGAAGCCCCTTTAAACCATGGACGCTTGGACCCTCTACTTACCCTATGATCTAGGGCCCACTCGACCCTACACCCTGAACCTAACAAGGACGCAACTGGGAGGATGCATGTCTAGAAGGGAATCGAAATCCGTCGACCCGACCTACTACCCTGCGTAACCCCTACATCCACCAAAGACAGCCCCTACAGTACCCAAGTCTCCCCAGGAGCCACAAACCCTAAACCCAAAGCAAGCGTTTAGGGTATAGGTTCCCTTAGAACCTCCTTTAAGCCAAACAGGGCACCCTTTTATTCCATGCACATCCAACGGCACCTAGCCCTCTAAACCCTCATCCCTGCAAGCTCTTCGCCAGGAAGCGGGTCACGCTGCGAACTGCGCAGAACACATTCGGCTTTACCCTCAGCGAGCCCCAGACTGGATTTTCAAAATCGGTTCAGGGCCATGGTGGCCCTCAACCGTAAACTCTAAACCCTAATTAAACCCTTCCAGAAAGTCCGGGGAGAGCTTTTACACAAGGGTTTTGGCTTTTGCAGCAGTGGCAGTCTACTGTAGGGTCTGGGTTGGGGAGCTTCCGCGACGGGGTGTTGGCGGAGTGGCGAGGTTTCGACCTGGGCCCTACGTAAACTCCAAAGTGTGGGGTTTCGGAAGGAAGGCTGTTGTAACCGCGCTATCAGGGCTTGCCCGGCCAAGGACAACATCGGCAAATGTGCCTTCGCGGCTATCCAGGCATGGACGTGTTGCACCGAACTCCAGAATCATGAGCCCTGAGCCCCCAACCTTAAACCTGCGGATCTAAGCGCCGGATGTGCCGCACGAGATTTGTCAGGCACAACAAGTCGAATCTCAAGCGCCTGGCCGAAACCGCGAAGAAACAACCATGCCTTTGTGTTTTCCACAAGACCCGCAGCCTTCACTTGCTTTCGAGCATCCACCGGACGACAGTGTTCAATGCATGACATGACAGTACAATACACTACAGTCCATTCCATTCCATTCCATTCCATTACGTTGCACTACCTAACGCTACACGACGCTACACGACACTGCAGTATATGACAGAACATGCATATGTATATTATTATATTCACACACATTTTTTGCTGGTACATAAACACATCTATACATGTATGCACATACGAGCGAATCGACATATGTCGCACTATTTCTTGTCTGTTGCTGTGGTCGAATTGCTGGTTGATCTGGAGTGCTGTTCAGGAACTCCAAGATTTAGCCACCAGGCTACCAGGCCTCAGATAGATACATCTACGTACCTAGGCTCGTCCCAGCCTCTAAAGAAAAGAGCGCTTTTTTCGAGTTTCCTCTTGACCCGGAGTCTATCTTTCACAGCCAAAATGTTTCTGGAGGCATCCCCTTCCTTCGCCATCTCTTTCCCCGACTTCCTGAAAGCTGGGATGAGGTGCTTCATCCCACAGGCGCGGGATCCGAAGCCCCGTAGGGCTTGGGGGGCTTTGAGATTTTTTAGCCTTGAACCCCTTTGTCCCCCTTATTGCTCCCCTTGAGCCACTGTGCCCTATGTTAACCGCAAACCCTCGGTCCACGCAAGACGGGAAGTTTCCAGGCTATCGACCAAGACCCCTACTTCCGACTCTGCCGGCGAGTGGCGGATGATCTGAATCCAGGGTTGCAAAATAAGGAGGGATTCCCAGAAGAGACCCTTTTATCTTATTCACCGAAATAACCCATACAGTCCCTACATACCTAAGTAGCTACCCCCAACGTCCCTTACAATGGGTCCCCTTTGTAGTCCCTTGATGTTTGGTGCTTCGGTGGGCAAAGCTTTCAGGCGCAAGGGCTAGCCAGAGACAATGAAACACCGGCGCGCGCACTCAGGCTGGGGCGTCGGAAAAGGAGATTCAACTAAGTTACGGCAGTATGGGTATAGACTAAACCGTATAGTCTCCTTGTTGGGGGGAGGGGCAAGCTCATGCAAGTTTCTCAAGCTTGCAGCGTCTTAGCATCTTAGCATTGAGGTATCTTCCGCTCCCCAAAACCTTAAACCATAAAACGCCCCAAGCCCTAAACCCTGAATCCCGAAAACCTCAAAACGACCCTACTTTGGGGGTCGTGGTACTTAAAGCTGTACCTACAACCCACTGATAAGCCCCCTCAAAAGATCCCTAAGCCCAAAAAACCCCACGCGTCCCAAGGAAGTGGCCGAAGCCGGCCTTGATCCACTCAAAGTTCCTGCCAGCACTCCAAGGCAGTTTAGGGTTTAGGGTTTAGGGTTTAGGGTTTAGGGTTTAGGGCTTCTTTCGGGGGGGGGGGGGGGGGGGGGGGGGTCTCTCAGGGTTTCTTCGGGGTTCTGACGTGCTGAGGTGCTTTTGGGGGGAGAGTAGACTGAAGCCCGAAAAGCCTATAAGCCCCAAACCCTAAACCCTAAAAGCGAGAGGGAGAGAGGGAGAGAGAGAGAGAGAGAGTCAGCGGCCTCTAGGCGCTTCCTGTGGGAAGGTCACCAGACCAAGATGTCTGCCTCAGTTCAGTCTACGGCGCTCTACATGACGGACACCCCCAAGAAGCTCCGGAAGCCTGGCAGCATCCGGCAGCTTCCAGCAGCATCCGGCAGAATCTTCCCCCAAAGCCGGAGAAAGACCCCTACAGTTGCCCAGAAGTACCCCCCCTCTCTCTCAACTCCCAAGCCCTTCGCAACCTAAACTCCTGCCCTTTTTGAAGTTCATGTGATTCAGGGACCCCAACCAATCCTTGAGGTCCATGGGCCCCTAAACCTCTTCAGTCTTCGCCTCCTCCTTGCGGCTGCCACTACTGCCCCTGCTGGGCACCTCCCCTCGAAACGCAGCGTGTCGAGGAGCGAAGCCTGATGCCAAGCCCTCAGAAGCCTAAATAAGCCCTTGAAGGAAAAAGATCAACAAGAACGCTTTCTCCGGGGGCGGCAAGACCCTCGAGGAGCTTTCGGCGCTCTTACGGTTGGCTTTGGGCTCCGAAAACCCAAAGCCCGGTGAACTCTCCCCCCCCCCCCCACAACAAAAAAAGAGACTGCGAAGCCACGCTGTAAGCTGCAACAAAAGAGCTGCCCCCCTCCCCCCTCCCCTTCCACCCCCCAAAACGAAGTCAACACGATGCCTTAGGCCCCCAGGCATGATTCGACTCAGAAGCTTGGGATGCTGCTGATTGTGTAGAGGTTGGGCACTCGCAAGGCCCTCTGAAGGGCTCCGCAACCTGCAAGAGCTTGAAAGGTTTAGGGCTCGGGGCTCTTTTGTTTGTGTGTGTGTGTGTTGGGGGGGACCTCAGAGAGCCCGAGTCCCCAAGACAAGCGAGCTGAGGGTTTGGGGGACCGATGGGTGAGTGATGCAAGGCCGATGGGGTGGGGATCCTACAGGCCAGCACGCTGGGCAGGCTCGAACTCCGGGTTTTGGGGCCCAGGAGCAGCAAAAGTATGGGGCGAACTTGGACGTGGATGTCTCCTACCAGCCCCCTGGGCCTGCAGAAAGCAGACTAGCAGTTCAGGGCTCCCAGCCATTCTTCGTGAGTCGCTCAGAACCCTGAAGATCGAGGGTACTACCCGACCCCTTTAAGAGGGTTCCCTGAAAGTTCTGTATTTGGGCTTTGAGGGGGCTTCGGGTTGAAAGAGTTGAGAGAGTTCGTTTGAGGAAGGGTGTTCCATGGCCAGGGAAGCGTACGTGTAGGCCTTGAAAAATTGCTCAGCTAGGGGGCAAACCGGAGTAGCATCGGCTTTCTGTCGAGGTACCTCAAGATCTGGTTGGAAGACGATGAGGAGCTGGCGCACATCGGCACGGAGTATGCCGCTGGCCGTATGCTCACCGGAGAGGTGAAGAGACCTGGCGCATTCTCGGCCCTTGCAGTAGCGCAACGGCGCCTAGTTTAA